CAAACAACCCTCACCCACTCTAGCGTGTGTATGTACCAGTAGGAACAGTCAACCCAGCCTGGCTTTGCCCCGATCCAGCTCACATGCAGGCCAACAGGTGTTGTGAAAATTCTGTCTGTTTTAAAATAATCAAGCATTTGCCATATATAAGGATTCAGACACCTCAACAGAAAAATACCAAAAAATCTGATGAAAAACAGAACAACGACTTCAATAGACCTTTCCCAAAAGAGGATACACAGATGACCATTAAATACAAGAAAGAAAGGCTGAACATTGGCCATCTTTGGGGAATAAGATTGAAGCTCATAAAGCTGGAACACATTAAATCCAGTAGAATATACTTTGATACAAGTCACCTGAAACAAGCCAATTGCTCACACTAAACAGAAGGAGGAAAAGATGAAGACTTTCTGTCCATGAGCTGGAACAAGGCTGTGATGTGCACTTTCACTAATATCCCTTACCACAGGAGTCTGAGTCCTAAGCAGAGCCACTCAGCAGGAGAGAGGGAGGCAGGGCCTGTGCACAGGGAAGGAGGAGCTGCACTGTGACTGCAGGTGACAAGGGCTGTGTGTGTGTGTGTGTGTGTGTGTGTGTGTGTGTGTGTGTGTGTGTGAGTGTGTGTGTGTCTGTGAGAGAGTGAGAGAGAGTGATTGCAGCAGGTGATAGATTGAGAGATCGGGAAGGAAAGCAAAAGGCCTTCCATCCAATGGCTCACTTCCCAGATAAGCACAGCAGCTGAGACGCACACACTCCATCCTGATTTCCCACTTGGGTATCAGCGGCCCAAGGGCCCCAGAGTCACTTTGCTGCCTTCCTGAGAAAATAGCAAGCAGCAGGTTTAGAGAGGGAGCAGAATGTTAAGCCACTATGCCAAAACACCTGCCCCAACTGCATGCTCTTTTACACAGAAAAAGTGGCAGGGTGGGGGAATCAGAAACTTCTCTCTATCACACACACACACAATTAGAACTCATAAACAAATTCAGCAAACATGCAGGATACAAAGTCAATGTATGTTTATGTTTCAACAGCAAATCATCCTATGAATATCAAGAAACTGCTCTCTTGTTCAATCTGCTGAAGAAATAAACACTGAGTCACGGGTCTGACCTAGTGGCTAACACGCTGCTTGGATGCCTGCATCCCCATCACCATGTCTTGGTTGGAGTCCTGGCTCTCAGTAACGAACACTCTGACAGGCCACATGGACGGGCCAGCAGTGCAGTGTCTGCCACTCATGTGGCAGTCCTGACTGAGCATCAGCCTCGCCCAGAACTGGACCAGCACCAGGAGTGAACCAGCAGGTGGAATCTGTCTGTCTCTCAAGTGAATAAATTAACAATTTAGAAAATATGTAGGAGTACATCAAAGACGAAGAACGATGGAAAGAACTGAAGAGGACACACGCACGTAAATATTTTCATGTTCCAGAACTGGCAGAATCAATCTCATTGAAATACACATCCCACACACATAGTGCTGTGTCTGCTGAAGTTTTGATGGAAGCTTTTTATAGAATCCAAAAAAGCACCACTAAAAGTTGTTTGAACCACAAAAGACTGTCAAGGAGCCAAAGAGGTCATGAGGACAAAGGCCAAAGCAGGAACACACTACCATACCTGACTTGAAAATACGTTACAAAGCTATGGTAATTCACAAAGCTAGCATGTGCTAGAGCAATCCCATAAGTGGGTATGTATGTGCAAGGAAAATGAACTCCATCTTTTGAGGAGAGACTTGCATTCCCACACGTTCTGTAGCAGTATTCATAGTAGCCAAGACATGGAAACAACCTAAGTGTTCAGCCACCCATGAATGGATAAAGAAAATATAGTGCTTGATACAATTGCATATGATTCAGTCATTAAAAAGTAAAGTCTGACATTACAATGGTCATTATGTTAAGTATAAAAAGTGAAGTACAGACTGCTTGCATGATATCACTCATGTAGAATGCATAAAGTATTCTTGTAGAAATTAAGAGTGATGGTGTTTTCCAGAGGGTGTAGGTTACGGGAGGGAAGGAGAGATGAGTAAAGGCTGATGATCGGGCCTGTATTATAGGTGATAGGAATAAAAGTTCAGATGTCCCAGTGCACCATAGAGTTACTACAGAAAATGAAAATGTACCTTATTTTTCTGAAAAAAAAAAAACAAGGAAAAAAAATCAGGCAATTATCACTTAGAAAGCCATTTAAGCATAAGGAATAATTTTACTGTTACGTTAATTTTATATATTATATAATATTTTATATTATATTATATTATATTATATTATATATATTTTATATATTTTTATATATTTTATATATTTCCTTTTTAATTTGGTTTTGCAATTTTATTTTTTTGAAACTTGTCTTGTGTTTAACATTTTCAATTTTTTAAAATTTTGTATGCCAGTGTGTAAGCATACCTAGTTCTAATTATATATTGGATATGGATATGAATGAAAACATTTAAAAAAAAATCAGCAGTGCTGGGGCTGGCCCTGTGGAGCTTTTGGGTGAAGCTGCTCTTTGTGGTACTAGAACCATGTGATGAATGGTTCGAATCTGGGTTGCTCTGCCTCCAACCCAGCTCCCTGAGAATGCACTGGAAAGCAGTGTTGAGCCCCTGTGACCCATGTTCCCGACTCCTGTCCCAGCCTGGTGAACACCCAATTGATGGCAGCCTTTTGGGTAGTGATTTAGTAGCTGGAAGATCTCTCTGTCTCTCTTTCTGAATCAGTACTTGAGAGATTTCTTTCTCTTTTCACTCTCCACCCCCTGTTTTATCCTCCTTCCCTCCATCCTTTCATGCTGGCCTTAAAAAAAAATCAAAGTTATAATATCATTTGATCCCAGGTAGAATGTTGATTATCAAAAAGGCAGAAAACAACTGCTGGTAAGAATGCAGAGACAGGGGAAATCTCATACTATTTGGTAGGAACATCAGCTCAAGCAGCCATTAGGGAAAATGGTGTGGCGATTCCTGAAAAAATTAGGAATAGTGCATCTAAACAACCCCTCAACTCCACTGGAGGCTACATATCCAAAGCAGTTGAAATCAGTGTAGTAAAATGGCATTTCACACTCCCGTGCGATGCTGCACTATTCACCACCATGCAGGTGTGCAACCAGCTTGTGCATGAAGGAAACGCGTTACACACACTCAGCCAAAAGGAGACTGGAAGTGTGCTTTACAGCAGCAGGTATGACCCCGCAGGGTGTTAGGCAAACTGAAGGAAGTCAGGCGTACGTTCTCCCTTTCACGTGGAAGCTCACAAGTTTGACCTTAAACAAGCAGAGGTTAGGACAGTGGCTTCCAAATCCCGAGAAGGCTGTGGGGAGATTGTGAGTTATGGTTCATGGGTATCAGGGTGCAGCTGGAGAACAGGAATGACTTGGATTGATCTACAGCAGAGAACCACGGCTGACAACAATTCATTGGGTATTTCAAAGTTGTTAATAAAGAGGAGTTTGAATGTTTACAAACCAAAGAAATAATACCTAACAGGTGTCAATTACCATGATCTGACCAGTACATTCTTAATGTGTTTGAAATGCTGCGCTGTACCCAATAAATAGGCACAATTACTATGTGTTGACTAAAAATTTAAAGAAATAAATAACATTTGCAGCAGAGATATCTCCCCTTAATCTCATGCATGTTTAATTATTCTTGCTGAACAATTTCAAAAGAAACTTCATGTTGATGTAGCTATCAGTCAGATGGGAACAAGAATTAACTCGATGGTCCAGCTTTACAGAAGATACACTGGTAAAGAAACATGTGAAAGAGGTTTGGCTGGCATGTTGCCTCAATTAGCTACCCCTCCAAGTGCCAGTTATCCCATATGGGCATTAGTTTGTGTCCCAGCTGCTCCACTTCTGATCCCGCTCCCTGCTTGTGGCCTGGGAAAGTAGTGAAGGATGGTCCAATGCCTTGGGACTCTGCACCTGCTTGGGAGACCTGAAGAAGCTCATGGCCCCTTTGGATCAACTCTGCACCAGCCACTGAAATTATCTGAGGAGAAAACTAGTGGATGGAAGATACTTCTGTGTCTCTCTGTTTATCTGCCTTTCCAATATAAATATATATTTTAAGATATTTATTTTTATTGGAAAATCAGATATGCAGAGAGGAGGAGAGACCGAAAGGAAGATCTTTCTTCCATTGATTCACTCCCCAAGTAGCCCCAATGGCCAGAGCTGAGCCACTCCAAAGTCAGGAACCAAGAGCTTCCTCTGGGTCTCCCATGCAAGTGTGGGGTCCCAAGGCTTTGGACCATCCCTGACTGCTTTCCCAGGCCACAAGCAGAGAGCTATGAAGGAAGTAGAGCAGCTGGAACATGAAATGGTACCTGTATAAGATCCTGGCACAGGCAAGGGGAGTACTTTAGCCACAAGGTGGTCATGCTAGACCCAAACATGGTGTGTTTTGTTTTGTTTTAAATGACTTATTTAGGGTCCGGCACGGTTACCTAATGGCTAAAGTCTTCACCTTGCACGTGCCAGAATCCCATGTGGGTGCCAGGTCATGTCCCGGATGCTCCACTTCCCATTCAGCTCCCTGCTTGTGGCCTGGGAAAGCAGCCAAGGACAGTCCAGTACCTTGGGTCCCTCCACCTGTGTGGAAGACCTTGAAGAAGTTCCTGGCTCCTGGCTTTGAATCGGCTCAGCTCTGGCTGTTGTAGTCACTTGGGGAGTGAATTATCGGATGGAAGATCTTCCTTTCTGTCTCTCTTCCTCTCTGTATATCTGGCTTTCCAATAAACCCTTTTAAAAAGATGTTTATCATACGACCTTTTTTTCTAGATTTTATCTGCTTATTTTCATGTTTATGTATCAGTAGCCGTAGATTTATACATTTTCACACCATTGTGTTCTAGAATTATGCTGAGTTCCCCTTATAGTCTATAATATCCTGCCCTATTGGACTCTGAACTTGTTTCTGCAATTCATTTTTTTCCCAAGTGGTAAACATTAACAAGAAGTTTTGAATAAAAGGCAGGAAAGTGCCAGCGGGCACAGGCACTTGACCAGTTTCTAGTTGAGCTGCAGGTGACCATGACCTGCTGTGAGGGTTGGACATCCTGCAATGGATTCTCTCTGCTGGTGCTGCTTCTCTTGGGGGTAGTTTTCAATGCAGTGCCTCTGATTTTCAACTTAGTTGAGGAAGATGAAGGTTTTAAAAATCCCATCTCTTGCTTTGAGTGGTGGTTCCCAGGAATTATCGGAGCGGGTGTGATGGTAAGTGATAATCATTTTACTTCGTTTGGAAAACCTGTCGATTTTTACCAACCTTCTAGACTCTAAGTCTTGCAGTTTTATCTTGGTTTAGGATATAGTTAGGAACAATATTTATACTTACACTCTATACAGATCATCAATAAATATTAGTAATTTTTTAAACAGGGTGGATCTATTTTTTTTTCCATGAAACAGACTTAAGCAGAGGGGAGCAAGCAAAGGATAGTAATTTAAATACATAAACATTATGCTACAAGCTAACAAGCTCAGGGTAGAAGTTCGTTGGGTTATGGGCCAGCACGTTTCTTCTCGTGGAGGGCTGCTCTTCCAAGCTTTTCTATTGCAAGGGACCTTTTGGTCTCATTCTGCTTTTCTCTGCCTCTTGCCAAGGCGCTAGGTAGTTACAGGGACTAAAACAGGAGCAGGGAGCTGCTCCGTGGGAGTGACAAGTGTTCCCAAGGACTGGCACTCTCTCGCCTGGTGGCAATGGTAAGGCATGAATGGGACAATGTCTGAAGCTAGCATTCTCCCGCAAGGGCTCAAAATCCTGGTTTCCAAGGACTTGACTCAGTTACTACACAGATCCCAGAACACTGCAGATGGGTCTGCCTTTGCTGGGTCCTGTGGCTGGTTAGTACACTTCACAACTCCTCAACGTGCCTGCCCATCAATCACTTGAGGCACCTGCAGTAAATTTACAGAGTTTCTCTTGGGAATTCTGATGTACTAGGCCTGGATAGCTCAATGTTCTTTTCAACTCTGGCAGAGTATAACAGTGACAGTTCCATTTTACTATATTAGCACTGCATTTATTCTATGGCTTCGCCTTCATGCTTGTAAAATATGAGTGTGAATGCTGAAATTAAAAACTTACCATAAATTTTTAAATTTATTTAAAAAAATATTTTTTAAAGATTTATTTTTATTTTCTTTATTGGAAAGGCGGATATACAGAGAGGAGAGACAGAGAGGAAGATCTTCCGTCGCAACGGTCGATACTATGCTGATCCGAAGCCAGGAGCCTCTTCCGGGTCTCCCACGCGGGTGCAGGGTTCCAAAGCTTTGGGCTGCCCTCGACTGCTTTCCTGGGCCACAGGCAGGGAGCTGGAAGGGAAGCGGGGCTGCCGGGATAGAACCGGCGCCCATATGGGATCCCGGGCGTGCAAGGCGAGGACCTTAACCACTGTGCCACTGCGCCGGGCCCTTATTTTTAAAATTTATTCTGCTTGCTTGCATGCTTGCATGCTTGCATCTAGTTAGTGCCAGAGGAAAGTTTTGTTTGCATGTCTGGTGAGCGAGCGAGGAAGAAAGTGAGTGAGAGAGTTACAAGGTCTGATATTATTAGTCTTTTAGAGGTAAAAAAAAAAAAAATGAGCTGAAATTCAGGATAAAGTTTTCTACTTGACTTATTGCTTTTAACTGTATTCCCACACTTACACGAAAGCACCCATACATCACATAGATTTAACTTCAGATATAATTATGCTTTAGCTGGTCCACAGGACTCGAGATCACTGACATCAAAATGCCATTCCAGGAGGCATTCTCCACACACCAACATCTCCTCGTCCTTCATTATCACAACCTGATTGCTTGCTCCAGGTAGAAACCTTAAAGCAAAAATCTGGTATCAAGCTTTGGGCTCCCTTCAAATTGCCATGAATGCTCTCCTCCTGGTGAAGGGAGTGCACACTGTTCAACAAGGGGCACCAAGCGCGAGCCTTGGTGTGTTTTCTCTCCTCACAGCCCACTCTCCCCTGCGGCAGCAGTATCCGTCCCCTCCCCTTCTGCTCACACTCAGAAGCCACAAGCAGGTGGTGGAGTCTAACCTCACACTGGTAATTTCTGCAAAGCTCCCGAGTGGGGATCACGCATTTACAGGACTCATGAAGCTTTAAATACAAATTGGCACTGCCACATCCCCACGAAACACTTCCCAATTCTTATTTAGCACTACAGGCATCTGAGGCGGTGGTGGTACAAACCTGCATTCTTGGTATTCTTTTTGGGAAGCTGAGGCTTAGGAGCTGAGAGACACAGAAACACGGGTATGTGTGCGCATGAATCTTGCTTCTGAATCACCTGCTAAGTGCTTGCTACACTGGGTTTACTTGCTACGCTCTCAGCTCACTTATAAATAAACCAGGGGTAGATATGATCACTTGTAACTTACAGACCAGCAAACAGGTTAGGAATGTTAACAAGGTCACATGGTGGTTGTGAAACAATTTGATCTGTGTGTCTTCAAGGCTGGTGTCTTCCCAGCCCCCGCTTTTAGACTTGGTTTTGAAAGGCAGAGTTGCAGAGACAGGGAGACAGGGAGAGACCTCCTTCCACCTGCTGATTTCCTCTCCCAGCAGCTGCAATGGTGTGGGATGAGCCAGGATGCATGAAGCAGGAGCCAGAAGCCGGGTCTCCCATGTGAGTGGCAGGGGACCCTGCTCTCCCAGGCACGTTAGCAGGACGCTGGGTTGGAAGTCAAGCAGCCAGAACAAGTGCTCGTATGGGATGCTGGCATCTCAGGTGGTGGCTTACCCTGTGGTGCCACAGGGCTGTCCCTCTAAAGCTACTTTCCCCCAGCGCTAGCACCACAGTCTTCAAAATCCATGTCAGGCGGACAGAGAAAGATGTGATTGACAACTGGAGCCATAAAGTTGATCAGGAAACTGAATTGTAAACAAGTTCTAAACACTTGAAAAACAGTCTCAGAGAACCAGCACTTCCTTGTTATGCAGCTAAAATAAACTTTATGGCCCTCAATAAATATCAACAAGAGACATCAACGCCAAGCTATTCCCGCTAGTCCCGCTCACACAAGGTCATTAATGTGTCACATTAAGGTGTGCTTTCCGGAGGGAGCCTCCCGCTCCACGGGCCAACACGGCGGCGGAGCGGCCCTGAGTGGAGGGGTCTGTTGCGCATCCTCTGCTACGTGTAGAATGCGAGAGACTATCTTTCCCAGAAGCAGTTCATGCCCGCTACAACATCTGTCCAAATGCTCAACAGTTCCAAAGATTGAACTGTCAATATCCTTACGGACACAAAGAAAAGTTAAGACTGCCTATCACAAACAACTTAGTCATCATTCCTGAAATCTTTCCAAGTTTGTTGTAGTAGTTCAAATTAGTACTGCTTTAGCGAGGATTTTACAGCAAGCAGTTGATAATACAAGGTTCATTATTGATTACTTCATGAATAGTTCATTCATTTGATGGTTTTATGATTTACCCCAAACGGAGACAAAGCTTTGAAACCATGTCTAAAAGTAAAAACATGTGAAATTAATGATCTGATTCTGCTGAATGGGGGAAAATCAATACGTTGCTCTTTGTTCAAGTATTGAAAAAGTCGCTTCTTGCAAAATAAAAGCAGAAAGGGCAATTCATTTTATATGAAGTTAACTGCAGGCCCAAGTTTAATCATTAGATAATAGTAATTTGTCAATTATTAAGGTTGTTGTTCAAAGTTAAACACATTAGTAGATATTCTGTATAACTGATAATTGTAAAAATCGACTTTTATGTTTCTGATGAATGGGTTGGTGTGCTACTCATGTTCAAATACTTGGAGGACATCCCAACGCCTGAATTCTATCCGAGAGGTTTACCTGTCTAAAGCTCTTCTGTGTATGACTGAAATACTTTGTAACTTCTAAAACAGCAGGAAAGGATGGCTTTCTGCAAGGAAAAAGGAATATACTATTTCCTTTATACAAAGAGTAGCAATACTTGGAATTTTTATAAGAACTTAGTCTTACATTTTACTTGACTAGCAGAAAAAGGCGACTTTTTTACACCCACTGGTTCATTTCTCAAATGTGTACAAAAGCTGGGAGCCTGAAACTCCATCTAGGACTTCCGTGTGGGTGGCAAAGAGCCAAGTGCTTGAGCCAGCACCTGCTGCTTCCCTGAAAGCTGGAAGGGCAGCGGAGCGGCAGCGACTAGAACGCAGCATTAGTGGGCTGTGCTTGTCCAGGGCAGTGACTCCAGAAAGGCCAACGTGCATTTGGATGTGCGGGACTCAGCAGCCTTCCCTTCCTTCCTCTTCTCCTCTCCTGAGTTTTCCTTTTCTTCTTTCTCCCTCCTTCTCTCTTTCATTTTAAGATACAGTTCCATTTGCTCTGGGATTTCCCCTCAACTACTCACTCGGAATTCAGCTAGTTCCACACATACTTCCACATTTTAATGTCCATGCCTTAAAAAAATCCATATACTTCTCAAAGCCCTGAGCGGGTAAGATGATGAACTCCTGTGAGTGACCAAGTTACATACAACGGTGTAATAGAGATTTGCTAACAGGGTTTGTTGTTGTGGTGCAGCATCGCGAGCCACCACTTGTGACACCAGCATCCCATATTAAAATGCCATCTGTGCCCCAGCTATTTCACTTTGCTCACAATCCAAATTCCTGCTAATGCAACAGGGGATGGTAGCAGATGGCCCAAGTAGTCTGGCCCCTTGACATCAATATAGAACAGAAGGGAGTTCCTGAACTCTGGTTTTGGCCTGGCCCAGCCTTGGCTGGAGTGATTGTTCAGGAATTGGACCAATGGACTGAAGATCTTTTTCCTTCTTCAACTCAATTATAAGCAAAACAAAACAAAGCAAAGCCAGAAGAGATTTGTTAACATACCATTAAGCTGTCTGGGTGTTGACTCACACCTTTTGTTATTGCTATTTCATAACAACTCTATGAAAGGTAATATAATACAAACATTTCACATCTCTGAACATCACTGTCTTCTACGGAGGCTTGCCAGAAGAGTTCATATAACTTGTGAAACACTCAGTAAGTGGCTATAGATTACAAAATAGAAACATGAACGGGCACATATGGAGACACAGGGAGGAGAGGAAGGAGAGGGAAAGAGAAAAGTGAATTGTACATGATGCAACTTTTCATAAATGTTATCTCTAAAACAAATAAGTCATCCTAAGTGAGATGGCCGACTCAGTGGGTGACTGGAAGACAGAATGCAGACGGATTTCTTGAGCCTCATCCCCACCTTTTAGTCTTTGAAACTGGGACCACAGGGCTCACAAGATTCATGCTACCAACTTTTCCTTTCGCTCCTTGAGCTCTGATTGGCCACAGCTGGTGGCCAACGTGAGGCAAGTGCTGCTGTTTCATCTGACAGGAAGGAGTTAACACTAACTTTTTCTGTTGATGTAATTTCTAGGTCATTCCAGCAACAACAATGTCCTTGGCAGCGAGAAAAAGAGCATGCTGCAACAACAGAACCGGGGTGAGTGTGCAGAAACCCCTTTGGAAGCAGAAGTGCCTGAGGGTTGTGACATCTCACAAAGCCAGCCCAAGTCACCAGCATGCACTGACCACAGCAGGCTCAACTCTCGGAAATGGGAGACTCAGGATTAGCTGACAACAGGCAAACTGAGACGGTGTCATTCTTTTCTCCATGAGAATTGAGGTTTGCAGTTGGCTTTCAGTGCATTTCCCCAGCTCCAGTTCAAGAATGTGGATTTCCAAGTAAAGATTTAGAAGTCACACCCAGAGCTGGGATCAAATACTTGTTAGTTTTGTGGTACATATGAAACACTCATGGAAATGAATCCTTGCTTCTCCTGGGACTTCTGGGATCAGAATAATTATCCTTATGCAGTCAAAATAAGGAAAGTGCCAGTTGCTTTTTTCTTAAACATTTAACAACTGCCTGCAATGTACAAATTTTAATTAATCTTAAAATAAATTCTTATTAAGTCTTATTCTACTTGGAACACTTTTTTTAATAGACCTGTTTGAGGAGCAAGCTGGTTCACTCCTCCAATGGCCACAATGCAGGGCTGTAGGAGCTCCACTTGGGTCTCGGGTTTCAGTAGGAGAGATCCATGAACTTGAATCACCTTCTGTTCCTTTCCCAGGTGCACTGGCAGGGAACTAGACAGGAAGTGGAACAACCAGAAATTAAACTGGTATCCACATGGGATACAGACATCGCAAGCGGAGGCTTAACCGGCTATGCCACAACACTGGCCTCAGGAATACTTTCAAACATACTATTTCATTTACTTCACTGAAAACATTTCAGTAGGAAACATGCTTTCCTGTCCAAGAAACTGATGTTCAGAGAAAGCGAAGTTAACTTAAATGGCTCAGAAGTTAATCCTGATCCAAATGCAACTGCCTCCAACATTTCGTCTTTCCACTATCTATAGCATGAGCACTGCCCCACCAAGGGCTCCTACACTCTCCTCAGGAGTGGGACACCAACAAGCAGCAGCTGTGAAGTGGTCGGTTGAGCTTGACGCTTTACAAAACTGTTCCCAGTTCAACTGGAACATCAGAATCATCCAGAGATTAAAAACAACCCTAGTACTTGGACTCTCACCAGCCCCAGCTGTTGTGGCTATATGGGAAGTGAACCAGCATATTAAGATCTCTCTCACTCAGCCTTTCCAAAGACACAGAGAGAGATCTGGCAACCAGGACGAGAGTGGGTACGGGTTTGTGACAGTTGTACAAGGTAGGAAGTGCACAAAGCAGGGCGGAGGAGCCAGATTTCGATGGTCAGATCAGACAGACAAGGCTCGGGACTAGAGCACCGGGGATTTGATGCAGTGGTGAGTCCAGGCCCTGAGTGCAAGCCAACAGCCAAGACTGCCCTCAGCCTCCTCACACAGCTCCCACCTGTCACACGCTGACCTTAAGATCCAGGATGAGAGGGGGACTGCATTACACAAGGTTGTACGAACTGCCGAAAACTGAAACACACCACAGCACAGAACACCTGTTAATGGGTCTACTTTATTTTCCAGATGTTTCTTTCGTCACTTTTCAATGTAATCACAATCATCGGGGCAGTGTACTGCATGTTGGTATCGATTCAGGCTCTCTGCAAAGGACCTCTCATTTGTAACTACCAAGGCAATGGTACTGCCGCTTGCGAATTTTCATTCAGAAATCTAAGGTGAGTAATCCAATTTGCCTTGCCTGTTTTACGCAGCTACAGCTAGTTAAACTGGAAGTGAGCAGTGCTAAAGAATGCCACATTTTTTTATTCAATCCCTAGGACAAACTTCTTTTAGGCGTTTAGCCGTGGGCTCAATCACAGTAAGACGTGAATTACTATGTGCAAAAAGCACTGGGCTATGGTCTAGATAGGACCCTGATCTCAGATGGTTACACCTGTCCTTTAAAAAAATCAATGGGCTATGTGCATGAAAAGAAATTCTTTAAATGCACACGGAAAGTAAACTCCTACTAATCGGGAATAGCGACAGGGGATGCCTTGAGGGAATGGTTATTACTTCTTACATTTCTAAGCAAGTTGATTTTATTAACCATGAACACATACAAACTTTATAATAAGAAAAATGAAAATACAGTAAATCAAATGTAAAGCTTTGTCTGTAGGCCTTACATGAAATAAAATGGCTAACGAAGCTACGTAAACACGGTATCAATGCATTGCAGGCCTGTGATGAATAAAAATTGTGCTGTTGTAACAGTGAACACTGAAGGTACAGGTGTGGCCCGCTGGGACTGTCTGAGTGCTCTACACCCAAGTCCACGCCCCATTTATAAAACCACAAAAACAGCAACCTACTTCATTTTATGTAGGCCACTCATTTGAGAAAATAGTTTATTTTGCACTTGTGCAAGAAACAAACTATTTTCCCTTCTTTCATATCTTGCTATCTTAAAAACGAAAATCTCAAAATATGTACAATGCAGTTGTGGCTCCTAAGGAAATTGTACTAACCATTGGATTTGAAGAAGAAAATTAGACTTCAAACACAGTTGCTATATGTTCATTCTCAAAGTAGGAGCAGCCTCCCAAGCACTAGCAGCAGGCTAAGCCGGGCAGGTGACAGCACCCAGCTACTCAGAGCTCAGCTGTGGAGCGACCCTGCCCTTGCTGCACATCTCACAAACCAACCACTGTGTCACATGCTGACCACGCGGCTGTATGCCTCGGCTCAATGGCAGCTGTTGGGATCCAGGACTCCAAACTGCCCGAGAACACGCCATCGTGTTCTGTAACAAGGAAACAAAAACAAAAAATCATCTCGCCATAGATGTGCCTGGGGTTGAACATGCCTCACTTTCCAGAGCCCTGTTAGAACAGGCACAAGCCCCTTAATCACACACATTTAAAAGGCGTTTTCACTGGTGGACCAAAGCTGTGTCTGGTTTAGGAGCTGATGCCATGCAACACTGCCGTCCCACACTAAGAATCAAGCTCCCTCAGTGGGGGAAATGCCTTAATTTTGTTCTCACATCACAGTCTGTACAGACTGAATCTTGTCAAACGGCTGATGTTCAACTATTTCTCAGACAGAATTCAACCAGGGTGGATGTACTACGCTCACTGAGTGGTGTATCATGGAAGAAAGTTTCACGCTCAGAAAACCTCATCATTGGTTTCTATGCACAGTATATCACAAATATGTTCTGCATCATTACACTTGTCTTGTTCCCTGGGCACAGTGCTACATTGCTTTCCTGTTCAGGGATATTCTGAGATCTCACTTTGACCATTTCTGTCGTTTTCCAGTGATATCCAACTGGAATCCCTCAACCTCCAGTGGTTCTTCGATGACTCTTGCATACCTCCTGCCAGTCACACAAGCTCGGGAGGTGACGGGAGATTTCAGGGCTTGCACTTTGATTCTCAAGAGAACAAACACAGGATCCTCCACCTGTCAGTCTTTACCGCTCTGCTGTTAGTCGGGATTCTGGAGGTCCTGTGTGGACTGAGCCAGATTGTCATTGGCTTCCTGGGTTGCCTGTGTGGAGTCTCTAGGCGAAGAAGTCAAATTGTATAGATTTATGGTAATAATACGGAAGCATCATGCTTACAATAATCAGACAACTGTATTTAAAATGTACTCTTAGGACTTCAGTCACGGGACGTTATCCAGAAAATTGTCAATCCTGTTACTTCAAAATTGTTTTTAAAAGTCATCCAGGGGATGGTTTTCTACAGAAAAAAAAAATCAACGTTTCATACACAATGTATGTTATAAAGGCATAACACTTTGACCTGGAAAGAAAAAAAAAATCAAAGGGTTGACTTGGGAGAGAAGAGAAGCAATGCTGTCCAACTGCTTTGTGGAGGGAAAGAGCAGGGGAGGCAGGGGAGAGAAGCAACACGAGTCACCCCGGGAGAGACGGATGCGAGCTTTTCACCACCTTTCTTGACACAACCATGTATGTGTCACATGAGGCGGTCACGTCCTCAGTTGGAGAAACACCAAGGTCAATGCTAAGCATGGCAGGAAGAGCAGCCCGTTTTTCCCAAGAAAATATCACAGGAAAACTCCGTGGGGGAGGGTCTAGAGAGCCGCTCTGGTTCTTCACGAAGAGAACAAGCAGCCACGTGCGTTACACAGGGCTTGGGAGGAGCACGAGGATGACATTAGGAATCTATTACTCCGATCAGGTCTGATAATGGTTTTATGGTCACAAGTGCAAGAATCTTTTTTTATAAAAGTTTTTGTAAGTGTTAATGTCCTATTTTCAAAAAGTCTATAATGATAAAATGAGACAACAGGAAAGTGTTCTTTGTTAAATTTAGGTGATTATTACATGGCATTCATTGTACTTTTTTATTTTCCTATGTTTGCATTTTGTGTAATAATTAAAAATATCTAGAAATAATCAGTTTCTCAAAAGCTGATTTAAAAAAATAACAGAGTGTATTTACCACCTTAAGATGGTATAAAACAGGTAAGGTTAAAAATCTAGTTTTCGAATGTAATCTTTCTTGCATTTAACTGAAAAAAAAAAGTTCTACAAGTAATTTACAATACCCATATTACAACTGTCCAACTAGAGTGGGAGCATCAGTAACTGAGAAGCCTTCCTTCGGAACCCATTTAGTACATATTTTCCCCACAAGCACCTTTTCATCCTGAAGGTCTTGTTTAAACATTTCCAATTTCAGAAAGCCCCAACCAAGCCAGCACTTTATCTAAGCCACAAGATCCCATTTGTCAAAGGGGTCCTTATCACGCATTCATCAGCCCCCTTGCCCCTTGCCCCTTGCCATGCATACCCTCTGCCAGGCCTCTCCTTTCCCTCACGGCCAGCCTGCCATCTCCCGAGCCCTGGCTCAGTCCTCTTCACTCCTCAGACTTCCCACAGACGCTGGCTTTTTCCCAAGAGGACACCCCTAGGAACCTGGTAGAGAGTAGCTCGTTTTCACTGTAGTGCCTACGATGAAGATGGCAGCACTGTCGTTCGTGTTTGTCTTTTTACGTTCCCTATCCCGCTGCAAGACGCTACATTTGCAGGTTGGAGGGACACGTGCCTCTTATGCTTCATGGAACGATTATGATGTGGCACAGTGCCTGAAGACAGTACAGTCACCAGAAACACTCTGCCGAATACATCAGTGAATCCTGCCTTCAGGCCCCAGCTCTTACTGCTGACTCAGTGCTAGCTGAATCCACACTCATCAGGCATGCACAGAGGCGGGTGAATGACCTAAGGACCCGAGACAGTACTGACAATTTCCTCATTCTCCTGGAGACAGAAGAGGGATGGGAAGTAGAGCAGCTAAAACTCCAACCAGGAACTCACACAGGCCGATGGAATTGCAGGTGGTGGCTTAGTCTGCTACACCACATGCCGACCCTGAGCATTCCATCTTCTGCCCCTTGTACAACATTCCTCTTTTTGGTAAAGATCCACAGGTTATGTGTTTATTTTCCAGGATTTCACTTTTATTTCATATTAGGCTTGGTGGAATCTTTTGCATGTATATTTAGAAAAATAGGTATCAATTTCAATCCTTGATTTTTGTGGTTTCAATTGGGAGAATCACTCACAGAAAATACCTGGCGATATACATAAAGCCAGAAAAAAATACAGAAATTGTATCCCTAAGCTATTACTTAGTCTTCCAGGGGAAAAACATTTTTTTTCCCCTGAAACTCTTGATAAAGCTAAGCAGACAGGAATCCTCCTCCAAGTATCTTTTTGGAAGGATGACAGAGAGAGAAGCAACCACAGGAACATTAAACGCATCCTCTGGGGAGCTTCCTTCAGCCCCCCTAGTGGCAGAGTACCAAACGGTGCCAAGGACGCTGTGCTTCACGGCACCCTAGCTGCTTCTGATGCAGGAGGGCAAGCAGAAGGCACTCAGGACTCTGCCTTTTGTGTGTTCAATTTTCACGAGGTTTACATGTTAGCAAGCAAACACTGCAAGGAAAAATGATATTCAATCGCAAGGTATTTAATCACTTTGTGGACATAGTAAATGAGAAAACCACCTCCATGTAACCAAAACCCAAGACTAGCAGGACGAAGAGCTGAAAGGAAGCTCCCAGTCAGTCACTTCCTCCTGAGACAGGAAGATTCCCATGAGGTAACACAAAGTCAAAGTTGGCTCTAGCATATGATAAAATAAAGTTTTCAATAGACAAACATTGCTTTGGTCAACAGTTTATTAAATACACTACATTTGTACCTTATTTCATAGTTTTTCAAACTGTTCACACAGGGACTTTGTAAAAACAGACCTTATAGAAAATTATTTGCAAAACTCAACTGAAAATAAACAGGTGCACGCTGCATACACACTGGATAAACGGGAGTGACGGGACTTGCTCCAGTCTGCACACGTGACCACGAAGCATTGACCGTGAAGTATTAGCTGGCTTGACTTTCTCAAATTTTACACCAAACCACAACTTCAGAAGTGTTAATGTTGACTTGTGGATGCAAAAACATCTAACAGAACTATTTCATAGTGTTTGAGAAACAGGACATAATACTGTTTTTCTTTCACTGAAGCTTTTCTGAATTCATCACTATGTTCGCTCTGTCCTATTCTGAGAATCATGTAGACCAATGATGGAAAAAATTCAATTCTTTCTTAAAAAAAAAAAAAGGAAAAAAAGGAAAGTCTATTTATAAAACATGCAGAGGAAGAATTCTACGAAGGTATTACTGCAAAACTGTGTAGAAGTGCACCGAGCCCGTGACGGGACACGCCTGCACTTCCACAGGTGGAGGGCCTTCCCACCTACATTCTACAAGAAATACATTTTCAGGGCCTGGTCTGTAAAATGACATACAATGCAATGACAGAAACAAAGACATTTGCAAATCCTTTATATTTCCAGCTGTTGAGACAGTATTTCTGAGAGCTGAAGTTACCTCTAGCGGCGAAACCAGAGCCAACTATTGAGCAGCCAGAAGGCCACAGTGATGGAGTACATGACCATCTCTCTCTTAGCGCGTTCTTTGTTTTCCTCTTCTAGAAGCTGCAGACGTCTATTCAGCTTGATGATCTGAGGAAAAACACAACTGACAGGTCAATGAACATAGCAATTGGATTCTAGTACAGCACAAAAATTTGTGAAAGAACTTATTAAAACCATGTTTAGAGCAAAACAATCTCTAAAGTTACTTACGAGAGCTTGCATTCACTTAAACACCTGTCTCCATTTTCTTCTCTGTATTTTCTTCCTTAACCGATTCAATGGTGGGTGAGGTGAGCAAACTGCTGTACACACATTGTTTCTAGTTGCAAAGTCCAAATATGCACTAGGCAGATGCCACAGCAGAGCCAACAGGGGCCTCTGGCCTCTGTTACAAGCTGCTCAGGACTGAGGCTCAGCTGTTCAGAGAACACCTCCCCAATCACCTGTGGTAGGAACGCCTGGATATGACACCCAGGCCCCCTACAGCTGCCACAGGTACTGGCTAACATTCTCAACTGTGGCCGATGGCCATGGGCCGCACACCTGCTCTGCTCATGCTCCTGTACTGACAGTGACTGACACACTCTCCCTCTCTTCTTCTGCATTATTTGGTGCAGACAACACAAATACCAAATATACTTTCCCCATGTAGGCCTTTTTTTTTTTTTTGTAAAAGCTAAACAAATTATTTGAGAGGCAGAAGGAGAACAAGAGCCCCCATACACCAGTCTATTCCCCAGTGCCTGCAGTGAGGCCAGGCTGGGCAGAGCAGAAATGAGAACCTATCTCCGGATGTACAATCCGGCACATTAGCTACCTGTCGTCTCAACGAAGCGGCGTCCACAACAGTCATGTCTTCTGATGCCCCTTCAATGGTTGCATCTATGTTTGAAATGCCATACCTGGTAAGTAAGAAATAAATATAAAACTTAACATGGAAATAGAACTAAGAGTATTGGTAAGTCATGCTGTGTAAGGCTCAAAGAAGTATCCACAAGATTCTAAGATAACTACAGGAATTAGTAGAATAGCTTACTATTAAAGGAAAGCTTAAAAGGATCATTTTCAAAAATATTAGGAAAATGTACCAAAATTCTAAGAATGAGACTTCCTGACAATTTTCAAGTCAGAGGAATTGGCAATGAGATACAAGATCCCCAGCTGAATAGTCTGGGAACTGCTACGCTAGAAAAACAACAAATTCTTCCACAGACTCAGTCTAAATACGGAGTCCCAAAGGCAGAGTGCCAGCAGGCAACTCAAGGGAGACTAGCTCCTGCAAAGAGCAGGATCATATTCTACTTCTTGTCTTCCACTGCCTCCTCCTGGCACACACATCCTCCACGTCTTATTCCCAATGACTTACTCTTCACTGCACTGTCCCACAGAAACAATTATAAAGTCTCCTGAACAGGTATTACCGTGACACTGAGGTACCGAACTAGATCAAAAATACAAGGCTGTGTACAGAATAGTAGCAGACAAGCACTAAACCAGAGAAAGCATGTCCAAAAGCACTCTTTATTCAAAATCAGATACTTCTAAAAGGGTATGGAATTTTAAGTGAATGACAACTTCTGGAAAGCAAATGTAGATGCCATTTTTCCCCTCTGCCTGGATTCCCATATTTCAAAATTTATTTTAATTAACAGCTTTACTGGATACGATTTATATACCAAAAAAGTCACATGCTTATCTATTTTATATCCTGTATGGTTATCAATAGCAGGGCACAGCAACTTTTCTGAATGAATAAAATATAAATGTATTGGATTACAAGTTACTCCCAGATAATCTAGCCAGGGTGAGCATATGGATCCAGGGTGAACACATGGATCCACCAGTGTCTATGCAGCCACACGGGAGGTATCATCCCGACATGTCAGATGGGGGTGTATCCAGGACACCCTTTTGTTTTAAATGTTGCTGGAAATAATCCTAACACATTTGAATAAAGCAGGAAAAAACAGAACTTCAAAACAGGTATGTATTGAATTCATACAGCCAACATCAACTTTTACATGTTCCTTTGACAGGTAAGCTAACTTCCTTTCTGCTTAGCTGTCCTCTCTTCGATGGGAACAGTTGAGACCCTGTGATGCGAAGGTTAACTTCACCAGTCAGAGAAGCAAACTTCTCAGTCGGTCCATGAATGCTGGGACTATGGTTTAGCTAATCACTCCTCTGAATGTTTAAGCAGATAAAATTAGTGGACCAAAAAAAGAAAAAAAAAAAAGGTGTTGAATTTGTTTACTACATTCCCTTTTCAAAGTAAGATTTCTCTGAATTCTCTCTAGTCACATATGAAAAAAAATCAAGGCAACTGCCTCATATGTAAAAAGGCTGGAGCTGGCTGTGGAGAACTGATGGTGAAGAGATTGCTCACTAGTCCAAAGTCTGAACTGAAGGTTCACCTAAATGTAAATGAAATCTTCACTGGCAAATCTGATGTAGATAACTCATTTTAGAACCACAGACAGTAGGGCCAGGATTGTGGGGTAGTGGGTTAAGTGTCCCACTGTCACATCTGCGACTCCCACGGGTGCTGATTCAATTCCCAACTGTTCCACTCTGGATCCAGTTCTCTGCTAACATGCCTGGGGAAGCAATGTCCAAGTGCTTGGACCCCTGTGACCCACAAGGGAGACCTGGAGGAAGATCCTGGCTTCCAGGCGTGGCCTGGCTCAGCCAGGGCAGTTGTGGACTATCTTGAGAGTGAACCAGTGGATGAAAGACCTCTTTCTCTTTCAAATAAACAAATAAATCTTAAAACACAGACTGTTATTTTATAATATGTTTTAAACCAATACCTATACTCTGCAAAAAAGCCCCCCAAAAATTGGTCTTCAGACCATTAGCTAAAAATAATTTCACAGAAAGATCATAAACTTAAAAAATCACCTGCTAGTGTTGGAGTTAGGGCACACTGGCACAGTGGATTAGGCCGCTGCCTGCAACACCAGTGTTCCCTAGCAGTGCTGCCTTGAGTCTAGCTGCTCTACTCAGATCCCGCTCCCTGCTAACGCACTTGGGAAAGCAGCAGAGGCGTGCCAGGAGCTTGGGCCCCTGCTACTCCCACTACGTGGGAGACCCAAAGGAGCTCCTGGACCCTCGCGTGGGCCTGGCCAGCACCAGCAGTCTGTCATCATTTGTGGGGTAAATCACTTTCAAATGTGAATCTCTCTGAATTCTCTGTGAATCTCTTCCAGAGCTCTGTAAATTTATTTCAAATAATAAGTCAATCTTTAAGAAAATACATGGGGAAATGACAAGATACAATTTAAGAGTTTAAAAGTATATGTAATGGTGGAAAAAGAGAGAAGCCTGGGCAAGTATTGTGACACAGCGTGTCAAATTGCTGCTTGCAAACTTGGCGACTCTTATCAGAGTGTGACACAGGACCTAGACAGAGCTCCTGGGTCCTGCCTTCGCCCTGACACACTCCTAACTGCAGCGGTCTCGGGAACCAGAGCATGGAAGATATCTTTCTCTCCCTGTCACTCTACCTTTCAGATAAAGAAACAAATCTAAAAAAACAAAACAAAAAGTCAGCAGAGTAATAAAGGACCACTAAGGGCAGACATTTTCATTTTTCCAATATAAATGCAGGGTAAGTGGAAACAGATGCCTTCCCTCGTCTCAGGTTGAACGTGACAATTTCTTCTAATTACAGAAATAACTCTGCCAGATTTCAATCTGCTGCTACAGAGAACACATTTCTGCTTAAAATAATCTTAAAAAAAAAAAGTCTGGATTTAAAGCAGTTTTTGCTTTGTTTTCCAGAAGATGGGAAAGTTAGATAGATATGCTCTTGGCCCCGGGGAACCCTGGGCATCCACACCTTCTGTTCTATCCGCCTTTGTGAAAGAACTACCCAGGCTAAGCAGTGCGTGGGAGAGCAGAGAGAGTTCCAAATCAACAGGTGATAAACATGTTGAACATGAAATTCCCTTTCTACATGTTCACCTTCCAAATTACTCAGCTTTCCATTTCCATTCTCTCCATTTAAGATTCCGTATAAAGAGATTTATTTCCACACTTGAAAATGACACTCTGTTTCTCAAATAAAAATGAATAACTATATTGAAAAAAAAACCCTCCCTGTATTCACTGTATTTAAACAAAACACTTGAAACATCCCTGTCCCAATGATTACATGTGTTTCCTGGCATTCTGGTGGCCAAACACCAAGTCTGATGAGGCTTACTGTTCTCAGAAGTTCAAGCTACAACATAAAGGTGCTGCACTATATGCATGATGTTGTGCAATACACAATTTCACCAACGATTTACCCTAATTACAAAAGTCTCAAAATTTACCTGACGTTGTCATGATGAGGATTAGACGTGGCGGCGGCAGACCCACCACGCAACACGGGTCTAGGCAGGTTTTTGCGGGAGAAGGCACAAGACAGAATCAGGAAACAGAGGAGTGAGAAAATAAAAGCAAAAACAAGACAAATAAATGTCAAATTGGATTATATTGTATGTTTCAATACAATATAATATTTCTCACTTTAGAAATGATTCACATGTCCTCCAGTTTATCATTTCTACAAATTTCACATTTTATAATTGTTCCAATAAAAAGAATCTATACTTATGTGACAAAAAGAGCATTAACATACACGATTATCCCTTTCGTGCTTACTACTATAATTTACAAAATCCAAGAGAGAAGGGCAATCCTCACTTAAAAGGTGTAATCCCACTCTTCTAGTTGCAAAAAAAAAAAAAACAAAACCCAGTAATTTTATAAGCAACAACTGCAGAGCAGCCTGCCTGAGCCTGGTGTCTCATCAGGTACCAACAGCTCTGTTCCTAAACCATGAATTTCAACAGTCTCCCTTCCTACAGCTCTTCCGTCTCGTTAATGCTGGCTGGCACCTGGCATTACAACGCAGCTGTGTGTCCTTACGCCCTCTGCAGCTGGAGAGGTCAGGGACCACACTAAGGTGCACTGTGGGAAGCAGGCTCAGTGTGAGGCAACTGGGAGTGACATCCGGGGCTGCTGGCAAGGGCTAGGGTTAGGGGCACTGGGCAACTGTGTGGGCACAGTCACTTGGTTTCAGACATACTTGGTTCCAGAGGCTGAGGAGTTCTTTCTACTATCTCTTACATTTAAAACAGGAACTGGCAATATTTAGCATCCAGAGAAAGAAAATTGGGGTAAAGGACCCATGTAAGATTCCAAGGATTATCCAACACTACTTTGTCTTATTTTCTAAGTAACTGGTTTGCCTGAATTTAAGCATCGAGGCAGTACTTAGCCAGAGTAAATATTCAATATCAAATACACTGGTTTTCCAGCAAGTAGGAACACCTATAGAATTTTGACTGAAACATAAATCATTTTTTGACAATTTAATTTATACAATAACATTTTAATGTTTAGCTTCTGTATGTCTGAAAGGTATTATCAGTTTTTAAAGAAAATTTCTGTAGCCTACAAGACAGGGATTCAGACTTTTTCAAAGAACAACACACTGCATGTTCGAGACTGGTTTTAAATCCCGCCCATCCCACTAACACATTCATTCGGTGACATTAAAAAAACTGCAATTTAAACGTCACCTTATATTACATTGATTAACTGAGTAGACCTACTGCATGTGCTTCCTTAATTTTTCTTTTAAAGCTACACCAGGAGGGGGCAACTGTCCTGTGTATCCTACATTAAAATGGCTTCAGATTCCAGCTGCAGCCAAAGCTGGCCCTGAGAAGCGGCACGCCGAGGGCGCATGGGACCTAAGTGGGAGGCGTGGACTGTGTGACCAGCATCCGGTGCTAGCCACAGCTCAGCCCTGGCTGTTGCAGCATGTGGGAGTGTTCTATCCACCTCCCTGCTTCTCAAAACTCAAAACAGATTCTAGAGAATGTATAGTGTTACGCTCACAGGGATCCACCAAACTGAACACATTCTACCATAGCGGTTTCCCTTTGACAATGCAGAGCCAGAAAATAATACAGTTACCTTTCACAACGTATTTCATTTTGTCTTCTCACACTGGCAATTGACACATATAATATAAAAGTAAATTAGACAAGTAGTTGGCAAAATAAGAAACTTCATTCAAGCACCACTTCCTATTGTAAGTAAAAGCTAATACACAAAAAGTCTTAGCAACCATGTTTTGTTATTAAAGCGGCAAAGGGAACTCCACAACTACCGATCTTAGCTATTACCTTGCATACTGACATTTTTGAGTAAATATAACATCTGAATTTTTTGCTATATAAATGTACACTGCCACAGCAAATAGACTGGGGGGCCAGGGAGTACATTTTATTTCAAAGAAAAGTTGCAAATAATAAATGCAGTGTCAACTACAACTCTGCATATGTAAGTCCTTCAAATTATTTAGTTACAGGGTTATGTGCCAGAAATATAAATTATTCACATCTATTCACTCAAAGCTAGTATAATTTGATAAAGAAAAAGTGAATAAAAGTAATCATGTTGCTCCTAAAAACAAAATTCAAGCCTGAATTACTAATCAATATTTAAATAACATTCATACATATAATTAAGTTCCATTATAAAAAGGTTAACATTTCAAACTGGAGATTTAGGAATTCTCTAAACCTCCAAAGTCCAAACTGTGGTAGCATTTGAGGTCCCTCTGCCCCTGAACAAAAACACGCCTGGTGCTTGTCCCAGAATGTACTAATTTTCAGAGCTCACACTGTGGCACAGTGGATTAAGCGGTGGCTGCAATGCTGACATTAGGCATGGTCAGCAGCTTCTCAGCCGCTCCGCTTTTGTTCCAGCTGCCTGTTACTGCGCCTGGGGAAGCAGCAGAGGATGGCCCAAGTGCATTGCCTCCTGCAGCGTAGCAGCCCAGCTGAAGCTGCAGGATCCTGGCTGAGGCCTGTCCCAGGCACGGCCATTGTATCTACTTGTAGAGGGAATCAGCAGAAGGAAGACCTCGCTCTTTCTCTAGCTTTCAAATAAATGAGTCTTTAAAAATTTAAATGTATGAGTTTCCAAATGTCCCTGAACAAATAAACTTTCCTAATGTGCACTAGGATTTAACTTGATTTTCATGTTGAGCTTCATTTATGTCACTCAAGTCCCCACGAGAAAAAGAAAACACTGTCATAAACGTGACAGCATCCCTTGGAGTGTGAACTAAACATAGGTCCTGTCAAACAATTGTGAATTTGCATCATTTTATAATAATACAATAGAACAGAAAGCTCTCAGACTCTTCCCAAAAGCTCTAGCTTAAATTAACCTGCCAAGATGCCACAGAAACAGAGATAAGCTAAGACATTAGCACAACAGCCAAGAGTAACAAAACAGAAAAACATGAAGGATACAGTCAGGGACATAAACGCACTTACGAGCTTACGAGCACATGACTTTACACTCATGCGGAGAGAATATCATCCAAATTTCACATTCCTGTTTCTGATATCTGTAAGGTCATGCTAGAAACTTCTCACGGCAGAAATAAGAACTAACTTGAAACTTAAAAAACTTATAAAAACTATCAGAAACACAGATGGACTTGGCTCCAAGGAAACAATTAATGGCACAGATCCAGGAGCAAAAGTCAATAATATAATTTCTTTATGAATTTGAAAAACCTTGTAACTCCAGAAAAGGAACTTTAGAGCCATCCAATCTATTAAAACATACACGCAAGTTTTCACTAGGAGTTCAAAACATGTCTTCTTTAAAAAATATACAATGGTTGCAAAAGTAAGGTTTCTGATTTTGCACACGTGAACTTGAGGTGAAAGTTCTTCCTATTACTGATTTTTTTTAAAAAAATATGCATCCCTGTATTGAATATGTGTCCTGTGTTGGCAGGAGGTAAAAAAATCATGTAACTTTAATGGAGTGGCACTGTGTCTTCAAGTCAATTACTGTTTAATCTATACAGGATTTAGAAATATTTTTCTTATTCAAATATTTTCACTACCATAACAGCATTTGGTATAATATAGTCTGACCTGAGCAAACTGATGTCTTCTAAAGATCTACTGTAATTAAAAAGTTAGAAAATTATCACATACAAAACACTTTAAGGAGGGACACCTAATATTTGTAATCAACTGTTCTTACATTTCAGATACTTTATACTCAGAATCTTTTGAAGGAGCTTGTACTACACTAAGAGTTTGAAGCCACTGTGCCTGTATCTCAGAAAAAGGTGGGGGAAGAAACGATTTCTCTTTTATTATTTATTAATTATTGTAAAGTCGGATTTACAGAGAGAAGAGACAGAAAGATCTTCTGTTCACTTGTTCACCCTCCACAGTTACTCATTTAATTGAACAAAATTAGGCATTACTGAGAGCCAGAGAAGTTAAGTAATTTATTTATTTACTAAAGGCGACGATGGAACTGTTTAGTGAGACTGCTCCGGACTTGTTCTGTGGGGCGTTTGTTCTCATGGTAGAGGGTCATGCTCTGGGCGTTGGTTCATGTCTCAGCTGCTCCACTTCCCAGCCAGCGCCCTGCTCATGACCTGGGAACACAGTGAAGGACGGCGCAAGGCCTTGGGACCCTGAACCTGCGTGGGAGACCTGGAAGAGGCTCCTGGCTCCTAGCTTCAGGTCGGCTCAGCTCCAGCCATTGTGGCCACTTAGGGAGTGAACCAGATGTCTCTGTCTCTCCTCCATGTATTATTCTGTGTTTCCAATAAAAATAAATAATTAAAAAAAAGATGTTCTTGCTCCATGTCAGAGTGCCTGGGTTCACATCAGCTCCACACCCCAGCTCCCTGCCAATGCACACCTCGGCAGTAAGCAGCCAGGAGCCTGGCGCCCACAGGGAGACGTGGACTGACCTCCTGGCTCTAGCATCGGCCCATTTTCAGTCAATTTCAGCATTTTGTGTCTCTAGCGAGGTGGGAACAGGAGGCTGTGGAATACTGATTTGAATGCAAGTGGCCCTCTAAATCCATGCTTTATGTTCTAAATCTTCCTGCTGCATACACTACCAAATAGTTTGAGAGTCAGTGAACATACAAGGCTTCTAAAGCATGACAGGAAAAAGAAACAAAGCATAGAATGAGCATCCGTAAATCTAACCTCTGAAATCCAAAATGCTCTGAAATGTGAAATCCTTGGTGTGATCTGATGCTCCAGAAAACAGATTTTGGGAACACTCCGGATGTCCAGATTAGGGGTGCTCAAGCAATGAAGTGTATGAAAATATTTCAAAATTCAAAAATCTCACCCCAAGCATTTCTGATATGGATACTCAACCTGCATCTCCTGCATCCATGTGCACACAGGTATACAGGTACACAAAACCGCTCCACGCCAGGAGCTCTCTAGGCTCCTCCGTGTGCAGCTTTAACTTCTTGGGCCCAAATACCCAGCGTTAGATGCAGCCTGGGAAGGCTCGGAAAGCCCAAGGCTTCAACAATGTGAAGCGGTACAGACAAGCACTCGGGAGGCAGGACTGAAAGCACTCAACAAGGAAAAAAAGCTCCTGTTCACAGCAAGTTGAAATACTAACAGTTTGGTTTGTTTTTAAAGAAATACTACCGGTTTTTAAAACTGCCAGTTTTTAAAATACTACCAGTTTAAAAAATTTTGCTTACTGCAAAGATAGTTTAATTTATTGGAAATTCTTCAAAACGTAAAAATTAACAGTCTGATGAAAAGAAGAAAAATCGAAGCACCAACTTTGACAAGTTATTAGGAAGATGTTTTGAGTTTAAAGTAATTATTCCTTTTGTACACTGCTCAAAAAAAACCCTCCGTAAATTTCATCTTTTATAAATACTTACAGTAATAAAGCAAGGCAAAAATGCTTGAAACTACTGCAATGAAATATTATATAAGCAAATAAGTAGGCTATTGATCATTTTATTAGTTGTTCAGAAGTGAGATAAATTGTTAATGCTGAAAAACAACAGTACTATCAAAAAGATAGTAATGTTTTGGAATTTCCTTACAGTTTTAGAAATCCTTTGAAAAGAAGAAAAGAACAAAGCCCCTGGCAGCCACACTTAGAGCATTTGTTCATATTTGCTCCTTACAAATAATGAGATCAAGACTCAGCGAAGACAGTACCCATCAGTTCAATCCCCACACCGCAGCCACTGGGGCCCTCAAAATACTCCAAGATGGAATCCAGGGCTTAAACTGGGTCAAGAAAACTTTTGAAGACAATCACTACACTTCCTGCAAACGATGACTCTCTGAAGAAAAGCTAATGTCACCTGGTGAAATGTGAATTTTGGACAATAATTTCAAATTAAGAGAAAGCAAAGCAAGCTGTTTCAAACCACTGCATCTCAGAGAGACTAGCGAGTGCAAACGTAAAATAAAGTTTAGAACATAAGAAGCCAATAATACGCGACACAGCTGGCAAGAGTCATTGACGGCCAATCACCTGCGATTTTCATCCAGCACATCCAAGATCTGCTGGTAAGCCCTACGAGTAGAGGACTGGATAAGCGACAAAATGCCACGAGCAGAGGAAAGGTTAGCTCCATCTTCAGGTAACATATGGGGAGGACAGACCCGAGTCTGTTGTGGCGATGGTGTCACACTGTTTACATAAGCACAGCAAATGAAGAGAAAAACACTCAAGTCAGATTCTTATAAAACTTCATCTGAACAGCTTTTATCTTACTTTTCTTGCCCCCTTTTCCCACCCTCCACTTTCCCCCAAGAAACAAACCAAGCAAATTAATAAGCATTTTGAATTGTTTTTGCAAAAGTAACTACAATGTAACACTGTAAACTCTGTAAAGGGCAACATCAAAATAAACAAACACGAAAGAACAATCTGGGGTGGGAGGAGAACTAGAGTGACCAAATATTAAATTCCCAGCTTTGAAAAAGCAGCATTCATTACCGAGCACACATTCCAAGTCAGCACACCAAGTCTGTACTAAACCTACAAATGGATGACCAGAGGGGCAGGATGAAAAATTCTGGTACACACGTGTCAAGCTTTAAACACATGACTCAGAGACAATTCCATGAAAATGGTACTTGAAAAATTTCACAAGGACGATGAAGTTATTTATGAAGAATGAATGTCATTGATTTCAGAAATTAAACATCTCAAAAAACTGTTAACAGCATTTTAACAGTTTCAAGCACATCTTTTCCACCTCTCTGGCTGTAAGACAAAAACCATTACCAATCCTGTAGCAGAGAAAGGAGGTAACGCTACTTGTCATCGTCATAACTGCTGAGAAAACAACTATTCCTTTGCCTCTTAGTGACAGAAATCTTAACTGCTCTCTCACACATGTGAACTGAGACCACATTTTTTCTGATTCTACTGTCAGCGCTTTCCTGAAAAATTAAAAAACACAAACTTCTGCACACTTTTTGTTCCCAAAAGGGGCAAGAAATTCACTTCTCAAAGCTGTTTTAAAAGACCCGGGCTTTATACCAAATTCATACAGCCTCGTGGCTAGTACATGTGTATGCCCGTTCAGAGACGAAGACGCCTTTGGCACACATGCCAGTGCATCAACAGGCAGTGGCACTGGGAAAATCCAAATGAGGCCCAGCCCAGAGAGCACAGAAACCCCACGGAGTCATCCTGTGCTCAGAGCTCTCTAGAGCTACCAACATCAAACCCTGAAGAACCTTGTAAACGTTTATGAGAAATCACACTAAGCCTATGTCCAAAGTGTATCACTGAGGCAGCCTTGAAAATGGCTAGATCTGGGACAGCACAATCACCCATCCTACCAAGGCATGGTACTTTATGTATCATTTTGTACCAATAAACAAACTTGCTCCATATTAATGCATTAAAGCTTATAATAGTAAATATTTAGAATTACAACCTTAAAGTAATAATATCAATAAATTAAATACAAATCTATACAGAATTTCATAGATTTATGCTATTAAAAATTAAAATATAAAATGGCTACTTTCTTTAAGCAAAATCATTTTGCCAGAAAGAATCAATAAGATATTATCAACTTAATTCTGAAAGTACAAATGTTTTCTGCTCATATGTAAAACTTGAGGTGCTACAATTAACTTCAGGTTGAATGCAAAGAATTCTTAATATGCAACACACAGCAAAGGTCACTATAAAACACTCAAATTTCAATTCTAAGTCTGTATATTCATATGGAATTGGAACATGGGAATAAATGGGGGGGAATAGCCTTATATGACACTCAACTATGACTTCACAGGAAAAAAAATCTATTTAAAAAAGATGAAATGAACTCTACAGTATTAGTAAAGATTTATTTCATCAAAGAGCAACATCAAAAATATTTAATTTCTGGTTATCAAAAGAAATCAAAATTTTGAAAATTAAGATAATTAACATTTATTTAATATGGCATCCTTCAAAAACAGAGCAGGAAATGTTTTTTAAAGAACTACTTCTGACAGCATCCAAACAGACTAAAGGCCCTTGCCCGTGACTATCTACTTCCATCTACAAATGAACTCAATGATTATGAGACCATCAAAACTATACTCAGAAGTAGTAAACACTTTAACAATGTTTTCATTTTCACAGGATTTGCAGTGTTGTGGTCTTAGGCAGTTAGTTCTGGTCATAAACTTGAAAGTCACACCTCCCTGACCTATGTGGTCCTTTGTTCACCTGTCACCATCTGGAACCTGAGAGGGGGTGGTACTCCGTTGTTACATAACGACCCCCCCCACCCCCGGGGAAGGCCCATGACAGGGAGGGACCCGCTCTCTGGGTCACGTGTTTCTATGGCTCTAGCGTTCTGACTCTTGGCCTCCCCAGGACCCGCCCGCTCTCTGGTGTCCCACAGTCAGACACAGGAAGCCCCACAAGTTGGTATCCCTCACCCGCTGGGCACTGTTTGGGAAAGCCAGTGACAAGGCTAATACTGAGCTGCTTTGTATTTCTGATTTGTGTTTTCTCAAGAGTTCCTCCTAGCAGTAATGGAATATGGACAGAGAAGTCAGCAAAAGGTGAACGTTTGCACCTTTGTGTGTCCGGGTTGTTTGCTGTAGTAATTAAATATTCAACATGTCTCTTAGGATAATTTATACTGCTGGGAGCTGGAACATAGGTCTTCAGTTAAGCAGACAGGTTTCAGGGTAATAACCATTTGCTCCTCTCAGGGTTTCGAATCAGACTGGATTACCACTGGACATATCATTTGGTAATTTCTAGTGGGCCCTGTTATCACCAAGCTTGGTTAATAAAGACTCCTTAACACATCCTAGACTTGTCTGGCATGATCTCTCTTGCACCGCACAACAGCAGTTTTGTAATTTTTTTTAAACAAATTGAGAAACAAAGAAAAGTAAGATCCGCTCTAAGAGTCTGACACTGCCGAAGGTCCCCGCTCTGTCAGTGCTTTTGGAGCTGGCATTTAGCTCAGTTCCACCAAGTTTGGTGATTTAGTTTTGACAAAGGAACCATTATGAGAAGCTTAAGCAGAGTGCAAGTGCTTGTGCTGCTTTAAGCAAATCACACAATGTTAGTCGTTTAGTTCAAATGTACTTGGATGACAAATCGACCCTAGTAATATTATAAAACAGCAAAATTTCATTTACTTATTTTAGACTAAAGACCAGACAGGCTGAAGGCAGCACCCTGCACACCATGTTATGTCACTAAGACATGACATCATGCTCACACGTAAGAGTCAGCCAGTGTCAAACACTTCACTAGGCATAACTAACAGTGAACTTAAAGTCAAGTACCCTTTCCCTGCAGTGTTTTGGGGGAGGAGGGAAATAATGCTTCTTACACTGTGCGTTTACATTTATGTTGATGCTATCAGCCTCTTCCAAACAACAATGAGGATAAAAGTCTAAAACATGTTTCCGGAGAGACGAATCCTTGGCCGCAGGGCTCCCTCTCCTGCATTCGCTTCTGAACTCGCACAGTGTACACCACACTCTGCCCAGCGAGCCCAGGCACTCCCACACCCTGAGTCTGTCACACTGACACAAAGGGTGGGTGGCTTCAAACACTGGAAAAAATAAAAAATATTTCAAACCTAATTTTAATCTACATAATTAAAAATACAACAACAAAACAACTTCAGTGATGAGCCATGCCATACAGGGATTCTACTCCTATTTGGGTCCCACTGAAACAATAAGGGCTCATGCGCTGCAATCTTAAGACTTCGGTAACTAGGCCTGGTCAAACTGAGTCTAGTGAGAACTGATAGGCCAACCAAACAAAATGGAAAAGGTTGCTTGGTTCTTACGTATAAATGATTCCATTTTCTTTTTACCAATATATCATGAAACTTCCCAAACTGGCTTAGTCTTTTCCTTAAAAAAAAAAAAAAGGAATATTGACAATCTGAGAAATCCTAAAATAGAGGTACTAAAAATCCAAACTTAGAAAAATTAGAGCATTAAGTGTGAATTATCTGGCACAATAGATTAGCAATGTAAGGCTGCAAAGTTAAAACAACGCTCACTCATGAAGCAGCAGAGCAGATAAAATCTTACGTGTACTCCGGTGCAGAAATCGGCGCTTGGAACCTTGATATTTTATTTCTTGGGGCAGAATCTGATCTGTACCACCTTAAATAATAATTATGCTTCTTTTACATATTCAGTTTTTTTAACAGAAAGAACAAGCTAGACACACTTCCACTGCTCACCGCTCCTCCCTGTCTGCGTTTCCCAGGGACAGGCGCCTGCGCAGGGCACTCAGCAGCCTGCACAGTCTGCCTCACAGCACACAGAAAAGATTAAAGCAATTGAAAGTAACAAGAGTTTAATACCTACTGGTGATCAGGCTTAGAGACTCAAAGATGAATTAAAAATGATAGAACTAATTAATGGCAGGAGAACAAGTGGCAGTTAAATTATTAACAGAAAGACGGTTAAGTATCTTACCACACCGTGATAACACACCCAACACCTACAGGACAAGGTATGACTGAGTAACAGTAAGTGTTTCACTATGGAAGTGTAAAGACTGGTAACCACTGACAGCGAAATGAACTGTGAAAATACAAGTTTGGTTTTGTTTGGTTTGTTTTTTTACTTTTATTAAGACAATGACAAAACGTCTCTAAGGCAAGTTAAACTCAAATACTGGTTACCACCATTTCTCAAATCAGAACTTGCATTATTGGTTAAGCACAAAAGCATCTACTAATCATTCGTTCTCCAGCACACTCCTTGGGCTCCCACAGGACAGAGCTGTTTCTCTCCAGCTAAAACTGAAAACATGCTAACATAATCCTGTTTTTATTTATATACTTTCAAAGTAATGAAGGACTTAAATATTGTTATATCTATACATTGAAACGTTTACTAGAAATGTTTAAAGCCTTTAAAAAATATAAAATGCAAATAGAAATAATCAAAGCCTTAGATGTACATTTAATTATTCTGCTACAGTACTGAAGATCAAAGGCAATTTTAGATGTAAACTACATAGTCTTTTGGTTGTTTATATATGTGGAAACATCCTGCAACCCAGTCACCCAGTTCCAGACCATCGTCAGTGAGACACCTTCACGGAAACACACACTCAACCACCAAGAAATTCTCATATTAGCAGTGGCTGAATCCTTCAGACAAGTTTCGACTGAAGGAGATAAAATTACATACTCTAACTTCAGAATAACAATAACTACTCTAGGAGACATTTCAAAATTCTCTAAGCAATCAGAAGAGCTACAGTCTTGAGCGCCTACCTAATACAGGAGGGAGGAAAGAAGCCTGCTAATGGCTTACACTGGGGTTGGGATTTCCCTGATCTAAACACCACCGAACGGCCACTCCAGACATCGGGGCAACACCCTCTTTATTCTCAATATTAAACCGTTATTCCCATCATTATTTTGCACCTCCTGCATTCCTCATGCACGTCCAAAGGGGAACTTAACGTAAGTAGTACATGCTTCAGCTCATTTGCATATAAAATTATCAGTTTTGGTTTTAACCTGATCTTAAGTTAAAAAAAACAAGATGTATCATCCGACTCATTCACAATTCCAGGGATGTAAACAGGATGCTTGGCATGACATAGAGTTCATGAGTTCATGAAAACTGCTGTAGAAGAAATCTTATACTTAACATCCTAATCTAATTTAAAAAGTCACAGTTGGCAACGGCTGTGAAATGTAACATTCCAGGTAGTTCTCGATGGGAGATTTTATTTGCAAACATTTATTAACAAATAGAAAACACTGTCTTCATCTAAAATGTCTCGTGGTTATTTCATATAGTTTATAAGTAAATGAGAAAGGTTTAAGCAGATAATGCCTCAAAAACAACACCTTTCTATTTTTTGAAAATGAGAAGGACTTAATAATGATTCAATGAATCACCAAGTAAATGCCTGCAACATTTTTTATGAAGGAAAAAAAAAATCCGTCTACTGCACAGCCCCGTTCACCAGCAGGGCGGGCAAGGCTGGTTTATCTTCTCGTGGCAACGTGGATGACTTGACAATAAAGACATTCTTACACACACCTCCCTTCTATTCTTCCATCTACACGGCAGCGAAGCACCTCTAGGTACCGTATATACCTGAGTGCTCAGGGCTATCTGCCCTAAGCACACTTCAGAGGTGCTTTCTTAAGTAAACATGAAATTCATGGAAGAGTAGCACACACACTTATAACAAAATTCTCATGACCAACAAAACGGCCAAATTTTAAGACTATAACAAATATCACAGAAGGGCAAAATAGATGGAAATACAAAACAGAAATTTTAAAGTATGACAAGAAATTATTTACAAAGAGACGAGCACAGAGGAAACGCTGAGGGAAATCCCAAGGAAACCACGATGCCAGCAGCGCTACTCACATGGAATCATTCCTGACCAGCTGTCCATTTTGGCGAACAGCATTTTCACTCATGGAGCGTTCTCTTTTTAGCCTGCCAACTGCCCGGATCTGTTCATGTACAAAGGGGAGGAACAGAAAACACTCTTAGTAATCTAGTAGCTGCTTAATATAAAAAAACGAAAACAAAAACCCCCTTCAATCCAAATGTGCTCACGAAGCTGACACAGAGCATCAAGAGCGACCAACTACGGCTGCGAGGCAAGAGTGTTAGACACAGACCCGTCACATCTACGCACCGCAATGTGGAAAAACTCATGCCTGTTTACCGCCAGCTAAAAGGTATTCTGGCTTATTGCTAAGCATGAATTTTTGAATAATTAACTGTTCCATGAATCTTTGTGAAATCGCCTCCAGGAGCAGTGTCCTTCCTTCTAGAATATCAAAAATAATAATAAAATACATGGAGGCTAAGTTTTTTTTTTAAATAAAAAAAGGCATAGTATTTGCGTATAATCCACACACAAACTACTATATACTGTAAATCATCTCTAGATTACACCTAGTCCCTAGAGCATTGTAAATGCTATGTAAATAGTTGGCACAATGTCTCGTTTAGAAGACGGTAACCGGTACACACTGCAGTGCAGCCACAGCCGGCAGAGGCCTAACCGCTCTGAAGAGCTGCACGGAGCGCTGCGCAGGGGCCGGAGTGCTGCGCAGGGGCCGGACCCGGGAGCCAGCACGAGGCGACCGCCGACGTGTGTACACCTCACTTCATTACGGACTCAGGGAAGCGCTCCGCACAGGGATCTCAGTGTTGGGAATTGTCTGGAGGTTTTCCCCAGGGATATTTTTGATGCATGGTTGGATCATCCGAGGATGCAGAACCTGCACATAAGGGAAGTGAGCTGTACTCTATGCTGTCATTTATATTATACGCATACTTGTATTATTTTTTAATTGTTTTTACTGGAAAGGCAGCTATACACTGAGAGGCAGATGCGGCAACATCTTCCATCTGCTGGCTCACTCCCCAAGTGGCAGCAATGGCTGGACCTGAGCCTATCCACAGCCAGGAGCTTCTTCCAGATTGGCCGTGCAGGCTCACTGTCCCGACACTCTGGGCCACCCTCTACTGGTGTGCCGGACCACAAGCAAGGAGTGAGATGGAAGTGGAGCAGCTGTGATATGAACCAGCGCCCATATGGTATCCTGGCAGATGTAAGACAAGGATTTAGCCACTAGGCTATCGCGCTGGGCCCTACTTGTATTATTTATAAGAAAAATTTATAGGAGTTTTGAACACATATATGTTACAGGAAATGAGATATATAAATGTTCCTAGCTTCTAGGACTAAAATAAATTCAGATTTCATTGGATATTTTAAAACTACCCTAAAAAATCAAAGTATCTTTTTACCTTAATTGCTGTGGCATTCTAGAATAGCCACAATGTCACATGCTCTTCTTACAAAACCGATCTCTTTCTTCCATTAAAAAACAAGACCTGGCACAGAAGCAACGTGCATATCCCACACGGGAGTGCGTGGGTTTGGTTCTAGTTTCTCGCTAATATGCATCCTAGCCGGTACTGGGCGACGGTTCAGTTTGGTTCCTGCCACCACATGGCGACCACAGCCAGGAGCCTGGAACTCCAGCCTGGTCTCCCGGTGGGTGGCAGGGCTCTAAGCACTCGGGCATTCTTGGCTGCTTTCCCAGGCCTAGGAGCAGAACCGAGGCTCACATGGGATGCTGGTGTCACGGGCAGTAACTTAACCCAAAGCAGAATGTGAGCCCTGATTTATTGATCTTGGTATTAACAACATACTTGGTGGGGGCGGTGGTAACAAGACAAAAACAAATAATTGCCATGTTGTCTAAAATGACTGACTTGTATACTGTAACAACAAAGAAGTTAGACATTGCCAGGGATGGAAAGAAATACAATGATTTAAACATTTTCTTTGTTTATATCAAAATGAAGGGTTTTTTTTTTAATTCCAGATTTTTAAATGTCATTTAGAACCTTCCAGCACTGACAACCCACTTCAAAGTTCACTCATTTCTGAGGCTGAGAAGTAGCTTCTTAGCTTGGAGTAATTTCCTAGAAGTTGGACCACAGGGTCTTTTGTCTGGCTATAAAACAAGTAGTACTCAATACATGTTGCATACACACAGCTACTCTCTTTTCAGCATGATTTTACTCCAAGTTACATCTGCTAACCTGTAAGTTCTTGGTCATGTAAGAGCCGTCCACGTTTTTGTTTGCTGGTTCTCTCGAGCTGTCCAAAGCCTCCCACTCCTCTAAGAATCTGCCCATCTGCCTCAGTATCTCTCCCATGCTCATTCTGTTTCCCAAGGGGCTTTTTGTTAGAGACAGAGAACAATGTGGACTGAACACCACAAGCAACATCTTCCCTCCTCAAACAAGCCCTGCAGGGAAGAGTTGGACACGTGCTGGCAGGTTATGGGAAGGAAGCTGCACCGTGTGGCAGTCGGTAAGAGACCACAAGGAGCAGTGCAAAGGGATGGTCTAAAGCTTCCATGGACGAATGCACACACATATACAGAATTAAACTGCTCTGCGGCCTCTTCTCTGCTGACTTTTTTGTCCAGTCTTCTCACTGTAGCCTCAGCTCTTCCTTCTACAAATGAGAAGGAAGTAAAAGCAGCTAAGCAAACCACCATCAAACTGTGATCAGGCCCGTGTTCATCAAGTTCTTAATGTTCCAAGCCATTACAGTATCCACTGAAGCATCCGGTGAATGCCTAGGTGTCCTTTGAGATTTGTCTTAGGACGTGCCACATCACTGGATGACCAATTACATTCTAGGTCCACCATGACTGCTTGTTCCATTGCCAAAGGTGGTTATGCAAACTGAACTGGGCCACTGCAGGGCATTTATGAGCATCTGCTGCTTCTTCACAGATCAAGAGCCTTTCTACTAGACATTGACTACCACTTTCCCAGAGCAATCTGTGATGAGCGTGGTTCCAGCTGGGTGACACTTCTCCCAGCTGTGAGCTCTGCACATGATTCCACTGACAGCGACTGCAGCAAGTGTGCATGGCTTGGAGATAGTTCCCTTCCCGAAAGCATTCATTGCCTTGGCTTTTCTCTTCCAAAATCGGAACAAGCTATAGGAATCTGTTCCTCCCAGACCACACCTGGCTGTTGACTGCTGTGAGGTGTATCTGGAGTTCAGTGCTCTTCCAAAGATTAATTATACAAATGAATGGTATTTTCATATTTCTGTTCTCTGAAGGAGTTCTTAATTTGGACAAAATCTCTTACAACTTATCTTTAATCCAGTCTGTTTTATTTCAATGACCTTCTCACAAAGCTCTTGGCATTGATTATCATTGATCGTTTCAAAACTCCTGGCCGTGTGACTGCAGTATCTGATGGTGGAGCTCGAATCCCTGGCTTGGCTGCATTATTCAGGGCAGTGTCAAATCTTCGTATAGGTATCTGTTCTTACAGGTATTACTTTCCAACTCTTTACAGCTTTTCCTTACAGTTCAGGCGTAGTGAAAAGGTTTATTAATTTTCTCTGTTTTAGCTGAGCCTCCAAATTCAATAAGCTTTCTTTGAGTAGAATATGTGTGACATGGTTTAAGCCCTCCTCATAGGATCAACTGGATTACTTTGTTGTTACTATTTTTTTATTTTAAAGAAAAGAGAGCGAGATAAAGGAGGAAGGCAGAGAAGTGGTGGTGGCATAAGACAGCAAGTGAGAACAACACATCTGACAGGGACCGAGTCCTTGCACAGCCTCCAGGAGTTCATGTTAGCAGGAAGCTGCCTTCAGAACCCAGACTCAGGCACCACGGTGTGGGATGCAGGTCTCACCACTAGTGTCTTAAACACTGTGCCAGCTGCCCACCCCCACCAGGAATAGGCTAGTTTAAAAACTCAAGTGCAATTGCTGCAAATTTCTCTGTTGCATCAGTCACACTTGTAGATAATGAATTTACAAGCTTCTCCTGAAAGTCTCCTTTCTTGACATAGATCAGTATCCTTAATAAGGGCTGATTTTGCCCTCTTCTGTAGATTGTGCATTTGTGTGAGTGTGTATGTGCATGTGTGGTAAAGTAAACATAAAATATCACTCATAATTTTAACTCTCTTAAGGCACTTCAGTAGCACTCAGTACCTCCACAACGTTGTGTAACCATTAACACCACTCAGTTTTAGAATATTTTCATCATCCCAAAAGGAAATCCCATACTGGTAGTATTCATTTTTAATTTTCTTCTTATCCAATCAAGCCCTTGGCAACCATTCATCTGCTCTCTGTCTCTAGCTGTTTACCTATTCCGGACATTCCAAATAAGCAGAATGATATAATTCATGGCTCTTTTGCTTGGCTTCTTAAACTTAGCACAGTATTTTCAAGGTCTAGTCATGGTGTGGCATGTGTCAACACCTCATCCCTCTTCTGTGTGACTGAGTAAAGGTCACTACACGATTTAGCTCACTTTGCTTATTCACTCATCAACTAAAGGACACCCTGGCCGTTTCCAACTTTCGGCTATTTGGAGAAAGCCATGACTTGACTGCTACTGGAAGCTTATAGAAAGAAATCAAGAATGTTGTGAAAACATTCCACTGCGCAAAAGGACAGCCCTCAACACAACAAAAAATTTTCCAGCCACAAATGCTGACAGAGCTGAGGTAGGGAAACCTTGGCACCTGCTACAGGATGATTACACAGAACAAATGGTTCTGAAATCCTGAGTGAGTTATCACTTACAAAAACCCAGTGCTTTACTGCTTCTATTTCAATCTATTTCTAGAAGCTACTAGAATCTCCACTCCTTTTCTCTTCTCCCCTAATCGTTGGTTCATGCCTCCTTAGGTGACTTGACTCTTTTAAAGCTTAAAACTCAAACCATTAACTCTACTTTCCTTCCCATCAGTAGCTCATACCAACCTTCCCCTAAAAATCACCTGTTAAATCTGACTCCTGTCAGGGATTTTAATTCTTGTATAGCAATATTTAAACATACTGAACTTTCAGCATGAATCAGAATATGTGCTAAATATATTACATATATTATATTTAATTCTCACAGTAATCTTATATAGTTAAATGAGTCTTCTCTTAATTTTAGAGATAAGCTTACGAACTGTTAAATAATTTGCCCAACATTACATGGTAAATGGCAAAAGAGGCCTTCAAAATTATAGCTAATTCTAAACTGTCTACCCCAAGGCAATACAATCACATTATAGTAAACACAACAATGAATGCAGGCATGAATGTAAGAGTCTTACAGCCTGGGTGCTCTTGGAACTTTACTTAGTCTCAAAGCAACCAAAGTAAATGCTTGGGCTGCTGTCAGTTATTTGTACTAGATGAAAATATCCAATAGCTAATGGGCACAGAAGGAGCAGAAGAAAAACAAAACTACAAAAATAACAAAGGGAGTGCTGTTCTGCTTCTGGATCCAAGACAATATTCTAAGACAAGATTTGGATTTTTTAATAGCAATCATTCTCACGGGAACTTCAGGGAAGCTGTGCTTGAAATGGGGGAGCCTGCTGTGGGATCTTCTACTTTGTCTAAACAGCTTCAAAACTCCCATGATTCTTTGCTACTAGAGAACTTGTGTCCTTCATGTACACTGATGTCTTTCCTTTCTGTCTTCCACTGCTCTGTCGTGCCTTGTAACACAGCAAGCTTTTAAGAGCACAAATGCTTCTCATTTATCCTTGTGTTCATACAACATCTCATAAAGAGTCAAAAAATTTGCTGAACAAAAATTTTCAAATATTTTAGTTCTTATTTTTTGTCATGTTAAGGCTCAAATTTAGTGCTTTTCACCAAGCAATTCTCTAGAATGTTTCTGGCACCTGGAAAATATCGTATCAATTTCCTCAACAGAAAGTCACAGCCTCAGAAAAAGTCACAGCCACGTTGTCCTAGAATGTACGTGTGATTGATCCCCTTCGCAAAGCACTTTATGAAAAATGAAGCCAAAGGGGTAGAAAAAAAAAATACTTGCACATTGTCTTACACAATCTTCAAGGTTCAAAGTTCAGAAAGACCTAACTACAGAAGTTATCAATGACAACAGGCTTTGAAATACTGGCCCCGAGCTGATGACAGAGGCAAGACACAGCCTCTACTACCAAACCCTTATTAGTCCACACTGCTGTAGTTAGGTCAATGGGGAATTAATGTGAAGTGGTACAGAATAAACTCAATAGGAATGTCTTCCCAGGCACAGAAAGAGTTCTGCTCCAAAGAGGAAAAAGAGAACCTTGCTTGGCCTGTTATCCATATTGACTTTATAACAAAATGAGACAATAATTTTCTCAATTTGCTCTATCTTGTTTAAAAGGTAATAGCCACAGATGTTCAAGATCATATTAATGTTACTATTTCCCACACATTTTTTCTGAAAAATTAAATTAAAAAATGAGTAATGCCACACCAGATTTAGGGTATTTATAAATCAGAATGAAAAGTACATGGAAAGCAATTCACGACATGAATTATATCCTTGTAACGCCTCCTTCACTTTCACGCTTGTCCTATTTCAAAGAAACTGATATTAAAAACTATACTTACTTCTTCATTTTGAGGAGTGGCAGGAGGTCTTTCTAAATCCAGAAAATCTAGTGGCCTTTCACTTAGTGTAAGTACACGGGGTGGTGTTTTTAGTGCCAGAGGTTTAAAGGGAGTTGACTGGATAAGGTCAAGATCGGCTGGTCTTGAAAATGAAGCATCTTCATTGTTTCCTGGGGGATGAAGGAGGAGGAAAGTAAAGGCACAGGATTCCAGCCAAGACAGCGGCTTTACTGAAACAGCTTTACCTTCTCCTACTGCTGAATTATAATCTATGTAATAGTATTAATTTCTTTAAAACTAAGCTTTTGGTGTAAAATTTCCACTTCATTAATATTTTTATAGTAGTACAGAAATTACAAAAAATAGTGTATAAGAAAAAAAACTGGTACACAGAATACACACAGAACTTGCACAGCAGCCACATTTGCAAGTAGGAAAATATCTGAATAGCTGCAAAAGGAAATTTTACATAAATGGCCAAAGAACACATCAGCTGCGACACAACACATCGTAGAACGTGATTCAGTATCCACAAAGTGGAATGAACAGTTAATATGCTAAAATATGGAAGGCTCTCAAAAACATGACTTTAAGCAAAAGCTAGGAAAGGAATCCTCAGTGAACGGTTCTATTTACGAGACCCCCGGGAGAGTAAATGAGGTCTATTTATAGGTGGGAAATGACAGCTGCCGTGAGCTGAGGGGCAGGAAGCGCGGCTCAGTGCAAAGGGAACCTTGCGCAGTAACAGAAATTATCCCTGCTCAGACTGTGGGAGCTACCAAGACCCATTCAACGCACACTCAGAAACACATAAGGGATAACACCTCAAGGAGTGGCACTATTGGAAAATATACCTTAAAGTTAGACAAATACAATGAAGACTCAGTCTGAAAATGTAAAATTACACTTGCTAACCGCTCTTCTAAAAATATTTCTGAAATCACAGTACTCTTGATGAAAATGCATAAAACAAAAATCCATCAGGCAACTTCACAGGCAAACGTGAGTACCTGCTACAACAATCCTTTCTGGAACCTGCATCATCACGCTCGCATGCGGGGCGCCTTCTGGGAAGCCCTGCTCCAGGTCAGCATTTGGTGGTGCTACTTTGAGTTTTTCGGGGACCCTCATCCGCTGACTGATGCCCTCGGTGTACTCCATCTCATACTGGATCCGGCTGATTTCTGCCATGTCGGCAGCAGGCAGAGAGGGAAACGCCCCAGTCACTCTGCAGAAGAAAAAGTGAGAGCCAAGGATGACTGAATACGCGAGTCTCCTCTGCACAACGGGATCAGAGCACAACACCCAGCCCAGGGAGAACCAGAGGACATTTCCCGATGGCCAGTATCTGTCCCAGACACAGGAGAGTGACCCTGAAGAACAGGTTTTCCATGACAGAATGTCTTTGCATCAACTGAAGTTATATCTAGATTAATAATTATCATACTGCTACAACATAAAAATGCATAGACACAGATACACTCATGTTCTGGGCATAAGCAAACATGCCTGTTTGCTTACTTAAAAATGTGGAAACAAAATGAAAGTTTCACAATTAGTTGAGAGAAAGGGATTTGGACTTTATAAAAACTGAAAAGTTGCCATCACACATGAAAAAAACTGTTCAATGATGAAAATCAAATGAAGTCCTTCCAGAATTTACTCAAAAAGAAGAGATGAATCTCTGAAAATTACACAGTATAATTCAAAACTTCCTTTACTAACACGTATCTGATGACTGCGAGATAAATATAAATACAGAATCTGTATTAATAAATCCTAACATATCCTTTCATTTTTTTTCAGGGATTGAGAATTTTACATTAATTTATACTAGTATCGTATTTACATATTTATTTCAGAAAAGTACCCACATGTTTTTAAATGGAAAAGATAATACAAATGGGTTGGGTATGTTTCTAAAACAGAAGAGGATCCACGATCCCGGGGCAGTGCAGCCAATGGAACGCTGCTTGAAACACAGAGCGCTCACTCAGGTGCGCAGGGCAGGCCGGCCGGTGTGCTCAGCTCTCACACTGGGGAGCGGCCCCCAGCTGCACTGACCTTCCTAGCGGGGTGTCACTGCTTGTTCTGTTACTCGTTTTAACACAGTCAAGTGCACGTCTACAATAGCTAACTGGACACTGCTAGCCTGTAGTTCAATTCCCCTACAGATCTGAACTGTTTTTGGAGGTGTACATAACAACTCGGACACTGCTTTTCCAGCTGTAAAAAAGAAAGAATAAAGATCAGTATTTCAAGAATTCATTTCATAAGAAAGCTATGAACAAAAGCAAATATCTACTTCAAGTTACAAATATCTACTTCAAGACTTGAACATGGATGGTCAGGAGTTTGAACTCCGAGTTATTTCTAACACCTGAGAAATCATGCAGTCATGGTTTTAGGATTTTTTTTTTTTGTAGACAAGACAAAGAAAAGCTGTATCAAATGCACACACAAATGTGACGTCAGACTAGGGAAAACAACACAGCCAAGAGACTCTTCCACTGATATTGTGAAGGCAGGCAGGGTGGGGGGCTGTCTTTTTTGTTTTAGTACTAAATACAGATAAAGAAATAATGCAGAGAATGCAAACAGCAAGTATTGCTGAAGTAGCACAATAACTTGATCTGTAAGTAGCCCTTTCCTTCAAAGGAAACGAACCCCCTCCCCAACCAAACCACACAGTTTCCAAGATGATGCATGACTCTCCACAGAACCCAAAGGCTTAGGGACAGTACGCATGCCTCGGTCACAGCTGGGCTGTTTCTACTCTCACCAAGGATGTGGCCCACCCAGCAAGCCCTGAGGAGCTGAGGAGACTGCTGCCTGCCTTTTCCACTCTCAAAACCTCTGCATCCTAGGGACCTGGCATGCAGAGGGTACAGTCTGAAACTTTCACTCACCGATGTGTCCCGACACCTGCTTCCTGTTTGGCACTATCTGCACCTGTGCTTCATAATAACTCCTTAACCTTGCTTCAACGTGTATGTGCTGGACCTAGAGCCGCTTTCGTCCTGGAGGAGAAAAACAGGAGCGTTGAGAAACTAGGAGGCATCAACATCAGGGATTCAATGCCGGAAATTCCCCAAATGATAAAAATCACAAAGATGTGCAACCTTACATTGAGAACCAAGGGGGGGAAAAGCCCACAAATTATCAAGCTTGCCACCAACTTTGGTGCCACAGACAGGGTCCTATGAACATCGATTAGATAAGGTATACTGAAAGGCTAACTGCCTCTGCTCCTGACTAGAGAGAAACATGTTAAAGGAATCTATTACTACTCATACGTATATACGTATGTGTGCATGGATTGGTTAAATTTTCATTCACTTACAATCCTTCTCATTTTGCACCAGTAAAGCATGCCCAGAGCACAAAGTGCAGGATATACAGAGGAACTGAAGTGTCCCGCCCAACCCCACCCAGGTCTCCATGGCAACCTCTCCCAGCACTTCACTTGCCTGCATCTGATCCACCCTAAGATCCTGACTGCAGAAGACAGCACCGGAAGGAGGTATCTCAAAAGTATTATAGCTGTTAGAGGTGACCAAGTTCCATACACCCAAACACAACGCAGAAACTATCAGAAATATACTATCTCTCTGACAAGTACTGTTTTCCACACTTCATTCACTGCATTTGGTCCCCTGGGGAATCTTCCAAAATAACAACATCTCAGGAGTCTCAGCACTTCATGGGAGAGTAACACGGCAACGTTAAGGAACGATGGGTTTAGGACAAAAAGGTGGACACTGAAAAAAACAACTTCTGGAAAAAGCCAAATTCTGCTGAAGCCAGTCTGAATCATTAGATTGAAAGAGTGAACGTGGGGGGATTCCAGACCCTAGAGAATTGTACCATAAAATTAGAAAAAAAGAACAACAACAACAACAAAAAAGTAAATGTAAAACTTTGGGACTAAAACACAGTGTTCATTTGTGTGCTTAAGTGAAGCAACCCAAAATCTAGCTCCTTTTTTCTCTTCACTGGACTAGTTAATATGTCTACACATTTATTGTTTGAAAGGCAGAGAGACATAAAGAGGTCTTCCACCTGCTGGTTTAATCTCCCGGTGCCCACAAGCACCAGACCGAAGGTGGGAAGTGGGGGGCGGCTGATCCAACTCCTAGAGAGTGTGGCATCTCCCAGGGGACTCAGGAACAGGAAGGCGGATTTGGAAGCCAATGCCTGACCAAACTACGGTATTTTGGGTACTAATTTTTATCAATTTAAAAAAATGCTTCTCATTTGGTATTTTTTTAATTCCACAAGTTTTGTCCCTTGGATTCTAGAAGGCATCAGGTACACGTTTCTTTGGCAAATGTTTTTTAAGATTTTATTTATTTATTGGAAAGTCAGATATACAGAGAGGAGGAGAGACAGAGAGGAAGATCTTCCGTCCAATGATTCACTCCCCAAGTGAGCGCAACGGCCGATACTATGCTGATCCGAAGCCAGGAGCCTCTTCCGGGTCTCCCACGCGGGTGCGGGGTCCCAAACCCTTGGGCCGTCCTCGACTGCTTTCCCGGGCCACAGGCAGGGAGCTGGATGGGAAGTGGGGCTGCCGGGATTAGAACTGGCGCCCATATGGGATCCCGGGCGTGCAAAGCGAGGACCTTAACCACTACGCCATTGCGCCATTGCGCCGGGGCCCTTTGGCAAATGTTTTAAATTTTTAAAGTCTCTTGACTTCAGTTTCCCAAATATCAGGGATTTAGCAATTCAAAATTTGCAAAAATTCTTCCCCTTGACATGGTGCATTTATTCTTGCCTGTACTTAATTCTTTCTTTAGCTTAAAAAAGATCTAAGCGTATCATAAAAGGAAAAAAGTTATGTCACAATCTGAAGCCTTGAACTTCTAGTACTTACAGAAATACCTTAACAAAAACACAGGAAGTCACACTGGGATTGTGGTTGCCTCGAATTATGTAATAATTCTCCAATTACAAAAACAAAACAAACAAGCAACACTCCAGTTCTCCACCATTCACTGGGCTGCTCTAGTTCAAGGCTTCTACAGAGGTCACTGCTCAAGTTCTCTTTCTAAACAGAAAATCGACGGTGCACTGAACCAGAACTTTTTATTTAAAAAAAAAAAAAAAGTGGCTGAAAACTTTTGGAGAAAACAGCAAAAATTTTAAAGCCACAGCTAAACTTTGTCATCCTCAGAAGAGCCAGTCTTATCAGACAGGAAGAGGGTACACAACTTCCTTTTGGAAAGAAAGGCACAACCAACCCACATGCCTTTACAACCAAAGGGACGCTGGGTCCCCCAAGCCATTTAATTACATGGGAAAAGACGAGTCCGTTCTAATTTCCCCCAAGGGCTTTTCTATGGGGATCTCATTAGCCAAAGGAACTGAGGCAGAAGCAAATGTTTTTCAGCCAGGAAAACACTCCGGATCATTTAAATTCTCTTAGAGGCTGAGTGGTCTATATGCAACCGGTTCCTGCTCAGGGCTGGGAAAGCATTATCTTCTGCGATGAAAAGACACCACCACTTTCATCAGGACGCTCTAACTATGGGACACGGCTGGTATTCAGCCTTTCCCTACAGCCTTGTGCAGGGGGAACCCGAGACGTCCAGGGCCTCCCGCACACGGGGATCCCCTGTTTGCACCCACACCTGCCAGCCAGCTGGGATGGATGCTCCGGGGGGCGACAGGGTCTCCCTGGGGGCCTGCCGGCACCCGCAGGTGCCAACACCCAAGTTTTCAACACCTACTTTCAATAATACAAAATAAAACTTTTTTTTTTTAAACCCCGGCAGGCTCAAGGTCACCCTGTCAGGTGTCAGGGCCTTCAGCTGCAAGAATGAGTGAAGAAGATTCGCAAAGCTCGGCGCTCTTCCCGTCCTCAAGGTTGACCTCCCGTTTCCCAATCCCCTCACCACCTTCCTCCCGGTAAAAATCCAAATTCAGCCAACCGAACAAGACGCCAAAGTGAAGAGCTTCGCCACCAATAAACATTTGCAAGTAATGGGTGCTCTCCTTAGAGATGCAGGGGGTGGCCGAGACCCTAAGAAGCAGCTGCCGGGATTGAAGCCCGGCGACCGAGGGACAGCGGCCCGCGCAGCACCGCCTGCCCACCTGCCCACCTGCCCGCCCGGGGTCACCGCCGCCGCGTAGGCCCTGCGGTCCTGTCGGGCCCCGGGTCTGGAAGACGTCAGCACTCACCCCTGGGCCCGCTGCGGGGTTCCCGGAGAGGGCCGCCGCCCGCCGGCTCCCGGGGCGCTCTCGCAAGCCGTTGACTGAGCGCACCGAGACGCCCGGGTTAAACGCCGGCGGAGCGGCCAGCACCGGGACCGGAGAACCGCGAGAACCGCCAAGACTGATCCCTCTCAGGACCCGTAGCGGAAGCGGGTTCGTACTCATGTGACTGGAAAGGGCGGAAGTGTGGCCTACGCCTAAGCTCTGGAGTGGGGACTGTAAAACAGCGTTAGGGAGACATCTTTGTTGTGGGCTAACTTGATTGTGGGGTTGGTTCGCGAATAAGAGGTGTCTTTCAAAAACTTTCTTGTTTGCAAGGTGGATTTCAATAGGCAAAGCTCTTTTATTACCACCTGTACAGAAATTTTTATCATGTGAGGCGTCAGAAATCTCACTAGATCCGATAATGATTCTTAGGCCTAATTGAAATCCTGTCAGAGACTGTCTTCTAAGGTGAGTATAGCAGTTTAGCTTCCTTATTTAGCGTCCAGCAAGGTCTTCCTTGTGGAAGCCCTCAGCCTAGGCCTGGAAAGCAATTAGCCTGCTCACCAGGGTGAGGACGGACTGGAGCCAAATTCGATGAATAATTGTCGTGCCTGGATTTGCACAAATAGGGATGTGTTCCTGTGAGAAATTCCAGAGGGGTCCTCTTCCTCAAAAATAACCTTGGAAACCTTCCGAAGGCTCTTGATTCTGTTGAGCTGTGTAGCAAAGAATAGATTGGAACAATGGCTGAGGCCAAGAATTAACGTATAAGACCAATTCACACAATGAAAGTGAAATGTATAGATACTCATTTGTACATGTAAATTGGAACCTTCCCTAGAAAAGGGAAGGCTGAAAGCAGTTGGGGTGCACAGCTTGCCCCAAAGAGTGTAAATTATGAAAATGGGACAAAGGAGTTTGGTCTGTTAGTTGTGACGGCCTTATAGCTCCTTTCAAGTAGCTTTCCTGATTCCTCTCCCTTTGACCCTGAATTGCTAGTGAGAACAATGTCTTTCTCCTGGTACAAGGAGAGCATGTTTCACCTGGAAGTTCTGCTTCATGCTTTCTAGAAGAAAAAAGGGAAACCAAAATGGACTTCTGTGGCCTGCTGGTGTGTGTGTGTGTGTGTGTGTGTGTGTGTGTGTGTGTGTTTTAATATAAGCCTTTTGTTAGGTGTTAGGTTTTTAATGCATTTAAAGTTCTTATGACTCTTAAGTGTAGCTCGTTTCCCACAGCCAAGTCCTTTTTCACAGTAAGTTTACCGCAAGCCAAAATCCAGACGCAGTGAGGTACTTTAAGAAGTCCTTTATTTCAACAGGGTAGGACTGGGCACAGGGGTAGAGGGGAAGAAAACTAGAAGGAACATGTGTCCTGCCATGGTGGCAGGATGGGGGGCTGCCAGGGTGGGGAAAGGGGCAAGGTGGAGGACGTGCGGAGAGCCAGGTAAAAAGGAAGGGGAAGAAAAGAGAGAGAGGGCACACATGGAGGCTCATTTATACAACCAGGTGGGCCTTGAAGGTGTGTGTGTGGGGGGGGGGGTGCAGGGATTTGGTTGGGAGGAGGGGCTGTGGGTGGGCCCCAAGGGAGTGGTGACTGAGATTATCTGAGCCACAGGTAGGTGGGTGGGAGCTAGGGGGAGGGGCCACAAAAGATTGGGAAGTGAGATATTCAGGTAAGAGGCTATGAGGTTACATCTCTTTGGCAGATAACTGGAATGGCATGAGTTTTGTGAGCTGTGGGAAAGTGGCACCGGATCCAAGATGGGATGTTCGAATCACTCCTCACACCTTTGATTTAAAGGAATATTCCAAAGTGGACAGCATACCTTAGAGTGGCAAATCATCTCTAAGAGTGTGTTAGTTTTAGGAGTAATTGATTACTCCAAGTCAACTTTCTGTGGGAAAATAGAGATCAAGGTAGGTAAACCATCTACAATCCAAGTCTTTGGCAATGAGGCCTGGTGGTGGGTCTCGGGCACCTCCGTAACATGTGTGTATGCCACCTGGGGCGCCAGAGGATGGCTCCCTTCACTTAGGAGATCTGCATTGAGTTTTGGGCTTCACAGCCCTGGCTCTTGTTGACATCTGGGGTGTGAATTGGCACATTCAAGAGTCCCCTCATTCTCTCTGCCTTTCAAATAAATCCGTAGGGAAACAAATTATCCAAAGAAATGAGGGCCTTGCTGCTTCTGTTAACCCTTTCTTTTTCTGACTACTTTCAGTTTGATTTTTGCTCCTGTCCTGTTGTGGTGTACCTGCCAAGGGAGCCTGCTTCCTCAATGCCTTGGACTCTTTCAACCTCAAGGTTTGTCATTCTTTTTCAAAAGCAGTAGATCCTCTTAACCTTTAATCATGAGAGAAGCCAAATGAGGGAAGATAGTTCCCAAATAAAATTATATGTGTGTGTGTGATGAACACTAAAGCAGAATAAGTAAAGGTAGGCAAAAGGAATATGTGAAAAGATAAGTAACAGTGAGTGAAAGCAAGTTACCCAGTCATAGAGTGCTGGTAACAAACAAGTCAAACCCTGTATATCCATGAAAAAAATCATGAATAGTCTGAAAAAATATCCATTCAGCATAGCGCTAGAATGAGTCCAGGTTGCCATGGAGCTGCTAGCAGTGAAGTGAGGACCTTTCTTTCCTTCAGAACCTCCTGTGGTCCCTGTTGATTGAAGCTGGTTCCCACAGTGATTTACAGCCAGAGATATCTGAGGTGGCATTTGGAAGGTACTGGCATTTATTGCCCCAGAAAGTGTATGTTAGCTTTCAAAGCTCAGCATTAGAGGGGAAAGTCTTGGTCTCAAACTCTGTCATTTGTATGTCAGTGCGCAGTTCTCAGTGTGGTTTATCAGTCCTCCAGTGTGAAGTACAGGCCCCATTGCTGTGAGCCAGCAGCTTGGCCTAGTTATAGCCGGCATTAAATGGAAACACTCAAAATGGAATTAGTGCTGTCAAAATACAGTCACATTCACTGTAATTGAGATACAAATTTATTTATGTTCAGAAGAATTGTATAGCAGTAAAACACAATATTCCAAAAGAAAAATGTTCTGAAACAACTTTAAAGAATTACCAGTGTCTTTTCCCATAATGCTGATCATTTTTATCTTACTGCATTATTTGATTTTGTTAAATTAAGTGTGAAAGTGTTGTACATTCAAGTATGTAATGCTGTCTAGTAATAGATTTTAAAGAGAAGCAATTACTTTATCTCCCAGAAGTGAAAATTGTAGTTATTCATTTCATGTTGAAGCCTGTGTCTTTCCATTGCTAGTGTAGACCTTCCTGCTTATGATTTAGTCCAGTGTTGTGTTTGTAGCTATGATTGCCTCAAGTATTTTGTGGGAAAGAGTGGTTTATAAATCTAAATTAGTATCCATTGATTGTCATTCTGTTTCACTGGCTGTTGTTCATCATACTGAAGTGTACCATTGGATCTTTGATCCCTGCAGAGTTTCCAAGTAAAATATTTTGCTTATTCTTAATCTAGATATTTTCTTCTTAGTTTCTTTCTTTTTATTTTCAGTTAATGTAAGGTTCTTTTAGTTATCAAGCTTCAAAATACTGTGTTTCACTGGTGTCTGGTTCCCATGGTTAGCTTTGGGTGTCGTTCTGAAAGCAGATAGGAGTTAGCATTGTGACATAGCGCCACTTGCGACCCTAGCATCCAATATTAAAGCACCAGTCTCAGTCCCAGCTCTTTTGTTTCACACCCAGCATTTGTGAGGGCAGTGGGTAATGACACAAATATTTGGTCCTCTCATCAGTGTGTGGAATGGGGAGTTATTGGTTCCTAGCTTTAGCCTCGTCCAGTCTTGACTACTGTGGTATTTGGGGCCAGTTAGCAGATGGAAGATCTCCCGTGACAGACACGTGTGTGTGTGTGTGTGTGTGTATGTGTGTGTGTGTGTGCGCCTGCATTTCAAATAAATTGATCTTTTAAAAATGAATAATGAATACACACATAGCTAGCAAAGCATGGTTTCTACTTGGCTAGAACCGGAAAGGCGGACAGAAGGTGAATTTTTCCTTTCCTCGTCTCCTTTCTGGACCTGGGCACCCGTCTTCCCCTGTTCTTAGGGAGGAGTACCCCACATTTTCTGATGCCCCTGAAGGTCCTCAGCACCTGGGTTTGGACTGAGTTAAAGCATTGCCTGCTCTGCTTGTCAGGCCTTTGGACTTGAGCTGAGCCATGCTAGCCATTTCTCTGTTGATTCTTGTGTGTCAGTTCTGTCTCCAGCCCTGTCTTCCACATGAACCAATGGGTGTTGCAGTCCAGCCTGATTCTTCTGCCCTGCACACACTTGGCCCTTTCACAAACCAGTGGGAGCTGCAGCCTAGTCGGAACGACCCACAAGAACCCCCACTAGTCTTGCCCCCTGTCCTGGTTCTCATGATTGCCAGTATGTATGGCAGACTGATCCAGTCTGTCCCACATCCCATTCAGCTCTCATACATGTCAATGGGCATTGAAGCCTAGTTCAACACAACCAGTGCCCCCTATCCAGGCCACACACATGCTGGAGGATGCTGTTCCGTCTAGCCACCCCTGCCCCAGTCCTGGTTTCCATGCCCTCTAGTGGGAGTGATAACCCAAGAGGGAGGTGCCCATTATTTCCCTACTGGGCCACTCCCACTCCTGGAACATGCACTCTCCAGGTGGTTCTGCAGTTTAACTTGACAGACTTAGCCCCCAGTGCCAGCATCTGTCATCTAATGCTGCAGCTAAGCCCAGCCAACCCTTACGCACTCTGATTTATGCTTGCACCAGTAGGAAGAGTCAACCCAACCCGGCTTTTCCCTGATCTAGCTCACATGAGGCCCACAGGTGTTATAGCCCTGCCTGGTCTGGTTTGCTCCCATCCCAGCTCACGATCTCCAGTGGGAGTAGTGGTCCAGCAGGGGAGCCCTCCACATTCCCCCTACCAACTTTGTCCCCTCCCTCTCTGGTTCCCATGTGTGCTGGTTGGGCGCTTCAACCCAGTCTGGCATGACCCACTCGCCTCGGCATTTGCCAGTGGGTGCTGTTGCCTGTCCGGTCCTGGCCCACTCCCAATTCCAGTTGGCGCTGGTGAGGGTTACAGCCTAGTCCAGCCCAACAGACACGCAATCCCAGCCATGATGTGTACTGGTATGTGATGCGACCAAACCTGGCCCGACCCAAATTATGTTCTGCTGCTCAGATTCGCCAGCGAGTGATGTGAATGGGTTCAGCCTGGTCTGCCCCTGACCTGTGCCAAATGTATACTGGTGGTCTCCTTTCCTTGGACTGTTCTGGGCTGCTTCCTATCATGGTTTTTGCACTTACCTGTAGGAACTGTGTCCTGCCAGAAGAGTTTCCCAAGCTCCTCCATCAGAACCTCTCCCAATGCTAGATCTCATGCATACTGGTGGGTCCATGGGCCAGCCGTACTTAGTCACCTCCTGTCCTGGCAGGAACAGTGGCCTTTCCTGACTGGCCTTCAACCCACTCTGGTTCTTACTGTTGGATGTTCCAGCCCAGCCAAAGCTCATCCATATGCAGATACAGCTCACACATGGCTCTTTAGGGGCAGAAACCTAGCCTAATCTGTCCTCATACATGCCAATGGGTGTTAGGCCAGTGCCGTGATAGTCTGGCCTTCCTTTTTGCCTTGTATGATCTGGTGAACATTGCAGCCCGGCTCACCCCACATTTGGGTGCTGCTGCCTTGACCAGCCCAGGCTATTGTCAGTTCCTTTACCTGTGAGTGATGGCAGGTTCCATAGTGACACCTAGCTCAGTCCATCGCCACCCCCAACTCTTGAGCTAACCAGCAGGACTAATATTTCGACAGAGTTTGGCCCACACATCCCCCACAGAAACTATCCCTGCACATGGTTCTATTGTGTGCTGGTTAGTGTCATGGCCCAGCCTAATGTAACCCGTCCCCTGATCCAACATTCTGTCAGGTACTAAAATCTAGCCCTGCTAGACAAGCCCCCTGCCTTAGGTTCTGCATGGGCTGGTGTGTGGTGGTCAGCTTGTTCGATGATAACAAGTTCTGCACAGGACTCATAGTAGGCTGGTATATCAGTCTGACCCACACAGATCGTCCCAACCACCAGGTATCAGTACCCTTGCTTACCTTTGAGGAAAAGTTACTCTGTCATTGGGAGTAGTTCAGGATTGATTCACAATCCACAAGTACAATGGCCTAAATAAGGACGTACCTAGGCAGCAATTCCACACCTCCAAGGTCCCAGAGCTCACCACTGGGAGGCCAGCAGGCAGAGCCTGGCACCAAATGGCACACTGGCTGCCTGGGCCCAGCTCACCATGTGGTCACAGTGGCTGGAGCCAGGGCCCCAAGCATGGAGTCCGACCAGGCCTGGGACCTCCCAGCAGCCAACAGACTGCTGGAATTTCTACCTAGCAGCCAAGATCACACCCTCCTGGTTCACCCACCATATGGTGTTGGAGGTGGGTGGAGCCTGGCCCACCTTGTTCCCAAGAGATCCCCTCTCAGCATACTCACCAGGAAGGGAGAAGCCTCTTGAGTCCAGGTAGGCCCAGGCCCACCTCACCACGTAATTGCAGTGGCTGGAGCCAGGGTCCCAAGCATGGAGTCTGACCCAGCCCAGGACCTTCCAGCAGCCTGATGGCTGCTGGAAGTTCAAACTTTTTACTTTTAATGAGGAATACTTGTGTTATAATGAGAAACATTTATTAGAATATATGATCTGTAGTTTTTGTGTGCATGTGTTTTTGTTTATAAAACTCCTCAAGTGTGCAATAGAAACGTGAGCAAATAAAAGGTCCTTCACAAGAAAACAAAGTGTTAATAATAAATACTACTCTTAAAAATATAGGAAATATTAAATAGAAGTGACAAGTGTCTAATTTCATTGACAATGAGCAAAATGTAAATTAAAACAATGAAGGAAAGCTGTGAAAGAATAGCAGTATTGAGTATTGGCAAAGCATAAGATGTGTTTTTGCAGCTAAAAATCCCAGCAACCTTTCTCGAGAAGCAGTTTGTGCACATAGACAAGGTGAGGGAGCAGTGGGTGCCTGGGGCAGCAAGGCCTCAGCTGCCATGAGTCCTTCCATTCGAAAGTTATTCTAGAGATTGTCCTGAAGAAATAATTGGTTGGATGTGAACTGACCTTATAAAAGTATAATACACATAATAAGGGTAAATTAAGTACCATTAATGTAGGATTTGTTGACTTATGTTGTAAATCTGTTGACATGACCATAATGCAAGCTATAGTTAATTCTTATCTATTGATGTGACAACATATCCACAATGTACAAAGTTTAAAAAATTGGTGACAAATATTTATGCTTTTATTTAATTTTTTTTTAAATATATGCATAGGCGAAAAAGTCTGAAAGGGTATAGACCTTGATGTAATAGTTCTTTTGGGTAAAAGTAGGGGTTAGACTATGATCATTTTTGGGTTCTGTGTTGTCTATAGTTTTTGTAGTGAACACGTATTATTTTTATAACCTAATATTTATTCTTAAGAAAAAGACCAAATGCATTTTTTCAATTTTATTCTTTGATAATACAACAAAATAATATTTGTTATAATTATAGAAATTAGTACATTATAATGCAATTTTGTCATGATATGATAATGTAGAATATTTAATATTTTAAATATATCTCCTCTAGCTATAGAGTAAATATTAAATTAAATTTAGTAGTAGTACCTTACATTTAATACATAGAAAAATGTAATTTAACAATAAAATTCAACTTTAAGCATTACTTTCATATTTTTATAAATAAATTAATGTTTATGTCACTGAAAAACTATTCAGAAACTGTTTTAGCACACTGTGAAATATCAAAGTTGAAGCCCCAGATTTAACAGAAAAGCAATTATTTTGCTGATGATATTAGATGTTCATACGTTTATCAGCTACCCATAAATATCTGGAAGGCACATGAACTGTGATTTCATGTTTAGTCTTAGAAATGTGACTGTAACAGCCACATGGCTTCATTGGAATCTAAGGTCTTAGCATCACTGACTTCCTTGCAAGTGAAATACTGCTGAGAGGGCAGGAGGTGACGGAGTGTTGGGGACGAGCAGAGGCCAGTCATTTGGCATTAGCACCAATCTAGGGCTTTTACTTAGTGGTAAAAGTTAGTCATCTGTGACTTTGACATCAAGAAGCAAGGACAGTCAGTGTCTTGGTTGTTTGCCTATAGTAGTTTTTCTCTTCAGAATGCATCAGAATCACCTGGATGGCTTGGTAAAGCACCTGTGTTTGGACCCTACTCCCAGAGTTTCTGATTTTGTAAGCCTGGAGTAGGCCCAGTTTCCAGAGTCTGCTGATGTGGGGTCTACCCTTTGAGAACCACTTGCCTAAGGGGGTGCGTGGAATCAGCTGGCTCTCAGTGCTGCTGTATACAGCACAACTGGGACCTGAGGATGTTTTTGCAGCACAAAAATCTGGTGAGTGTTAGTACATTACGTAAATAAAATGCTGCCCATCCTAGTACAGGTGTTGAAACACCTTGGCAGCAGTCGTAGGAGCAGCGGAGGGTGTCAGTCATGGCGCAGTGGGTTCTCTCCTCTGGGGCCAAGTTTCTACTCAAGACACAACTGAGGTTGAAACAGTAGCCTGAATTTAGAGTATCAGCACCACCAACTCCACTTGAGTGTATACGGAAGCATCTTCCAAGCCCTGCCTCAAGATGCTTGACCCCTAACTGCTTAAATAATGCCACTGTCAAGTATCAGTGGATTCTCACGTTTTGGAAATCTTTGTTTTCTTGGTGTCATCCAAACTTTCTGTGTCTTTAAGGAGACACACCAGAGGGCCTGGCTTTCCCCTGGTCCTTGATCTTATTTTTTGAACCCCTACTCAGGTCTGCTGAATTATCTTGATAAAATGTAATTACAATGAAAAAGAGAATAGGGGGAGAGGTAGAGCAACAGATATGTGGGATGCATCACAGAAACAACATGACTTTTTCTGAGGCATTAGATCAGAAAGAGTCTCCTTTTTTCTTGTAGTGTCTGTAATTTAACATGGGTTGATTCTGAATAAAATGCTTAAGTTGTATTAAGTCACTTTGGGAATGTATCCACACACTGAATAGCAAGTTCTAAGACATACAACTACCAATTTATACAGTTTGCACATTCAGGTTTTTATACAGTGGACTCTTTGATTTGTAAGTATATATAACTGTAAAACATTTTTTTGTTTTATAAAGGAAACATTAGAGTGCTAGTTCTTATCCCTTCACACAGGAATAAATTTGTAAAACCAGGAGTAATAAAATATTTAGAGCAAAGAAAAAAATACTCAGAGCCTGATAAATCAATAAAGGGCAATTCAGTCATGGAGTGTTGAGCAACTGTAGTCACTCATAGAAGGAATGCAACAACGTTTACAGGGAAGAAGATGAAGTGTGCATCCAGCAAGTAGTGCTCCTGCTTGTATGAGTGTACTCAAAAAGAGAATTTTAAAAATAGATTAATTTCAGAATATGTTTTAGTACAATTATATTAAGAATCATTAAGGATAAAAATTTTACCTATTTCAAATACAAGTGGGCTATACCAAGTGACCAATTGGATAGCAGAATCTTCAAAAAAAAAAAATACCATTAAAAAATACAATATTTCCAAGGCTATTGTGGTTCCAAATAAGGAACCCCCTTTTGCCCTTGGTCTTGGGTATGTTTGGAAGAGTCCTGGAAGATGCAGGAAGTGCACTTCAGTTCTGCATCCTTTCAAGCCTTGGGGTACCCAGCGAGTCTGGACATCCAGTTTTAATCATGCTGCTATAGTATGCCACATGTACCCATCTCCCTGTCTAAGCAAGGTCTAAAGGCCCAGGAAGACAATGACAGCACGATCTGTGTCTGATACAGCCTCCCCGAATGGCAAAGACTGGAAGAGAAGACAATAAATGTTGGCAATCCAGTGGCTCAAATATCTCAACTTGTCACATCCAAATTTTACGCTGTCACCATTTAGTGTGGTGGATACCTGTAGAATACATGTTCAGGCTCTTTTGTAAAAATGTCTTACTATGCCTTTGGGAATGTTGAAACAGCACAGGTTTAGAGTTCAAGATCACAAAACTAGCCTTGAAAAAAAAATGCTTTGTTTTATGGAGAGACAAATGGAAACTTTGTTCTTCTCAAGCCATGGTAGAACAATATTGTTTGGATAGAGGAAAAATACCTAAACGAATGCCTGGCCTGAGTCATTACATCATTATGTAGGATGAAAAGCAGCAAATCTGTTTTCTTAAGTTCTTCAATGTCTTTTCTTCATGCACACCTGACAGCGACTTATTATTTTTTCTAACTCCCCAGCTTTTACAGTAGATGGAATAGGTTTTCTGAAATAAAAACAAAACAAAACACATCCTCAATTTTTTGCATATCCAGAAGGAATTCTTGCTGGGCTTGATTTGCTTTCCTGGATATTGTAGCCTTTCTAAATTCTGTTATAGGAACCTCCTCCTTTATATCAGAGGTGTATTTCCAACGTGATTATTCTGCTCATGTTCCAGCACTAAGACCTTGATGCTAACTTATAGATCATCTTAGTTTTTCATTAGTTATTTGCTTTTGTTTATTGCATAGGCAGAGAGACAGACATGCAGATGCAGATGAGCCTGTGCGATGATTCACTCCCCAAATGCCCACAGCAACCAAGGCTGCACCAAGGGGTTCAGAATGCCCTCTGGTCTCTGTGGCTGGCTGATGCCAGGGTGAGTACTAGGAGTGCGATTAGAAGTGGAGCCAGGCACTCCATTTTGGGAAAGGGTACCCCAACTCTTCACCCAAATTCCCATTCTCAGGTATTTTTTTTTCCTTGGGGAAACTGCCATCATCTTTTAAATAACAGATATAATCCATAAGTCTTCCAACGCAGCAAATTAATATTAGCATATCATTGGGTGGTCTTCTTGAACAATTTCTTATAAATGTATATATATATTTATACATATCGTAGCATTTTACTACTAACAAAAGTAGTGTGTCATCTTTATTGGTTACTTGTTGATTCAAGAACACCTCTAAACTAGGAGTACCCAGCTGAGGATAACTTCACTGGCATGGAATGACACACAGGAAAGGGAAAACCAATACAGGCCACTTGAAGCAACTCTACTGTTGGGTCGTCAGAGGGAACTTGATCTTGAATAGTTACCTGAACATCCTTTCTGGGTTTAATGAAGCCAACCAGAAACTGTAGGAATTTGAATAGTAGTTGCACGTTCCTCTTCCATGACATTCAATAAATGGATTGGCTCGGAATTCTTCCAAGCAGGAGCCAGGGGATGCCAGTGCTTGTCCAGCACCCTCTGAACCTGCACTTGTGAACTAACACAATAAAAATTAGATGAGTAAAAATTCTGCCCGTGGGTGCTCAAAGTCCAACTCTGGACCTTTTCTTAGGGAGTGGAGGTAATATATGACACCACTTGGTGTCGCATCGTCTTCCCTGGGCCTCACCCTGGGCACAGCCTTATTTCCATCATTCTAGCTGTTGTCACATGAACTCCTGTTGTTACTCATTACCAGTAATTCTTTCTCATTGTATGCTTTTCTCAGTGTATTACTAGTTTTATTTCTCATTGTCCGTCTTCCCCACTAAGATGTAAGCTCCATAAGAGCAGAAACGGTGGATTTCCCTGCATCCTTAGTGCCTAGAAGAGCCACAGCACATCCTTGGTGTTCAATGAATATGTGTGGAGTTAATGATGGAATGAAGAGGGGGATGGATGTGTCATAAATGGTGTCATTCAGGAAATGAGTAATAGCATGTGTCCAGCTCTGAACACTGCACATGGTCAACCACGGACCTGCTCATTCAGTACTGACTTTACAATGCTGTTTTTGGGAATGTCAGTGTGATATAGGTTTTGCAGCAGACAAATCTGGGTTCAAACCCAACTATACCACAGATAGCTAGCTGTAAGACCTTGAGGGGATTATCATTATTATTTGTAAAACTATAGATCATAGAAGCTACCTTTTAGAGATTCCCTAAGGAGTACAGATAATGTAATAAAGGAGCTGATATATTTATAAAACAGGCATTCTTCCATTAGCAGCACACAGCAACTGTTGTGTCCCTAAGGGCTGTGATTAAGAATTTGTGGATAATCTCTTCTTGAGCAATTTACTTTTTCAAAAAAATGTTCATTGTTTAACAAAATTAAAGTTTAAAAAAGACATATTTTCAGGTTTCCAAGCAAATGTTCATGACATTGTGTATCTGCTTTCAGGCAGCGTCAATCTGGGGACTGCATGTCACTCTGTATAAGATTCTATAAATAATCTTTACTATAAATCTTCTTACCATGATGAAAGAAAATCCTTTCCATAGAGAAATCCAGCCTTGAGGGCAGGGAGGAACATCTGTGGTTTGACTGTGCACAGCAATGGCGATCGCAGGACCTTCACAGACTGTGCACCTGAAACATGAAAGGGGCCTATGGTAGCGTTGCCACTTTCTGCACCATGATGTACTGCCTTAGTTTCCAATACAAGCCAATTGACTCACTCAGTCCTGTTGCAAAACCAAGGGATTGCATTTTTACCTACTAATATAAGGCTCGAGGGCCCTGCCCGTAATTGGAGTCATGTCCATTGGCATCGGAGCTGGTGTTGACAGCCAGTATGAATAATCATTTCGAGATGCAAAATTGCAGACCTCATTGATGTCACAGAATAAGAAAGGCATTGTGGTAAATCGTTGCAGGCAGCTGCCAAGAGTTCCTAGTAAAACAGACTGAGTATTACTTTAGTCAATTAAAACCATTTCGAATATCATTACTAGATAGAGGTTAATTAAAACATAACCCATGGCAAAACTGTTGAAAGAAGAAACAAAAGAGTTATTTGCAAAATGTGGTTTTGAAAAGTTTTCCTAATGATAGAAATTAAAAGATCCAGCTGGCAAACAAACCTTCCCCCTTCTACTCTTAGTACTTCCTGTGGCTCTTTCTGTGCAGTCTAGGAGCTGGGGACAGAATCGTTTGGTTGGGACAATGCCTTTGCCTCATAGTATTTCCAGTTATTCACAGGCATATCATAAGTAATAACTAGATGAAGCTATAGAAAAGATGTTATCTTGGCAATTAAAATCAGACAGGCATTTTTAGTGAACTTTATTTTCATGGAACAGGATGATCATGGCTTCCTCCAGTGCTTTACACTCAAAACTAAAATTAGATATTAGGTTAACTTGTTATTTTATTTGCTGCCCTGAGAATGTGCTGAAAGGTAAGTAAAGGTGTTAACCCTAAAGTTCAGAGGGAATTACCTTATATATGAAAATTCACATATGTGCACGTGTAACAAAATGACTAGACACTAAGATAGGGATTATTACCAAGGTCTTGTCCATGGGCTCTCTCATTTCCTTGTACAAAAAGAAGAGAGTAGCCGCTGTAAAGTGGCTCTGTCCCTTCCGGACATGCAGGAACTGCTGTTGTTTGACTGTGTCGAGTGAAGACAAAGCCTCTCATTGTTGTCCCAGGTGCAGGTGGCCCAGCATCTCCAGCCTTTCCCTTCACACCTGGCAATCCTTCTGACCCACGTGGTCCTTGAGAAACACAACATGAATGTCACAACACAAAAACAATCTCAAACTTGTCTTCCAAACTTTGATGCGTTAATTGATTAACCACTTTTTTATGTGTGTGTTGGACCTCCAATACAGAGAGAAATCCAAGAATGATTTATTAAAGATCCAAACAATACAGTATTATTAAATGTTAACCAGTGTATCACACAGTGTCTCCAATCAGAGACATTTACGTATGTATTACCATGGGCTTTTTGATTTTAGATTTTCTCCATAATACTTAACACAATGGCCTGCATCTAACATGGCTTATGCATGTCTTCTATGAACAAATGAATGGACCGACCCACAGTGTATGGAGGAAGAGGGAAAAGAAATCCCCTTAAATGTATACAACTTGAATATCTTTTTAAGGAAGTTCTAAAACATTAATGTATGTTTTTTAGGAAACCTCATATACACGAGAATAGAAAGCACTGTAAGTTGCATCAATCAAGAGACTTTTTTTGATCAATTTGTAAAGCAAATTTGAGTGAAAAAAAAATTTCTTATTGTAATGTAGGTTAGTTTCTTTGTGGTCATTTGTGTTACAAACTATAATTGTGTGATTTTTATGGGTGTGTCTTGTATTTTCTTTGCAGGTGGTTTGGGCTAACCCACATTTGTTCCTTCTAAATACGAACCAGAGTGACCCTCTTCTCTTCCCCATCCTTCTTCTCTCTTCTTCATCAAGTAACTATTATTTATTACATTGGCTTCATCTGTCACCTCCTCAGCCTGATCTGTTTCCACTGCTGCAGCACCCTCACCACCTCCCAACCTGATTTGGGCTGTTCAACTCTTAGAATCCCAGGGAGATGCAGAGAAGGGAGAGACTGTGGCTGGGAAGTCTCAAGGAAGATATTATTATCTGCCAGCCACCATTCCATGGGAGCCAGGCAGTGTTGGAGTTTAGTCCTGATTCAGAAGTCAGCATTTTTCACAAAGATTTGTAGAAGCCCCAATATTTTTATCATTCTGCTCTGAATTATCCTAACTCCTGTATTTTCCACACATTTTGATTTGTTCTTTGAAACTGAAAGGCAGTCTAAGTCCATTATTGCCGTGATCTGAAGAGATAAGGAAGACATGCAGTCTGCCCTTTTCCTCATCCCTACCCCCATCCAGAGGGCTAGATCTGACCCTGAGGAAAAGATGCCTGAGTCTGTAGGAATTGTACAGACAGACAAACCGGGAATTAAGCAATCATACACATGTGTCCTATGCAAGAGTATTTGGCATCTCCAAGAAAGGGACCAAGGCCATCAGTTTGTGCCAATGCAATCTGACTCTTAGATCTTTGTATCATTCTTATGAGGCTTCCATGCATTGGATTGAATAGTAGAGTAGTCAACTTTATTGGTGCAGAAAATATTCCATCCACTCGAGATAGAACTATAGACAGCCAGCAGCCTTGGATAATACTGATTCCTAAGCATACTATTTTTCCCTACAATGCTATATAAGACTAAGTTTAATTTACAAGTTAGGCATGGTAAAAGATTATCAGTAGTAGCTGGTAATAAGCTAGAATAATTCTAACAGTATATTGTTGTTTAATATTATGTGAATGTGATCTCTGTCAAAGTACCTTATCATGCTATCTTTCACCTTCTTCTCAAGAGGGAGAGACGATCCTAAAAGGAGTACCCGTGGCTTCTCTTTGGTGCACTTGAATTGCCTGCAGCACAGCTCTTGTGCTTGTCATCAATAAGTGAAATAAGTGTTACTTGAATACAGAACTATAATATCTGTTCATTTGATACTTCAGATATTACTAAGTGTCTAAGTGGCAGATGTTGTGTGCAGTGTGGATAAGCAAGACAGAGGATGAATCACATTTCAGGAAGGATGGAGCAAGGTGGTGCAATATTTCATAATACTACACAGAATAGCATGCCATTTAAAACGTATGAATTATTTATTTCTGGAATTTTCTACTTGATACTTTTGGACTGTAGCTGACCAATGCTAAGTGAAGTCACAGAAATGGAACTGCATGGCAGGCACTTGGCAAAGTGGTTAGGATGGGCTCGAATCCCACCCCTGCTTCCAGTTCCAGCTTCTAGCTCATGTACACCCGGGGAGGAGGCAGGTGATGTGTCAAGCGATAGGGTCCCTGCAATGAGTTTTATTCCTGGCTCCAGGCTCGGCCCCTTTCCAGCTCTACCACGGGTATTTGCGGGACAAGCCGATGGACAGGAGCTGTCCTTTTGTGTCTGTCTCTGCTTTCTGCTTCTGAAGTTGTAAATTAAAACAGGGAAGAGAAACTACGGACAAAAGTGATTGTTGTAGTTCTCAACATAATTTGTGTCATAGTGCCCTTGCCCTGTGTTCCGCCTCGTAAAACCCAGCCTTGGTCATCAAAATTTTAAAATTGATAGAATTATTGAAAACAATTTTAAGTTTACTACTTTGGAGAAAAGGGACCCTGGCATGTTCTTTGAAATTAAAAATAGGCAATTCAACTCCTTCAAAGTTCCATTTTTTACTTGAAAAGTTCAAAATCACCATGGTCTTAACAGATATGGAAGACATATTCTTCATTCTTAAAGAAAGTTGAGTGCTAGATAATATTGAAATGTGCTTTTCTATGACTATTAGCATCATATATGAATTGTGAAATATTTAAGTCTCTGCATTAGCAATTTTATTATGGTAGATCTGCGGTATATGCTGGGAAGTCAAATTTAGAATTTTTTATTTTAACAAAATCAGCAATCCTAAGAATGGAAGAGTTGAAGATTTAGTTATTTTCTAGAAAAATGTTTTGAAACTTTTTTAGAAGTTAGCTCTTGATCCAGGTATCAAACTGTCACATTTCAAAACACAGTATTCTATTTGAAAGATCCTTTTCCAGGACCTACACATGAATTGTTGAATTGTATTTAAGTATGGCAACTTACAAGATGATTTTTCTAAATAAGAATATTAAGTTGTTCCTTCACATCCAGATAATATTTTTCTAATTTTGGGTTGAGGCACCATTTCTTTAAGTAGTTACTAAATAACAACTGCTAAGTGAGTGGCTCTCCTGAAAGCACTTTATGACTTCTGCTGTTACTGCAGCGAAGCTGTGCCTTTGGCTGACATTCTGGAGTACATACGCCCAGGGAAGAGGTAGGAAGCATGTTCCACTGATTCTCCATCTTCTGACTTCCAAACAAATGCTTGCAGCCTGGTTTTGGCTCTAGTCCCAGCAACACAAAAAAACCTTGAACTCTTGCAGGACACCGACAGAATGGCTGTGACTCTGCACAGCACCCCTTCAGGCTGAACACTGGCAGTATTTGTTTACCTTGCTCTCCCTGGAAACCTTTGCTGCCTTTCTCTCCAGCTGGTCCGGGAATTCCTGGTTTTCCATCCATGCCTGGTCTCCCTTTTGGCCCACAAGGTCCTAGGCAAAAATCAACATTGTGCTGCATTTCACCACAATAGAATGAGAGAGGAGATAGCCGACTATCCTAGTTAGCCTGGGCCAACCAACTGGGGTGGTTGGTCACCCATCTTGTTAACCTCACTCCATTTATATTTTTTTAAATACTCAGGAAGGCATTTGGTGTAGTAGTTAACATGCCACTTGGCATGTATGCCTACATCCCGTATTAGAGCGGCTGACTTTGAATCCTGGTCCCAGGCTTTATTCCACCATCCTGCTAATGTGTGGTTTGAGAAGCAGCAGTGATGGCTCCAGTAGTTGGGTCCAGGCCCACCCATGTGGGAAACGGATTGAGTTCCCAGCTCTTGGTTTTGGTACAGCCAAGCCAGTGATGTTGTGGGCATTTGGGAGATAGGGTGCATTAATAAATAGGGACATCACTCCCTTTCTCCATTCTCTCGCCCCTTCTCTGCCTTTCAAGTAAAACCAATAAAAATTTAGAAATATAAAAGGCATTCAGAATCAATCACAAGTATGTGAAATATAATAATTTTAAAGTAGTACATATCTTAATAAATTTATTATTTTTTATTTCATTTTATGACACAGTTTCATATGTTCTGGGGTTCCCCCAACCTCTCCCCCTACCCTTCCCCCGAAATATAACAATTTAAAATTATGCTTCCACTTTAATGTATGCCCTTCCAGAATTTATTATGCTTAGACATCGACCAAGCTAATAAATAATACCTCTCTAATCTTCCAAGCGACTCACACTTGTTAGAGAATAATAGTTCCAATCAGAAACGTATTATGATCTGGTAAGCGTAAATGGAGGGGTTGGTTCAGTTTCTAAATGCCATCATTTTGAAAAGATTTTGAAATTATTTTCTTGAACACTGAGCTGTACCAAGTGTTAGAGAAGTTTAAGTTCACAGAACTGACGCATGGTAAAATCAATTATTTTACAAACTGTCAGACTTCAAAGATGGACAGTTGTCAAGGGAAATAAAATATAGCATGTTTACGTCAATAAAAACAAAATGTACAATAGACCTTAGAGTGTATTCACTTGAGTTTATATTATATATAACACTTTTTATAGATATCAGAGACTTGCTTGTGAGGGATAAAATAGTTCCATCCCAGCACTGATTGTAAGAAAAGCAGCCACCCTGTAATGTTAAACATTTTCCATGAAGTTGTATCATTTGCATTCAAATCACGTTGCCAGGATCTGGCTCCACCACTTGCTAGTGACCCCAGTCATTGTTGCCAGTAACATACCTGGGCTCCCTGGAGACCCTGGTGGTCCAGGTTCTCCTTGCATCCCTGGTTCTCCACGTGGGCCAGGTGGCCCTGGACTACCTGGAAGGGAGATGATCTGAAGCGTACCAGGGGCTCCGCGGACACCTGTTGAAACAAACATAAGAAGAGGGCTTCATTCATGAATTATTATCCTCTTTGCACAAAGGACATTGGTAGGAAAATATATTTACCGGGTGGTCCTTTTGGCCCACTTGGCCCAGGTGGTCCAGGTGGCCCTGGGAATCCTGGATTACCCTTCTCTCCTGGGGGGAAAAAGGCAACATGATTTCACATGATACAGTGTGTTTCTTAGCTCTTCAGGTTGAAGATAATCTCTAATGATGAAAGAAGTGAGGATTGCTGGCTATGTAACATTGGTTCTGTGACAGTGGCTACAGCTAAATTACATTCACGTGGCTTCTAGTTTTTCATTTGGACTCTATCAGTCCTTTTTAATCACTCTGTAAAAAAATACATCCCCAAAGCAGACATTTAGATGTGCGCCGGTTCTAATCCTGGCGGCCCTGCTTTCCATCCAGCTCACTGCTTGTGGCCTAGGAAAGCAGTTGAGGACAGCCCAAAGCCTCAGGACCCTGCACCCACATGGGAGACCCAGAAAAAGGCTCTAGGCTCCTGGCTTTGGATTGGCTCAGCTCCAGCCATTGAGGCCGCTTGGGGAGTAAATCATCGGATGGAGATCTTCCTCTCTGTCTCTCCTCCTATCTGTATATCCGCCTTTCCAATAAAAATAAATAATTATTTTTAAAAAAAATCAAGACATACAAGGGGTCTTTCACTTCATATGCCTGAATTAAAAAAAAATATTTATTTAGCTATGACATGAACTGGCAGCTATATGGGATGCTGGCATTGCCACGGCAGCTTTATCCACAGTGCTGGCCCTGGAACATATTTTTAAACACTTATTTTAAGAGCATACCCTTTGTGGTCTGAGTGGTATAGAGGCTGAGACACTGGCTATGCAGCATCCCATATCAGAGTGCTTGGGTTGGAGTTCCAGCTCTGCTCGGAGTCCAGCTTCCTGCTTGTGCGTACCCTGGGAGGCAGCAGTCACGCTCAGGTGTTGGGTTCCCGTCCCCCAAAGGAATTGAGTTCCCATTGTGTCCATATGAAGACTGAGCCAGCAGATGGGTGTCTCTCTGCCTACCTGTCTGCTCTCCCCCTGCCACTCAAGTAAGTATGCTTGAGAGTATTCCTTCTAGTTATGTCCAGGTGTTCTGGGCTGGGGTCTTACTTAGTTTCCAAACATTCCATCTTTTTCTCCCAAGACTTGGGGCAGTGATAGCTGGTAGTAATTTTCCACAGGACGCCTCCCAGTCCACCCAGTGTCTAGCGTGTCTCAGACTCACCTGCTTGGGTTCCCTGCCAGCTAGTTTGCTCTTGAGACAACTGAAGAGGCTGGGTGCACTGAATGGGATCTCTTGGAAGCTTGCCTTATCTTTTCTCAAAACTAGAATAAGTCTTCCTTCTTAAACATGTGGTCTTATTCATGTTGAATATGCTTCTTCTTTAGCATCTCTCTGATAATAAGTTTCTGGCCATTGTAAAAACAGTACCAGGGAAACTAACAAGACCAACCAGGGAAATATTTAAAACCTTATTAAAGTAATAGCATACTAGTAGAAAAAAATTGAGAATTATTTTCTGAAACTATTTATGTATAAAAATACTTAAAAACTCAAAATTCTTCAAAACTGTAAGATTTCATAATGCATGAAACATATGCCCTATGAACATATAGATGCCTATACAGTGTACCTGCTGGCCCCTACTAACAATCTGGAGAATGCGCTCTTGGTCCCTCAGAATTTTTAAATTATGAAGGCAGCACATTAGCATATGGTAAACTAAACATCCCAATAACAAAACTGTTCATCCTGTTATAATTCCCGTCTTCCATCCCAACATGTAAGTGTCATACTCTTAAACATAGCCACTTTTCAACTGTTTCTGTCTTTAGGTTTTCTGCAAGCTTCTACCTTCAGGTGGTGGGTGTTGATTTTAAAGCCTGCTGGGGCTGGGCTCCTTCCTCACTCATGTTGAGGTCCTGTTTCCTGCTTGCACTCTAACTCTGTGGTGACCACAGGGGCTCAGTCATCATTTGTGCATCCTCAGCTATGGATTCCTAGTTATCATAGCTGCAGGAAAGGGACCGTACCTCTCATTCCTGGGAATCCACTGAATCCGGGATCACCTCTGAGCCCTGGAAGACCTGGGGCACCTGGCGCTCCCTGGAACAAAAATGAAAAGGGAAAGGGCCACAAGCAAATTTTTTAAAGTGTAGTAGTCATGGCAACGTTTTGAAAGCAAAAAGGGTATTATGTTGGATGGAAATGAACTGGAGTTGAGAGACATAACGTTCGCTTTGTAACACAGTGTTTCACCTCTCTCTAACCTCTCTGGCTGTCCACACCTTTCCTCAAGTCTGTTACTAAAATAAGATAACAAAATAAAACCTGTGCTTGAACTCAAGAGAGGGCTTGCTTGCTGCTATCCATATATGCTATCTTTGTGTTGAGTAAAGTGAGATATTCTTTGTCTTAAATGAAGCCACCTAAAACTGGAGGAACAAAAGACACCAGACTGCCAAAGTGATGCTTCTCATTGAGGTTTTTGATGCTTTTCTCTTAATACTCATTTTATTTATTTGAAAGGCAGAGTTACAGACAGAGAAGAAGAGACATGGAGAGATTAGATTTGTGATCCTACACAGATAGTGGAGCCCTGGTTGAGTCATCACACCTAAGCACCAGTCTAAGCTGGCAAACACGTGAATCATCCTGGTAAGGGTGGCAGGGATGGGCATGCAGAGGGACTGTCAGCAGAGAGGTTTCGGCAAGGAAGCAAGGATCTGAGTGAGGCAGAGGCGCTCTCTTCTTTGAGGGTCATACCAGTTGCTCTCATGACCCTGGGATACTCCAGCACGCCCACAGGGAGAGGGCACAAACCAGCGCTTCTGGAAAGCTTCTGCCTTTCAGTAGGCAGGTGAGAGCTACCTTCACACAGTCCATTTGCATTGAGACCCAACAGTATTACTTGGAAACCATATAGTGAAGTTTGTGAAAAGTGCCGAGAACAAAACTGTATGTTGAGCCAGCTGCTTTTAGAGCAAGAAGAGCAAGAAAGGAACTGTCTTATTGCTTGGAAAATGCGGAATGAGGTGCAAGAGGGGAGAAGCAGCAGAGTCGCAAGCTTCCGAGGTCTGGTGGTTCTGCTGAGGCACAGGTAGCTGGCAGGGAGGGCCTGGTGCCAGCTCCAGCCCTCGGTGGGAGAGAGGTGTCCCGTGCAAGGAAAGCCAGCTTGTGCAGTTTACAAGACTTATCTTCCAAGTGCAGATGTTAAAGGCCTTTTTAATCTTCAAGGATGAACGTGAAATCCCATTTCTCAGCTTGACTTTTTAAGCCGGGAGTCCTTGCAAGGATCTTAGATGTGATCCTAGGACTGTTGGCAACTTGCAGAGAACCAAGGAAGACACAGGACATCTATACACTAGAGATAAGGAGCATTGTTTTTTAAAGATAAGGTTAATTGTAGAAACCAAATACCAGGAGAGCTGAAGAGAGCATGCGTGATTCCTGAGAAGACATGCCAGAGGACCCCACTGCCTGTCACTGCTGAGCCTGGCCGAGGAGGAAGTGTTAAGTTATAGCACAGGTACAACTTCCTGTGACTCACTGAAGCACAGGTGTTTCTACTGTGTCATTGTTGCTGCTGCACTAGGTGACCGAGATGGGCAGATTAAACAAGCAGCTTATGAAGGGATTAAGTCCAGCCTGGACAGTGATCGGTGGGCACCAGCAGCTGTTTGTAAATGTTTCCGAACCAAGAACGTCTTGTGTCTTATGTAGAAAACCTTCCTAGTTTGCACTAAGCCTTTCAGCCTCCTCACCTTGTAGCCTCATTCCCACCTCCAGCTGTAGAGATGCATGCTGAGCATGCACTGTCCTTCCCATACGCCTCTTCAGCTTTTTGATCTGAAAACTCTTTTGCTGCTGGCTCATACTTCAGCTATTTTTCTGACTAATGCCTTTGTATCTTATGTGACTCAGGCCAGGGACCCCCTCTTCTAGGAGAAACCCTTCCTGAGCGCCGTATGTATGTCCGCAGACAAGGGAGTGTCCTTTCCTAGCCCTCTGCCATTCCTTTGAGCACACAGTGTGGAACTGCTGTCACTGTAGTGTAGGCTTCCTTAGGCAAATCACTGGGCTCTTACTTTGGAAAGCACTCAGCTCTGGGTAGACACTCAGTAATAACTGCTGAGTCACTCTCATCTTCTCAGCACCTGGTCGCAGCATGTGAGGTAAGCACAGCAAATGGCTTATCAAATAGGCTGTGAAGGGAAAGCTAGGCATGGTGTCTGCAGTGGTCTGATTGGGAGCATGGAATTCCCTGGAAAGTTCTGCGCTTATGACACGAATTAACAAATGCACCAACAAAGAGCTGGACAAGAAATAATGGAGAAAACTTTGTAGCAGCTCCTGAGGACAAAGCACGTGGCCTTGAAGATGCACTGAACAGCCCAAGTGGAACTGCAGGCTGGGTTCCTAAGGTAGGGTCGCACAGGATGGTGAGATGGCCCCTCTGTAAGTCACTCAGTGCAAGGCTGAGGGTTCAGTTGTGCTCATCCTTTGGGCTGCATTTTAAAGGGAGTGATTGGCAAACTAGGATGTATTCAGAATGGATGCACAATGGATGAGTGGTTAAACTGATTTCTCAAAAGCCAGGTGATCTGTTAAGAAAATAACTTGACAGCTGTTTACAAATCTTGGAAGGTATGCGGTGGGGATTAAGTTAGAGGCCAAAATGTTTGCAATTCTTAAGATTCTTTGATTTCGTAAACTTCCTAGACTCTGTCTTCTGGATGCACAGTGAACAGTTGCATCACAAATGAAAACCTATTTCTGCCATACACCCGACCCTGGCAATTGATGTACCACAATAGACTAATACTCCATGTTAATAAGTCAATTGGAATAATGCTGACAACATATAACATGCAACTGCAAATATTATCTATGACAATAATAGAATATATATCAAAATATATAATACCAACTATATATACAATTGCATGTATAAATGCATACTTACATATGTATTTAACATAATCCAAAAATTACTATTTCATATGATTGTAATTATAATTACTATGTTGGTTAATACATTTATAAAATATTAATAGATGTCAAATTAATAACAAATCAAGGTAATTTTCCACACTCACTGGATGACCTGGTGGTCCCATCTCTCCTATAGTTCCTGGTGGACCTTTTGGACCAGGGTGTCCCATGAATCCTTTATCTCCTTTTATGCCTGCGACTGGACTCCCTGGAGGTCCCGGGGGACCAGGTTCACCTGGATTCACAAAGCAGGCAGTCTTGTCAGTAAGGGAGCCTGGGGGTTTCTATCAGCAATTCACACAAGCCATTGACAAACCCTGTGCCTTAGCCGAGTGTGCCGGGTGATAGGGCTGTGGGAAAGGTGATAATACCAGGGAAGCTCTGCGAGCAGCAGGAACTGCTCCTCCCTGATAAAGGCCTTGGCCTGCGCACCGGACTTGACACATGGTAGAAGAGCAACAAATACAGGATGCTCTCTTGTAGGAGCACTCAGTAGCTACTATTTTTTCTTTAAGATTTATTTAATTTTTTTAAAAAAAAATTTCACAGGAAAGGCAGATTTACAGAGAGAGAGAGAGAGAGAGAGAGAGAGAGAGAGAGAGAGAGAGGAGAATTTTCCATCTGCTGCTTCACTCTCCACATGGATGCATTGGCCAGAGCTGAGCTGATCTGATGAAGCCAGCAGCCAGGGCTTCTTCTGGGTCTCCCATGTGGGTGCAGGATCCTAAGATTCGGGCCACCCTCTACTGCTTTCCCAGGCTACAAGCAGGGAGCTGGATGGGAAGTGGAGATGTTGGGACACAAACCAGTGTCCATATGTGATCCCAGTGTATGCAAGGTGAGGATTTTAGCTACTGAGCCATTGTGTCAGGCCCAGTATCTACTCATTTTTCAAACTGACCACTCTATCAACTCAGCAACAGTTGACCTGCGCCCCACACAAGGATAAATGGGTATGGGAAGAACAGAGAAGGCCATTGAAAGGAAAAGAAGCAATGAATTCACACAGGGAGAGGATGGGAAATTGGGGGGAGGAGGCAGAGGTCAGACATTGTTTTCACTTTTTAGTTTTGTGTTAAGTAAACACTCTTCTACCTGGCTTTCCCCTTGAGCCGGGTGGGCCTCTGTTTCCTTTTTGGCCGGGCTTGATTGCTCCAGGTGGGCCTGGTGGCCCTGGCAGTCCTGCTGCACCTGTGGGTCCTCGAGGCCCAGCATCTCCCATGGACCCTTTCCTGCCAGGCCGGCCAGGCAGGCCAGGGGCTCCCCTGTATCCTTTGGCTCCTGCAAAAGAGAAAGCCCAATTTCAAGAAATTTCCCTTTAGTTTAATCATGTAGAGAGCTTCATCCCCCCCTCCCCCTTGTTTGCAAAGAGGCTGGTAAATGAAATCTAGGTCTACAAGAATTGAATTCAGACTCAGCTGAAACTCCAACTAGCCTTTTGATCTTGGAAGAATCACTTTACCACTATCCATCTTGGTAGTCTTATTTTCAAAATCAAGGCAATAGCTGTCCTAGTTCAGTTCTTAAAATGTCTTATGAAATAATGAGCCTGCTAATGAAAAACTCCAAAGTGTTATAAACTCTACAATGTTACATAAGTGCAAGCCACAAACATTGCTATCCCATTAATTTTGATTTTAATGATATCATTTAGTTCACCCACAGCTCAGTGGTACACAAAAGTTAAAGTTGGTGGCATAGCTTTGCACATTTGAAGTACTATCCAACTAAACGTAGCTAAAAGAGCAACAAATTTGCCACCTTACCCTGTCCTTGGAGCAGATGTCTCCCATGATGCACCATTAAGTCTGGGGAGACACTCCTGGGGTAGGAGGGTTTAGATTTGCAAAAGTGCACTCCAAAGAGGCCACAGCTTAATACTAACAATTTTCTCTTTAGAAATCTTCAGGAATGGTTTGATATTCATGAGCGAAAAAATGTTCTGTGAATTAAGGACATCTGTTCCTCCTTCCCCTTTCTCTGTGTTATTCTAAAAACAGCAAATGGCAAGGGTAATGGTGAGGCAGGTGCTTCAGGGGACCAACTCGTGACATCAAGTGGTAGAGACTTATAAGGATGAGAAAAATAAGATGGGTGAACACTGGATCTCTCTCCCTGCGTCTTTCCACACTGCATGTATCTGCTCTTTGATGGGTGTGTTGAGGTGACCACCTCAGTTCATGTCATGTTCTGGAGTCTCATCTTTGAGTAGCAGTGGTCAGGAGTTCCACGTGGCCTTGGGTGACACATTCCATGTTGATGAACATGATTGTTCTGTGATCAGTTGATTCTTAGGGAGTGGGAGAACTTCTCGTGATAAGGGTCCATACTTTTTAATTCTCAAAAACTCTTTTCTATGTATGTTATCCTAGAGGGACTGAGTCATGTCAGTTTTTACCTACATATTTAGGCTACTGGTTATTTTTTTTTTTTCTTTAAACCATAGGTACAACATTTTTGTATCAAACTTGATTTCCAAATAGAGCTACTTAGTTCCTATGTCATTAGATTAAATGGTGAGCTTAGCCAAGTATTTTGAGCCAACAGAGTTTCTCCCTTTGAACATAATTCCAAAGCTAGACAATGAAATACAAAAAGGCTTATGTGAGAGAGAGGGACCTGGGAGACACTGAGTTCCACCAGAAGGATTTGCGAATCATCAAAAAATGAACGGAAAATGCCCATCTATTTTTATTCTCTAAGTCTTAGGGAAGATACATCCCCTTGCCACATCAGTTTCCCAGTGGCATCAGGGTGTTCTTTGCTGGTCTCTTCCCGTCAGCAGCAATAACCAGAAGCTTATATTGCATTGAGATATCTTTGTGTAGAATGCACTCCTCCCCGGAGGATCCACAACCGAGAGGGTACAGTAAAAGGCACATTTCTCCTGGCAGGCTTTTCAACAAAATGGAAAAGAGTTGAAGATATTGTTCATCTTGCAAAATACTGGTATGAGAAATCCAGATCTGCTGTCTGCCCATCAACAAAACACTCAAGTATAACAAATAACGTGTTTTGTGAATTGCTGTGTGGGAGAGGTTAAGTTACTGGATCACATTCAAGACAATAGCGTAGACCACAAGCTGATTCTGGGAAGGAACTGAGAACTGTGATGGGTAAGGACTGGTGTCAGTATTTCTCAGAGAAGCAGGGAGAGGTGCTCATCGAGAATCTCCCAAATCCACCTGCTTCCTTAGACATGGTATGCTTATGCCAACAACCCCTATGCAAATGTGAGACTTAGTTTTTGAAACTTTTATAGAATGGAATCCCAAAACTGGGTCATAGTTTCCAGTTAGTTTGCTTTGTTATGATTATAATAATTCAATATTTTAAAGTAAATACTAGGATTATAAACATTATCATTGGGACTTCTTTAATTCACTTAGTTGTGTTTATGTTACTTATTGAGCGTGTTAAACTGGGTTTTGTTCTTGGAAATCTGTGTGACTGACTCATGGAAGAAAAATCTGCTTACCTTGAACACCAGGTTGCCCTCTGGGGCCTGGATGGACCCCCAGCAAACCTGAACAAGAAAATTTGGCATATTAATATTGGGTCAATTCGATATTGTATGTGTCACATGTAATCACACATCAGGCCCATGGGAACAATAGTCAGTTCCAGCTGAGAAGAATTTCTAGAGCAGTAAGCCATTAGAATGTCATTAATAACTATATCCCCAAAACGTCAGTGGATCAGAGAGCGTGAGTGGGTGGTACCTGTCTCTCCTTTCTCTCCAGGTGGACCAGGAATTCCATCACGGCCCTGGTTGCCTCTCATTCCCACTGGCCCAGGAGATCCAGGGAATCCTGGAAGGCCTAAACAAGCAAAACCCCAAGTGAAAACCATAGCATTCGGAAAGAAAACTCATTTCATTTCAGTGGCATCTCATTAGAGGTGCTGATCTTTCAGAACTTGGCTTGTGCGCGGCTAAGTTTACAGTGAGAACCATACACAGATGAATATGATCCCGAGGGTTCTCTGGCACATTAGGTTAGCAGATATTTTGATCAGACGGGTAGAAACATGTAAACCAGCTTTTTTTTCCTTTTTGTTTGATCCCTGAGTCACTGGGAACTAATGTATACGCAGCAGTTGAATATACAGGCACTCCAACCCAAAAGAAAGTATTCCTTGTCATGCAGAGGAGTAAGAACAAATGCAAAAATGCAACCTGGAGGGCCTTTTACTCCTGGATGTCCAGGGAAGCCTTTGATGCCTTTAAGCCCCATATCACCATCAGGACCCGGATTTCCTAGAAATGAAGAGAGAAGCTAAGGAAAAAGGACACCAAAAAATGAATGATTACAGCAGTGGCTGGAATGGTTGCTCCAGTGTACCTGTGCTAAGCCAGCCTTATGAAGCCCTCTACCCCAGGCTGGAGGGCAGCCTGTTCTGGCTGCTTTACCTCCAAGCAACTGCATGCATATGTCCAACTGTTTCAGAGGTTTGTGTACACCACCTACATGGCCTAATGTGTTACTGGGGCGTATCTGCAAAAGTAATTGTGCCTTTTGATGTTTGAGTAGAATATCTAGATATTGTCTTTCAAGACGTAAAAGCTGTAATCCAATAGCTTGGCACTTTTTTAAAGGATTTATTTTATTTTTTTTAATTGGAAAGTCAGATATACAGAGAAGAGGAAAGACAGAGAGGAAGATCGTCTGTCTGTTGATCCACTCCCCAAGTTGCAACAACAGCCTGAGCTGCATTGATCTGAAGCCAGGAGCCTCCTCTGAGACTCTCACGTGAGTCCTGTGGCTTTGGGTTTTCCTCTGCTGCTTTCTCAGGCAACAGGCAGGGAGCTGGATGGGAAGCAGGGCCACTGGGATTGGAATTGGCACCCATATGGGGTTCTGGTGCTTGCAAGGCGAGAACTTTCACTGCTAGGCTGCCCTGCACCGGGCCCTTGGCACATGTTTTTAACAAAACAAAAATAAGCCCGATTTATAGCCTAAAAATGATAGTCATTGGAAACCTGCCAGAAATAGATTCCTAACAACAGTGTTACAAATTGGATTGCACAGCTCCCAGAAGGTCCCTAGGTGCTTAGAATGGCATTTTGGAATTAGGATAAAAAGGTCATTAAGATGAGGTACGCAGTTAAAATGAAGGAGCCAATCCAATAGGACTGATATCTGAGAGTGGGGCCAAGCACATGGAGGGAAGATAAAGGAGAGCCCAGCCACCTGTTAGGTGGGGAGAGAGCTTTCAGAAATCACTTGCTCTGCCAAGCCCTGATCTCGGACCTCCAGCAAACAGAACTGCGAGGAAATAAACTGTTGCTTAAGCCACCCCGTCCCTGGTAGTTATCATGACCTCAGTAAATTAATACACGGGGTGTCAGTGGACTAACATTCCACGCCTCTGGGCTGAATTTATTGGGGCAGCACTTGCGCAGGAGTTTTGCTAAGGGGAGCTGGATTTTAGACTTCAGTCCACAAATTAGGCTTATCCTAATATACTCATGATTTCTCAATGTCTTGATTGGAAGCTTACAGTTGAATAATAATAATAATAAAAAAAAACCCCATAGCACAAAGGCAGAAATCACTTTCTGTTTTCTAAGCTGATTCCAGAAAGTGAGGGTCGTGGTGTACCTGACACTCAGCACTCACAGAATTGTCCAGCTGACGCTCACCTGGGGGGCCAGCACCTCCAGGGCTTCCAGGGGCTCCCGCAGCTCCAGCAGGTCCCAAATGTCCGGGCGGGCCAGGTGGCCCTCTTTCTCCTTTCTTCCCCAGGTCACCTGGTGGTCCTGGATCCCCCTTAAAGTCAGTCAAACACCTTTAAAATTCTCATATAAGCAAGACATGTGATTAGAATTAAGTATAAACTTTACACGTTCATTCATCAGTCCCTATTTAGATCTGCTATGTGCCCGTACCATGACAGGTGCTTGGAACAAATGGGCCACAAGTACAAAAATGAAGATGCGGCTCTCTTTCTAAAAACAGCTTTTTACAAACTTTCAAGGCAAGAGCAGCAGAACATTAAGCCAAGCAAGGTGTCTTTCTTAGCATGGACCACGTGACTGTACAGCAAACAGCCTCCCCCCACTGGAATGTAATGGGAACTGTGTGCTCATGACTGACACACTCAGAGCCTCGAAACCAGGAGGGAGGCAGAGTGAAGAATGACTCAAACATGGAACTGCAAACAGTGATGGATAGACCGAAGGTTTCCTGCAGATGCTGTGTATACAGATGTCAACCATAGGATTGAAATTTCTCTCAAAGATCTAATATGTATGAAGTGTGTACTTTGTGATATGCCGTAACATACAGATTTGGTGGTGACTTCAAAGTGTCCACAGCAAGTGGTTTAAAATAGAACACTCTGGGACTCTGATTTGCTGACATAAAAAAAAAAAAAAAAACACCCCAGCCCATTCTGTGTTCCGTGTATAATTCTCAAAAGTTCTTCTGGTGTTTATTCATGAAAACCCTAAATCTGAAAAAAAGAGTAATCAACTGAATGTAAACTAAGTCAGGCAGATCAAAATCCGAAAAGTATACATCAAGATATCATGGGATGGATTCTTTCTCCGGGTTTCGAGGCCCTCATAGATACACACAAGGCAAAGACAAGTTGCCCGTGCTTTAACTGTCACAGGACTGCTTCTCGGGTCTGTGCAGAATCAAGGATTTTTCCTTTTTTATTTTACCAACTTCTAGTGGAGTAGATGGTTGCTAGAAATCCTCAATAAGCATGGTAGTTTACTAACTCGAAAAAGAGAATGTAGTTTCCCTAAGTTAACAAGTTTCATGTCTTAAAGACAAATATTCTTGAAAATCTGATGAAAAATACATTCTCCCCACATAAAAATTTGCAGTCAAACATTTTGCATTTAATTTCGGGAGATTAGTGGGCCCCCCCCCAACAGATCTATAGAATTCCATGTTTGGAACATGTTCACGGGATTTCTGTTAATTATGCCATAGTGGTCCGGCTTTGGTTCTCAGTGTAAGTGCTGGACACACATAGATAGATCGCAAGGATCTAAACCCCAAAGACAACCAAGTCCCACCGAGACACAGGGTTTCTGCTTCTGATAACACACTGGCCAGGACTTCGGTGTCTAACTACTACTGCCCACGCTGGACTAAGAACATGGTGACAAACTGAAAACAGCTTGTATAATAGAATGGAAATACTTGGTGTTAGAAAAATGCTTCCATGTATTTTAGGATTTTGTTTGCTTTGAGTTTGTCTTATATACGTGGTAGATCTTAAGAAGACAAGTGTCTTCTGTTCACAAGTCTGTGTGAGTTAAGTCCATAACTGGTAAACAAAACCACCGGTGATATCAGGTTGTGTGGGCCTGTGATTAACGCCCCCTTCTGGCAGCATAGCTAAACTGCAGGGAAAGTGTGGGAAATTCCTTGGTAGCTGAGTCTCTCGGAAGTTGGGAAAGTTACATGAAATGTACCCTCAGCTATGCAGCCGGGACTACATCCCAATAACCGAGAGTACAGTGACATTTTCTGCTTTCTTTCCCTCACTGACCGGATCATTGTTAATACGTCTAAGGGTTCCCCTCCACAAAGTAAACTTGTCTATTTCAGTGACCTACTTACCTTTGGTCCTGGTGGCCCTGGCCTTGCCCCTTCTGCATAACCTGGTTCTCCCTTATCTCCTGGGAGACCGCTGATACCTGGCAGGCCTGGTCTTCCAGCTAGACCTGGGGGTCCCAAAGCCCCCTGTTCTCCTTTAGAACCTGAAAGACATGAGACAACGTAAGCCTTGGGGATCTTGAGATATCCCACTCTTGGCCCCGCAGAATCCACATTTCTCTTACTAAATTGGTACTTCGGGATCACAAATGCATCTCGTAGTTATGGCAGATGATTTTTATCTAACAAAAATATTATTTTATTTGATTACTATTTTAGTTGTACAAGTTGCTTTGGTCTAAAATCAAATCAAGTTACTATCACACAAAATTACCATCAAACAGAAAACCAAAGCCATATACCACACAGAAAATCTAAAAATGTCACTTGTCATGAGCTTACTGCCTCCAGCTGGACCTTGTACATACCTGGCATGCCCATGGTTCCCGTGCCACCTGGCTCACCACGTGGCCCTGCCTCTCCAGGGCTCCCAATGATCCCCATATCTCCTCGGGGGCCTCGAGAAAAAAGAAATAGTCATACACCTTGCGAAATTCCTGGATGGAGTAGGAGCACAATTAGTATTTGTAGCTTGAATGGGTAAGTGAATCCAAGAGCTAGACCAGATGGGATAGACACAATGTGATTCTCATTTTATATTCCAATAAGGAAAGGGACTGAGGCCCAACAGCAGTTATACTAGGTTATTGTCAGCAAGACTAGATTTCAATCATCAAATTCATCCTGCAACCAACTGCAGCAGGAGAGGTTGGATCCTGTGCCCATATTACAGGTTTCCAAGTGTATACAGAACTTTACTGATGTATAGTCCGTGCTGTTACTGAGGTGGCTGAAGGGGGAAGAGCAGGCTACTTGAATTGTTGGAAACATTACTTGGCAAAGTCAATAACTTGTTTGAAAAAGAACAAGGCAATTTTGAAAACCTCTAAACCACTACCTAATTCGCACCTCTGATGTGAGGTTTAATGAACTTATTTAGAGTACTCATTAAAAAGCTCAAAATAAAACTAAGACTTATTATATACATGCCACCTGTAAAATGCCTTTCTTTGGGTTTGGTTTAGAGGCAGGTCTCTGCTGAAGCAGTCCTGGGGCAGAGTTCATATTCAACCCAGTATGTTTAGAAATTAGTTTTATTATATTTAGCTCTGAGAAAACAGAAGATACAATATTTCTTTTGGAAAATCAGCAATACCTGGTGGTCCTGGTGGTCCAGGAGGCCCGTCAGGCCCTTTTAGACCTGGTAAGCCTGGAACACCTTTACTTCCCTTCTCACCTGGATTTCCTGGGGATCCTAAAGGCAAAAACTCGATATTAAAAATACACATTGGAATTTTATCAGCTTCAGCACATCTTGATTTAAACCAATGGATGTTGTGGCAACACAGCATAGGATATTTGCTAAGAGGATGGGCAGGTGAGGGCCTGCCTTTTTAAAGAAGAGGTTTAAATGAGATCATGTGGGCCTGGCACAGTAGCCTAGTGGATAAACTACCTTTCAACCTCTGGGATCCCATTTGGGCGCCGGTTCATGTCCTGGCTGCTCTACTTCCTATCCAGCTTCCTGTCTGTGGCATGGGAAAGCAGTAGAGGACGGCCCAAAGCCTTGGCATCCTGCACCCATGCAAGAGACCTGGAAGTAATTCCTGGCTCTTGGCTTCCGATAGGTTCAGCTCCAGCTATTGCAGCCACTTGGGGAGTGACCCAACAGATGAAAGATCTTTCTCTGTGTCTCCTTTTCTCTATAAATCTGCCTTTCCAATAAATAGATAGATAGATAGATAGACCTTTAGATGAGATCACACATATAATACATTCACATAATTCCTGCTAAGAGTGCTCAGTAGACACTAATCATTATCATATCTACACTTTAAAACAAAATCATATTTTAGCATTCAGTGGATAAAAGCTCCTCACTTTTAAAAAACAAAGACATAGCCATATTAACCATGGTATTCCCATCTAAACTACTCTTTTCTCAGCCCACTGATTAAAATGTCAGCTTATTACTAGGTAAGTCTAGAGCCTGACCTAGGGTCACAGTCGGTGACAGCACTGCGATTTGTCCCATTTCTGCATGTTTGAAAGCTCATACGTTTCCCAGTCTACCTTTCTCCTTTCCCTAACGCAGGTCTTGGGTGACACTATTGTCTTCTCATTGCTGTTCGCAGCATCTATCAGCCACGGAGTCAGTGCGCTCCCTTGGCTGTGCAGTGTCCCACAGTCTGTCCCTGGCCTTCTCCTGGCTCCTTTGGCCTGTGGGCTTACTATTCTGTAAGTGCGCATGTCATTACAGGCCTTGTGCCGAGTCATGGTGATGGAAACAAATCTTGTTCATTGCCCCCCCAGTTTGAAAGGCTTTACTGAGGAGATAACCAAATGATCAAACAGTTATCACCCAGTGACATAAGACCTGTAATAGAGTTGGGTGCAATAAGCTACAGGGAAGAATTTCTGCAAGAAGCAATATTTTGTAGTCATTCTTCTAACGAAGGCTTTTTTTTAAAAAAAAGAGGAGTTATTTATTTGAAAGGCACAGTGATTGGGGGTGGGAGGAGGGGAAAACACAGAATTTTTGTCTGTAGGCTCACTCTCCAAATGGCCATAAAAGCCTGGGCATCTCCTGTGAAGCTAGGAACCCAGAGCTCCATCGGGATCTCCACGTGGTTGGCCAAGGCTCAAACACTTGGGTCACAACTCACTGCCCGCTTGGGGGTACTGCCATGGAGCTGAATGAGGAAGGAGCCATCCATGACTCAACTTGACTTTCTGATATGGGGTACCACATTGCAATTGGTGCTTTAGTCCACTGTGCCACAATACTTGCCCCAGGAGCTCATTCTGAAAGACCAAATGAGAATTAATTGAGAAAGCACAGGAGTGCTTTTAAGAAAATAGAGGCCAGAGCTGTAATACAGCGGTTTAAGCTGCAGCCCGTATCTCTAGCTTCCCATAGGGACACTAGTTCCTGTCCTGGCTGCTCCCCTTACAATCTTGTTCCCTAAGGATGCAGCTGGGAAAGCCGCGGAGGATGGTCCAGGTCCCTCAGCCTGTATGCCCTGCGGCGTACTTACCAGCCATGCATGTTGTATTTGGCTTGCTATATGATTGGAAGATCCAGAGAGAAAGATAAGCCTTCCAGCCAATTACAGTGTCATTTTTGGGTAGGAGGCCTATTGGGAGGATACCCTTTTGCCTTCTCATTTTTAGTCTATGTAAGTTTGTTCATGCTTTACAATAAAGGGACATGCTCGATGAGACCATCTCCAGTGGTTTCTGCTGAGGAACACTGCTTTGGTGGTCACAGGGCCTGCTGGTCAGCAAGCCCCGAGAAGGAAACAAGGTATTTTGTTTGTGTATACAGGACATAATAAAATGCTCAGTCTGTGGTATTAAAAAACAGTTGTTGACTGTATAAATGTCCCCTGACTGAAGCAGAAAAAGTACATTATGCTTTGAAGAAAGCTTGAGCAGGGCCCTCAGAGCATGCCCCACATCAGGGACCTGGGATGGTGGGAGGTTGGGTGGGGCTTCTCCCCTTGTTTCTCCCCTGACCCCAGATACAAGGAAAAAATTATTGATGATATTAGTGTGGAAACAATGGTATTACCCACTTTCCTGTAGCCCTTGACCCTTTGTACCCTAATCAGATATGTAAGATTATCAAAAAAATAAGTTTAAAGAAAAAGAAAAAAAGGATTGTTTTTGTGTTGATCGCGTTAGTCATCTGACTGCCCCAAAAGTACTCAAGTAATGTGAGTAGGTGTGAATTTCAGCCTGGTAGCCACACCTGACAATGGGTACAGTGTATAAAGGATAAATTTTCTTCAAAGCATAATGTACTTTGTTTTTTTGTAGTTGTTCTCCGAAGAATTATTTTTTCTCAAGGCGGGGGGGGTGGGGTGGGGTGAACAAGATGTGGTTTTTAGATGCAGTTAGAAAAATTTATTCTGATAGCTGACAGAATAAAGTAACTTTTGGGTGGAGTTTACAGTTTCAGACAAAAAAAGGCTTTTCGATGTGGAATTTTCTGAGTTTAGTATTCCCCAGTCTTGGCAAAGAGAAGGTTTTAAGGTTCCTAATTTCAAAATAGGCTAGTAACAAAAATACAGAGTTAGTTTAGAAACAGAAATAAATATGTATTACTGAAGCACATAAGATTTAGTTCTAGTTCATGTTCATTTGTCAACAGGATGTGTTGTCCAGCAGCAGAGCCAAGGGGATTAGTCTGGAAACCCTCTTAATCCCAGAATCAGTATGGATGTTAACAGTTGTAACCATAAGAAACTCTCACCTTTGAGCCCAGGTTCTCCTTTGTCTCCTGTTAGGTGAGATATTTGTGAAGGCCCAGGGTTTCCTTTGGCTCCTGGCTCCCCTTTGGCTCCTGTAAGTCCTCTCTGGCCTTTTACTCCTGGGATTCCATGGCTGCCTAGCAAACAGGAGAAAAGGCATCAGACCTAGGCGCATGGTCATTCAGAAGGTAGCAGCGCTCACCCCTAAACAGAGCCAAGCCAACAGACAGACTTAACACAACAGGCTGGGAATTCAGTCAGCCGTTTGCTCATAGAAGCAGCCAGTCAAGGATGGTAGGATCAGGGTCCCAGGGATTCCATTCAAATGTGAAGAAATAATAGTGAAAAATAGCAAAGTTATGTGTATTGTTCTCCCAGATCTATTCCCCCCATCTCAACAAAACAAAATTTATTTTGCTGTATCAGAAACCAAGCTGCTCATGGCTTAGGATCCCTGAAAGACCCCAGGCTCTCCAGCACTCACCCCTGTGCCCCGGAGGGCCTGGGTTCCCAGGAGGCCCCGGAGGGCCCGGAGTTCCAGGGTAGCCCATCATTCCCATCATTCCCTTTTCACCTGGGGAAACACAGGAACACAAAGCAGCACGAGTCAAACTGCCTGACAGGAGGAAGGAAACTGATCATAGAAATGGGTAGCTGAAGCAGTAGGCTTTGCAAATAGAGAAATAACCATGTCTGTGTAGGAAATGGGTTGCCATATGATCTTTCTAAACCCTCATGCATATAGAACTCATTGGTAGCACATCACTTAGATAGATGAGAACAGAAAATGCCATTTTGGAGAATAACATCTTCTCATCCCCTGACCAACCACCTCGTCTTATTTTCTTCATAGCACGTGTCTCTAATTGACTGTAGCTGTTAACGGTACTCACTGCTGTTCCCCTAACATGGCAGCGGAGTTTTGTGTCTGGTGCCTGGCACAGTGTTGGCACATGACACTAACACTGAAATATGAATGGAAAGATAATTTGTCAATCAAATTACTAATCTGGGCTCTTCTCTGGAGGGGCTGTCAGTCAGGTCCTTATTACAGGAGGATATAGGTGGCATGTTCTCCTCAACCATTTAGGCTATAAAAATAGTCATCAAATAAAAAGGAATATAAGCAGCTCTATTGCCACAAATGGATAACACACACAAAATGGGTAGGTTCTGTTAGATAAACACACACATTAGCAAAACTGACTTAAAACTAAGTTTAAAAATCTGTATCAATGTATAGAAAGTAAAAAGTTGGAGTCAATAATTTAAATTCCAATTTAAAAATGCCCAGATCCCACAGACTTCACTGGTTAACACCACCTCATGTTTAAGGAACAGAAATTCTTCCCACATTCTTCCAGAAAATGCCAGAGGAGTGAACAGATTGATCTTCAGGGTCAGCTTTCCTCTGATACCAAATCCGAACAAGCACAATAGGAGTAAACACTGAAGGTTTATGTCTTTCTGGAAATCTTAACGTAACATTTCTCAGCAAAAACACTGCAAGTATGTTAGAGCAGGAGTCTGTAATCAGGATCAGAAGGCCCAAGTAGCCAGGTCCTAGGTAACTGTGGAATGGAGCATCCCAACACCACTGTTTTCCAACGGTCTGGGCCCTGGTCCCTTACACATCATTCAGAATGGAAAAGTTAGACAAACCGAAAGCAAAGCTTAGGGCCAGAGCCTGAGCCTATGCACAGTTGACAAAGACACCCTGATAGCACAATGCGGAGGTGGATGGGAGAAGGCAGTAACAGCACATACAAAGATACCTGGTGGCCCTGAGACTCCTGGAGCCCCTGGATAGCCTTTGTGACCGGGTGGTCCCACTTCACCTCCATGACCTGGCATTCCGGGTGGTCCAGGTTCCCCAGGAAAGCCTGTCCTATCCAGGCCTGGAATCCCGGGATCACCTTTTGGTCCTGTTTCACCTCTTCTGCCTAAAGATGAACAAATGAATGAGAGAATGAATGAATTGCCATATAAGTGCTTTCTCTTATTTCAGAAATATTTTATGCCTTTAAATATTTAGCTAATTTTGGGTACCCCATGCTTACTGATACGCTTGTTTATTTTTTCTGATGTCTTCCTCTATAAGATTTCTCAGGTCTCTTCTAGCTCCGACACTGTCTATTTCTAAGGTTCGTATAGTAATAACAGTATAAGATTCATACCTATTTCCTAATTCAGGGGAGCATTCTAGAACATCTTTTATAGCTGGCTCAGTCTTTAGCCTTTAGGAGGTGAACAGAGCCACCTCTGTGGGGGTGAACTACCAGATGCTCTGGAAACAATAGTAGCACCCCTGTGACAAAGTCTTAGCCAAAACTTTATTTGTGAACAATTAAACAGAATGGCCAGCAACAGACTTGAACAGAATTCCAAAGGTTTTTTTTTTTTCCCCCTACAAATAGTTCACCAGCTCTGATGGGGAGGAGTCAAAAAGAGAATAAATTGCCCATTATCTGGAATATCCAGTCTACATCATTCAGATTCATGGTCATGTCTTTTCTTTAGGTCATTTATAAGGCAATCAACCATGTATTTCAGTTTATAATATGTTAAATTGGTGTCTGCATTCATCTATTATAGTTTAATAAGAATTTACTGTGTTAACATATTATGAAAGTATTAAAGGTAAGATTTTGAGTGTTTATAAGAATACAAACATGTAACTTATCTATATTTAATCAATCTAATCTGTCTAACCAATGTTTAGATTGATGTGTGTGTGTAGAAGATGCAATCCAGCTCGATACATTAATTTCTGCATTCTGCCTTGGAAAGCATCACACACTGCTATCGGGTGCCACAGATCCAAGGCAATGAGGCTTCTATTTATGGAATAACATTTCTCATTGAACAGTGCTCAGCATTAGTGCTGGACAGTTCTCATGGTAAGCCACAATGCACAGAACAGGAATCTGTTAATCAGTCTCAAGGGTCTTCCCCTACCTGGTTGTCCTTGCAGTCCATTTAAGCCCGGAAGGCCCGGGGCTCCCCTTGGACCCTCTATGCACCTTCCTGGTAATCCTGGTTCTCCAGGTGGTCCAGGCTGCCCTGGATCTCCTGCAACAGATAGAATCCCAGTGTAGGTCTAGGTGCCAAAACCCAAGACCCTAGTATCAAGTAGCACGCTCTCAGCATTCTCCTGTAACTCCTTTCCCCATTAAAATTGGACCTGTACTAACCATGATTTTCACAGAGGACACTTATGTAAAAGGAAGCAAAGGGAAGGGAATAGAGAAGAAGGGAAGATAAGGTAGAGGAAGGGAGAGGGGAGGAAGGCAGGCACATTGAACAGGAAAGTTTATATGATAACAATTCCTTACAGCCAGAGCACCTATACACACTCAGTTGGCTGCATTTTAGCCAAGCTCATGGTAGAGAAAGGCAATCACGCTGGTTACTGTACCTCGTGGTCCATCAAACCCTTCTTTTCCAGGAATTCCAGGGACACCTGGAGGTCCAGGGAGTCCGATGTCTCCTCTTTCTCCAGAATAGCCTCTTTCTCCTGGAAAACCTGGCCTCCCTGGATCTCCGGGCATGGCTAGAGCTGGTTCTCCCTATAGCACAGGAATGATGTTAGTTTTCCTCTACAACACTTCCTGATCCTCACTGATCCTGGCACTTCTTAAGGGCTGTTTACTTGTAGAGACACTCAGTCCCTCGTGCAGAGCCAGCACCACTGCAGCAACCCTCCCGTTCAGCCACAGTTGCTGATCTTTGCATGACATGATACTCCACAGTGCTTCGAGATATGTAGCCTCTACCTGTTTGTTTTTCCAGAAGACTGTGGCACTGTCTGTGACCTGTACATCTAGATTTCTTTACTATTGAGAACTTCGTTGTAATTTATTCTCAGTTCTTTATACTCAGTTCTCTTATTTTTAAACACGCTAAATGTTTATGGAGCCATCAAGAAAGAAATAGAGATGCAATGTTGCATGATAGCATCTTCTAGTTTCCTTTTTTTAAAAGGAGGATGGTCCTCTTAACAAGTACCTCCTTTCAAAAATATCTCAAATTATCATCATCTACAAATATATTGCTTATTCTACACTCAGTGACTCCTGCTTGGGAGAGGGGCCTCCCAGCTGGTCTGCTCTGGAGGTTCGCTTCCCTTTGCGAGTTTGTTTTAAATCTTACAGACCTTGGATCCTGGTGGGCCTGGCTTTCCAGGTATCCCTGGCTTCCCCATTTCTCCAGGACACCCTGGGGAGCCTTTTGTTCCTGGGAAACCTTGGTTTCCTGCATAAGAAAAAAAAAATAAATTTTCTAGTTGTCTTACCAAAATTCTTAACAGCTTCTCTCTTCTTTTATTCTAATATTTTTGTGAGGCAATCACTAGAGCTAGTTTTATGAAAACTTGGATGATGAGAAAACCAAGTGCTAAACTAGCACTTGGAAGAATTCAAATCAGATTATATGGGCTTCCGATTAAAGGGAAACTTTCCCCATGTTATTGTTGAGCAGGGCTACACTTCTGACTCAACAGCTTCTTCTAATCACTGATGCTGGTTGACCATTTGACTTTTTAAATAAAACTGTTTTCGTGTAGTGCAAAGCTGAATACATTTTCATGTGCATTTATATTCATCCAAGCCTGCCTCAGATGAAGGTTAAGAGCTTCTTCAGAATCCTGGGTGGCTTTTCTCAACATGGGCTGCTCAGGAGAGTCAAGTCCTTGGATACTATAGCACCCATGGAATGTAACACACGGACTCTCTTTGCATTTGTAAAGGAAAACTGAGAAAGAAGACACATCACATCAGTGTCTTGCAGTTCAGAAAGGGAGGCAAGGCTGCCTCCAGAACCCTTCATGCTCCTCGGCTGAACACTGCGGGATTCACAGCAGGTGTGTGGGATTCCCTGGCTTTCCTTGTGTAGTTGTGAATTTCTGATTTCAGGGAGGCCGTGGGGTGGTACTGGTTCCCATGGCCTACAGTCTTCTTCCAGAGAGTGACCTGCAGAACTACGGAGCCAGGAGGCAATTCCCTCATGCAGAGTTCACAAAGGAGAAAAAAATATGGGCTGGCACTTTCACTGCATAAACCAAATCAGAGACTACATGCAACACCTTCTTGGGACTACACTGGTAGTGTGGTAAGGTTTTTCATTTCAAATCTCCATAAATTCAAGTTAATATGCTGGTATTTGGGCAAAAGTCACCATAATAAATAATGAAGACACATGAAACCAAAAGGTAAAATTCCCCAAATGGGTTATTTTTTGACAAGCATCTGAAATGATTAGAAGAGTTAAAAGAAAACAACTTCTGTACCTCATTTTAATGTTTATGGGCAAATCCTTATAATCCCACACTCAGGAACAGTCACCTTTACCACCCTGCTTGATTTCGTTCCAGTTTCTTCCATGCATTTAAAAGATGTGATCCAGAAGAGACTGCATACATCAGTTAAGTCTGCCTTTACATCTGGCATCATGGTAGGATTTTTGTATCCATTTCAGATATTTAGAAGCTGTCACTTTAAAGATTATTATGGAAGTCTCCTATTTTATTCACTACTCATATTTCTGTCTTGTAAATATTCATAAATATTGTTTGTAAATGTACCTTTAGGTCCAGGAGGCCCAGGAAATCCAATTCCTGGAATTCCTGGTTCACCGTCAGGCCCAGGAAGACCAGGCTCAGCACATTTCCCCTTCAATCCAGGGAGACCTTTGAAACACAAACACATACACACAGGTACACCGTATGCATCAGTGGGCTTCTATTTTTGTCTTTTTAAGATAAGATGTGTTATCTCTGCCATTTTGGAAATTAAGACACAATTCAGTATAGACTCAGTGATATGTCTCTTCCCAGCCCCCAATGCAAAAGATCAATCATTAGAAGCAGCAAAGAATTTTAAAAAGAAAATTTAAATCTTAAATGGCTCCACTCTACAATCTTCTTAAGTAAATTTTATAAGCTCTCCCTTGGAGCTTTTATGTTAGCGTGCCAGTGGGAATAATCCAGATAACATCAAGGACAACAGTGAGCCAGCCCTCTGCCTGCTTGGCTAACATCTGATAACAGCCATCAGATATAGTTTTTCCTTGTAACAGGGACAGTATTTCTCCAGCAGAGTCAGGTGTTACTGGATACCATGCGCAAGGCTTATTTAAAGGGATACTCACCAGGTGGTCCTTGGGAGCCAGCCCGGCCAGGGAGCCCTGGAGGTCCTGGAGGGCCTGGGACTGGTGTTGAAACACTGGGTTCCCCCTTAGGACCTTAAAAGAAGTTGAGATCATAAGATAGCAGTGCATATTGAAGCTAGATTACAATGGATTTATAAACACGTAACCAAAAAAACCCCCAAGAACAAATAGTCTTTGTTTCCGCAGGATTCACAACTAGCTTGAGAATGACCAGGCCACAGCATCTTCCACATTCAATCAACAAATACTTACAGGCATCAATCATTGTTGTCTAAGCCTTGCTTTAAACTGTGAGTCAACATGCTAATCTATGGAAAGACAGCCTTTTTAAAACAAACTATTGATAGTCTGCGATTATTCACAGGACTTTTACATATTGAGTGACCAGTTTTCACAGGAAGGTGTGATGATGTTTGAACCAAGCAGGAAGAGTAGCTTGACAGGCTGATCCATGAACATCGGTCCTGATGTTGCTCAGATTTGTGGGCTTGGGCACATTTCCTAACCTTAGTTCTTTATGTGTCATCAGGGAAACTGGGCCTCTCTGGAAACTGAAGATTCAAAATAATGTCAGGCCAACATTAGCAAAGTGTTTGTGATTAGGGTTATCCATATATGCATATATTTATAGAAAAAATAGGTTTATGGTTATGAGAAAATTGATAAAATAGTCTACAACAATGAACTTGTTCACTAAAAGGTCACATTTAGAAAGACTAGAAGAAACCTTGATAATGGATTAGATTCATTTAACTATATCATGGGAAATAAAAATAATAAAAAAAAAGCAGAAAATGAAAAGAATGGAGTCAAAGTTTTCTGTAAAGAGCCAGGTATAAATAATCTAGACTTTGCTGTTTGAATCTTTGTTGTGACTGTGCAACTCTGCCACTGTTGCATAAGAGTAGCCAGAGAAAATGCCTAAATGAAGAGTGACTGTCTTTTCCAAAACTTGTATTTATGCAATTTGCATTTCATGTACTTATTTTACGTATTGCAAAGATTAGGACAAGAATGTTCATTTAAAAATGCAAGTGCTATTCCTAGATTGGGTCCATAGGAGAGTAAGTGATGAGTCATATTTAGATTGCAGGTCACCGTGGGTTGAATATGAAAGTTTATTTGAGTCCCTTGTCCTTCAGCTAGCTGTGACTAATTCCAGAATTAGAATATCAGTATCATAAGTAAGGTGGAGACAAAACTAAAGAAATAAAAGTAAGTATGATATGTGGCATAGATAACATAAAACAAAGGTGTAGGTGCTATGGATATGTTTACTGCAAGGGCTTTATACTTAGACACCACAGACGTAGTGTACTTTTCCCTTTAAGTTAATTTAGAAGTAAAATATGGCCCTGGTAGCACTATTTGTTTAAAACTGTCACTGAATGCTAGTCTAATCTTCCACCACATTCTTAGCCACAAGTAAACATGGAGGAACTAACTTCTGAATCCAGAACTACAGTCAGTACCTGTGGATCCCAGAAGTTACGCAGGCTGTAAGATGATTACCACATGTTTTTCCAGTTGTCCTAGGTAGTTCAAGGTTTAATTTTGGCCTGCCTTTTCAGGCTCAAAAAGGACAAATTGGCAACAATGTTAAAGTGGGCACTTGAGTCCTGGAAAGACTCCTTAAAATAAGTTTTATGGATTTGTATTCCCTTTTTGTCTCTTGGCACTGACTTCCATCCACCTTTTGGGATCTTTTCATTCTACATTTACTTTTATCATATTCATACTGATGTTTATATAAGTAATGGTCATATACTTTTCTAGGAAACTTCAGCTGAATTCCCGCCAAAAAAGGAAAACAATAGCTTTCCCCCCCAATATATGCTAGGTTCTATTCCTGGGTAATCTGTGCATTGGCACAGGCCAGTTCTTTGAAGCAGTTTCCATGTGTTCATTACCCTTGGAGGTGCTTCCTTATCTCTTCCAGCCACCACCCCACTCCATAAGAAAACAGGACTGGAAAGAAAACTAACCAACCGGCTTCTCCAGGTGGTCCAGGGGCTCCAGGAACGCCTTGGGAGCCCTTGGGACCAGGCTCTCCCTGAAGTCCGTAGCCAGGTGGTCCAGCTGGTCCTGCAGGTCCTGGGGGTCCAGGGAAGCCAGGATCCCCTGGAGGACCCTGGTCCCCCTTCTCTCCACTTAGGGCCTGTGGCAATAGGAACATGTTGGGATGGTGCTTCACTCTCATAGCAGGTTTATCTTAACTTGTGTATGGGCAGCAGGCTATCTTTGAGTAGAGTTTTGAATCCAAAAAAAAAAAAACAAAGTCTCATTTGATGCGCAACATTATTGTTGCTTTGTGCCCTTTGGATCTGAGCAACATTTCATTAACTTTCAACTGTATGGAGTTGCATTTGAGATGCCCCGTTATCATAGTAATCAGTAAGACTAAATTCAAATGGCTTGAGAGGTGACGTGCTGCTGTACATTGCTAAAATCAGCACATTCCACCTTTACTTGCATAGTTTTCGACAGATATTTTCATTACAAAAGAGATATTTCACCTATATTCATTCGATTCTCACAAAATACCTACTCAATTAAATTTTTCTTCCACTATGACATTGAAAGTGAGTTGTATATTTTAAAGGATGAGCTGGCAAAACAACTGAAGCTCATTGCCTATCGAGTAGGAGTCCACAAAATAAATTCAACTGGGGTTTTCATTGTTCAGTATCGTCAAGCGACTAAGTGATCTCTCTTTAAAGTAATGGCAAGGCATGATACTCAGCAAATCACCTGTCTGATTGCCATCCCTCACTCTTCAGGAAATTCTTTATCAAGATGAGAAAAACTAGTGAGATTCAAATCAGTGCACATCTAATCCCATCTGATCAACAGAATTCTAGTGAAGATCATTTGTGAGCATAAATAACACCAAGTGCGTAGACTGGAACTTCACCCAAGACGCCCCTGCCAGTCAACAGCTAGAGTGTACTCCAAGAGCTCAGGAGAGTGTCACGGCTCTCATTCTGGTATTGATATTCCTGTGTCCATATCCGTACATGAGTCTTTGGATTCGATTACCAAGTTTGCCCAAACTCATTGAGGTGGGCTTTTTTTTTTTTTAACTGGGTAACATTGATGAACCTGAGGAAAAATGGTGTTTCATGGAATGATCTAGGCAGTCTGGCCTGCAGACTTCTCACAGACACATCCTTGCTTGTCTACCCTACTTAAGTCTCTTGTCATTTTATGCATTTATTTTTACTTAAAAGAGTGACCACCACCCCGAACGACTTACTCAAGCCGTACAACTATTAGTCATTTTCTGAACCTCTCTAAAAATTCAGCTGATGCAGATATAGAACAGGATCATTATCAATACAGAATTCTTATAGAGCTAGATCACCAAATGCTACCTGTTTTTTCAGTACATTTTTCTTGAGTTATTATCACTGACTGATGAGCCGGGGTAAGTGACCACTGATTTTCCTTGTTATTTCTTCAGAGCACAGCAGCCACAAAGAGGGCAATTAGAAAACATTGTTAAATACCCACCGGGTCACCTCTAGGTCCTGGTAGTCCTTTCAGTCCTGGAGTTCCAGGAATCCCAGCCAAGCCCTTTCTCCCTGGTGGCCCTCTGAGCCCGGGGTCTCCTGGGGCACCAGCTTGCCCCTGGGGCTCAGGTGTTTCACCCTTTCCTCCTTCATGTCCTGGATCACCCCGTGCACCTGGGAACCCCTAGAAAGGAAGAGAATTGAGTTTGCGTAGTATTTGGATCAATTTTAATGAACAAGGATTTTAAAAACAATTTTTTTTTACCCCACAAATGTCATTTCCAACTGTTTGCTTATTTGTTTGCTTTTACTTCCAAAACAAGTAAGAATATAATTAACACAAGTAAACAATATAATTAAATACATATGCTAATACATAAAATTAAATACATATGCTATATGTGATCCAATATGGTCTAATAAAAATACAGATTGTGTTTGAATACAGATTGGTAATTTTTAGCAGGCATCTCTGAATAATTTAATTTAAATATATCCAAATTTATTTTCTGATTCCCTATAATAATCATGAAATTTTTAATTTTTAACAGCCTTGTTTAAACATAATTTACAAACCATAGAGCGTATCCTTTGACAGGATACAATTCAAGGATTTTTAGTGAATCTGTGGACTTATGTCACAACCATCACCACCATCAATGGTAAACACTCCCATCACAATCCCCAAACCGCTTGTAGTTAGCCCCTCCCAGCCCCAGCCCTACGCAACCACCGACCTGCTTTTGTGTCTGACAGCATTTCCAATGATGTATAAGCTCCTTTATCCACTCACACACCTTTGTTTATTCACTGAATGTTTATTCACCAAGTGTGATGACCTGCGTGTTTCAGAGAGCTCAGTGTTCCAACTGTAAGCTAAAACTTCAAAACCATGGAAACTTACTGGAAATCCTGGAGGGCCTGTCCTTCCCGGGGACCCTGGGCTTCCTTTCAGGCCAGCTGCACCTTGTCCTCCTGCAAGGCAATGTAGGATTAGCACCTGCGAGTAGCCAGAAGAAAGTAGTGAATGCAGAAAATCCAGTGTTTTCTTAGGAAAGGAAGATAGTTTCTGTAATAAGACACTTAATGCAGTGGACAGAGGGAGTAAATAAGTTGAGCGAAATATTAAAAACAACAACGCTCAGATCTTAGCTTCCTAGAATTCTCATCTTTGTGACTGCAAGGAATCTCTTCTTTTTTTCCTAACTCATGCTTATTGTCAAATAAATTTACATGCAAGAATAAAAATCAGCCCTTGTTCTACAAGCAGCAAGTGCAAGCTCTGCTACACACTGGATGGGTGGCACTTGGGTGGGCTTATGGTAGCTGGGGGAGTGCCACAAGGGGCATTTATAAGTGGAATCTTTCTGTGCCTCGAGCATCCCTGTTCGGTTCTGCAAGGAGCGGGTAGAAAAGCAGAGGGGCGACAGTTGGGAGTAACAGTGTTGGGGTGTGCAGACATGGCCTGTCATAGAGGTGGCCAAGAGAAAATTGTGTGTTCTTGCATCATTTAGTCCCCAGAATATTGGCTTTTGAGGGGTAGGCACTGTGGCACAGTGAGTTAAGCTGGTGTTTGGGAAGCCCATATCCCGTTTGGAAGTGCCTGGGTCCAGTCTTGTCTGCCCTGCGCATCTACTCTGGCATTCCTGCTAATGCACACCCTTGGAGAGTGGTGTAAGCGTCTAGGTTATGACCACTCAAATGGGAGGGCCAGATGGTGTTTCTGGCTCCTGGTTTCAGCCTAGCCCAACCCTGGCTGTTACAGGGTTTTGGGGATGAAATAGCAGGTGGAAGGTCTCTCCTTCTGTGTCTCTGCCACTCTCCATTACCATGTTTTTCAAATTAATTACTTACTTTAAAAAAAAAAAAGTTGTTTCATGCACCTGTTGAAAGACTGGAGAGAACAATGGGGGTGGGGGAAGGGAAACCCCAATAGCTGTTAAACTGTGTCATAAAATTAAGAATTTTAAAAAACGTTCTCTTATGAAAATTGTTTTCCTCCAAAAACTGATTTACTGGCTGTTTTTTTTTATTTATTAAATCATGACATTTCAGATAAACATCTGGATTTCTTACGAGAGATTGAAGCATTTATTAACTCAGTGGTAAAAAATGGTACAAAGAACAGCCTTGAAACAAGCCAATTTGGATACAAACTTCAGTTTATCACAATCCTCACTAACTTTCAATACTCTGTTATAATAGTTTTGTCATCAATTGTTATTACTCTCTTATGGTAACTTATAAATCCAGCCCGTACAATCTCTTATTGTAACCAATAAACCCAACTTCTCTTTATTTACATATATTTAGGGTTTGGAACTATTGCTAGTTCAGTCACTCACTGGGAGTCTTGGAACATGGCACCTTGTGGAGGAGGATAGGGGCCTCCAGGCTACACATGCCCATGACTCTGCAATAGGGATAACATGAAATAAAGAGAAAGAAGGATCTTATCTTTCACAAGCAAATGGGAAAGAGCCTCGTTCTCTATGGAAAACAAAATGACGTGTCTTTAGTGCACCTGCTTCACTCCTGAAAAATTATCTGTGGCTCCCCTTGTTTACACGGATTTGCATTAATGATTTCTGAAACTAAAATGGAACAGAGAAAAATGTAGCAGTTTTTATGTGATTTGGGTCAACTTTATGTTAACAAAGTATATGCTATATATGTAGCATATGAAATTATCCCTGCAGATTCATGGAAACCTCATGATGATTCAGCAGGCCAGTACCTTCTTTTCAGTGTTTCTCAGGGCATTGACCCTGCTGCACTTGCAATAAAAAGCAGTTGAATGCCAGTTGTCTGTACCTGGGATTCCTTTGACACCATCTAACCCGGGCAGTCCTGGGAGGCCGGGGGCCCCTGGGGTGTACATGCACTCTGTGCAGAGGAAACCTGGTTCTCCTGCAAGAAGAGAGAGCCACGTTACTCAGAAAGCCACGGCAAGGCCACTGGGAGGTGCCCGGCACATCTGATGACAGAGGCAGTCATTACACGTAAACTTTCTAGGTAGTGAAAACCACTCAGGGTGTTGTATCTATTAATAAAACCACCCCACCTGCTATATCTACTCATTTTATTGCTCTGAAATGTGTGCTTCTGCAGAGTGGGAATTCCAAGAACCTAATATCAAACACCTGTGATTTCAGAGATCCTCTGCTTACAAGCAGGATAAAGCTCTCAAAACAGAGACATACAGTAATTTATTGTGTGGGAGCTGAATAAATCTCTGATTTACAGACAAATAAATACTTTTTAGCTGCTTTTCTTTTTGTTTTTGGAAAGTAGCCTGCCTGGCTGCTGTTTGGGATCGTTTCCCTGGCGGAAACACCGGGCACCACATTGACAATGCTGAGGTGACTGAACCAACCTTTGGGGCCATCAGTTCCTGGAATTCCTGGGAACCCTAAACGCCCTGGCAGCCCACGATCACCAGGAGGACCCATGCGGAAAATGATATCACCTATAAAAAGACAGCACAAAAGATATTGTTTCATGATTCCTTCCTGTTCTGCCTTGCTGCCCCAATAGGCAGGTGTCTTAAGAAATATGTTGTTTAATATGCCTTCCTTCTATCTTGACATTGAAAGCCCATATGCTTGAGCCCCTGTCACCCATGTGGGAAGCCCAGATGGAGTTCTGGGCTCCTGGCTTGGGCCTGGTTTAGCCCCAGTTATCACAGCTGCTTAGGAAGTAAGTCAGGAGATGAAAGATTGATCTCTCTCCCTCCTGTCTGTCCTCCCTGAAACTGTCTTTCATTTAAATAAATAAACCTTTAGAAAAAGTGACACAGTCCCTGATCTGTTCAAGAGGCTCTATTGTATCAGTGAGCCGACAAACAATGCTGAGGGACTCCGCAGGGGGGACAGGAAGGACAGCATGAAGGGTGTCCATCAGATCCCACAGCTCTGCTATCCCTGACCCAGAGAACTAATAGGCAGGAATCCAGGCCCCTCACACCTCTGGCCTCTTACTCTGAGGCTTCCATGCTGACACCAAGTCTTGGGATGTTCTGGGAATCCAGAGTCTCAGTCAGGACTGCATGTGTGTGTGTTGGTGGTGTGGTGGGAATTTAATCCTGCCCAGTGGACCAAATCTTTGACCCATGGGAAGCAGCAATTAGTGGACAAATTAGTGGACAAATCTTTGCCTGCTCCACTTGGCAGTCTCCCGGAGCTCAACAGTTACACTTGACTGATGTCAGCCTGGTAACTACCTCCTCTTCTCTGCTTTCCTCCTTTTGTGCTAGGTCTCACCCGCTCTCTGGGAATCACACAGCCTGAGGGCCACATTGTGAGTAATGGTTATTGCCTCTGATTTGTGTACATGTGTCACTCGGCCATGTATACCCCAGAGGCCCTCTTAGTTGTCTTTACCTGGTGGTCCTGGAGGTCCTGGTGCCCCTGCAGGGCCTGGTGACCCAGGACAGCCTGGGACCCCAGGAGGCCCCAGTGCATCCTTCCCTGGGGGTCCTGGTTCCCCTTTACTTCCCTGCAAGCCAGGCCATCCGGGAGCTCCTCTGAGGCCAGGCCTTGATGGTCCTTGGGAGGGAAAAATAACAATTTACTGGGTTTTTAACAGTATTTTGCAGATAATTACGTGTTTATCTTTCAACTACAACAAGAGAAAAAAAGATAAATTGCTAACGTTGAAGAATTGAGAGGTTTGCGAAACAATAAGTGAATCTGTGACTTGGTGAGCAGTCACAGCCCAGCACAGCACAGGGATCTCCATCCCCGCAGGATAACTGACAGAACTGATTACAAGTTTGCAAGGACGCTTGAGAATTCTCCCATATGTGCTCCTTTTTGGAAATATATTTTAAATTAGAGACTAGAGAATGTCTACCTTTCAGAGGCCCAAGTAAGAAAGTTGTAATTAGACTTGCTTCCTGTTGCTAATGTTGGCTATATAAGGGCATGTAGGGGAGGCAGGTACCTCCTGGGAAAGAAACTGTGCCAGGGGTACAGAGCCTCATCCTCAAATGAGGACCATGGGAGAAGGGGTGTGATCTTTGATCCTCCTAGCCAGTTGAGCTGCAGGGGTAATCCCTGATCATTTATTGTTATTATTTGCCAAGGCAAATCTTTCTGATGTGTGTGATTTTCTACTGATTGGCATGATGACTTAGGGGCCTTGCAATGAGAAGGAAGTTTTCCCTAACCTAAAAAGTTGCTTTTTGCCTCATTCTAACTTTCAGAGATACCCACTATAGTGGTCAATAGTTTAATTTCTGTTCCTCCTTGCAGGTATAAAGATACTTCAATAAGTTTTGTGGGAAAAATGGAGTTGTAAGATAAGCTTGTTTGGTACAAAAAAAAATCTTGAAATTTACGTATAGTTTCTTTGTAATTCAAAATTTCCCATGAACTTCTTGCAGGTCCTTTCTTTATAGAAGCACAAATAGGACTTAAATGTTTATGGGTCTACTTTTCACAGTTGGATTATAGCAAACATATAGTTCCATTGTCTAGAGAATACATAATATCGCATAGTCCATGGTGTGGAACAGCATCCATGCAGGTTTATCAAATGTTTGCTTATTTTTGTTGGCTCCATTTACTTGAAACAGGAAGGCAATACAGTTACAACTGTTGGACTGCTGTGGCTCCAACCCCGACTCTTCTTTCTGCCCCAAAAGGTGAACATGGCAAGAATTAACGGACTAAAATTTGAAGCTTTAGAGAATAAGTCTGAGCTAGGTGTCCCTGTGCAATCTGTGAAATGATGCTCTTCAGCCAATCTCATTATCAAAGCCTTGTTGCTCTCTTGTGCCGTCTTTGACACACAGCTCTGCTCATACTCCAGGGTATTAATAGAGACTCCCTGACACTTAGCTAAAAACACAGAAATAAAAAAGAGCAGTGCATCTGCTTCTACTTCCTTTTCTACCACAGATTACAAAGAGAGCAATGAAGACAACAGAAAATCAGTGAAACATGTGTCCATATAAATAGTGTAATATTGATACAGAGTGGCACATCTTCCTTTTAAAATAGCACTTCTGTTTGTGCCCCCAAGAACCATGGACATACCAGCGATGCCAGGAGCTCCAGGAGGACCAGTCAGACCTGAAAACACATAACATTAATCTATGACAAAATTGTAAATCATCCCCTCTTCACTTTCGAAACCTTGGGTGGCAATGCAATGACACAATTTCAACTTTTACAGAAATATTAAACACATAGAGAATCTGTAGAATCCCAACTTAGAAAATCCCAACATTGAATCCCAACTTAGAATCCCAACACTGAAAAGGAGACAACGCCATCTGACTATTTTCACTGAATTTTGACAAAGGTTCTGTGAGAGCCTGCTCCAAGTTTGGCTCCTGGCTGTGAGTTCAGGTGCCAGAAAATTGGCCACTGCTAGAATCATGACAGATTGATAGTTTGGCTTCCAGTCCATTTTGGATCACTTCTAAAAATAAAGGGTCAGCAAAAGTTCAACAGGAAATTTGCTCTTACCTTGTGGGCCACGAGCTCCTTTGGGCCCCGGTGGTCCTGGAATTCCTTCATCTCCCTTTTGCTGGTATGCATCATAATATTCTGTCTTAAAGAAAATAAAATGGATCAAGAGAAAAAAGTAGCTGTTTATGATGGTCTCAGTTGCTTCTTTATGGCCCAAAAGATGTTTTCCTGAATTTATGGATGTGTGTGCTAGTAGGAATGTAGCAGTCACCTCTGTGCAGATAGATAAATTTGAAGCTGAAGTTCATCTGTAGTATTACAATGTTAAGTTCTGAGTATGGTTTGAGTTTGACTCCAAGGGTTCTTACATTAAGAACTTGACTCTCATGGTGGTAATGTTAAGAGGAGTTGGGGCTTTGGAGAAGTGGGGCCTGGCAGCAGGTCCTCAGCTCTGGTAGATTGTGGATCCAGTTGCTGTGGATCCTTGCCTTGCTAACCTTCCTCTGACAGGTGCATGTGCGCTAGGCACTCACCAAAGATCAAACCAAATGAGGCGGGTGCATCTCCCACTTGCAGCTTCCAAAAGTGTGGGCTAACCCAAAGTCTGCCTTGGGCAGTTCACTGTAATGGCGAAGAACAGACTAGAGATACATGGTAGCATGGAAGATATAACAGGACTCAGCTCTCACACCCAGGCATGCATACATATCCGTTGATATGTACCAACGTACAGAGACTTAAATCTCACAAAGTACTGAATTATCATTATGATGTCAGGTCAATGCTGGTGTTTTTAATTCTATCACACTTTTAGTCCTGATGGACTAAATTTATTTCAAAGTAAATGGAGACCCACACCAAAAAAAAAAATCATATGCATTTCTTTCTGATGCGTAAAAGGACACTACTATAAGAATCGAAGCATGTTCTTTCTTTTTTCTTTTCCTTTCTTTCTTTCTTTTTCTTTCTTTCTTTTTTTTTTTTTTTTTTTTTTTTTTGTAAAGAGAGAAAGATCTTTTGTCTGCTGATTCATTCTCCAGGTAGCTGCAATGGCAAGAGCTGAGCCTATCCAAAGCCAGTAGCCAAAAGCTTCTTCTAGGTCTCCCACGTGGGTGCAGGGTCCCAAGGCTTTGGGCCATTCCTGACTGCTTTCCCAGGCCACAAGCAAGGAGCTGGATGGGAAATGGAGCCGCTGGGACATGAACCTGCGCCCATATGGGATCCTGGCATGTGCAGGGCGAGGACTTACTAGGCTACCATGCCGGGCCCAAGCACGTTGTTTCTGACATGCTTAGTGGACCCACTGTTGGCATCCTCAACCATTTACTTCTGAAGCAGAATTTCTTTTAAACTTAGTAGAAGCTGCAGTTAGTTGGGAAGAGCATCAGAAAATAGACAGCTGGAAATCCTACTTCTCTCCCATGTGCAATGGGCAAGTAGGTTTCACTTAGAATTCACTGCATTTACCTTAAAGGAAAGAAGACAGAAATTGAAGTTTTTTAAACCCTGTATTGATTTTTTCAAAGGTGTCATGGACCAATTATTTTGTTAACTTATGCAAAGCTGAGGTAGCAAGAAGTTTTATAGAACCAAAATATATGAAGAACAAAAGTATTATCAGTAATAACCCAAAGACAATAATTCCCACCATGAAATCCACAATGACAAGTGTACTCCTGCTTGCTGTTGGCTATGGTGTAATGTGCTCTCACAAAACTGCCATCTTATCTGCTTAACGGCTCCATAAACATGTTGGGCATGACTTAGATCTATGTCATTTTCTCCTGGCTCAAAAAGGTAGACCTGGGGACTTAACCTCAGCTATTGAGATAAAGTGCTTAGCCTGGGGGGATGTATGCAAACTACATTTTAACAGGAGCTCTTTCCCACCAACTCTACATCACTTTCACCAACCTGGATCACTTTCTTCCAACCTATACAGTCACTCTCCTGCTCAGCCCATGGAATGTGGGAACCGCTGTCTTGTGAGGTGGGGCATCAACAGATACTGCGGATGGATGCCTGGGCCCCTTTCTCAGGAGGTGAAGTGTGGCTGCTCTGTGCCCAAGAGCTAACAGTTACCAGACTCATCCTGCTCTCAGGAGGTGGTCAGTGTCTGCACCGTGGAGCTAGTACTGGTTTCCTTGTGGCCCTTGGAGTTAAATACGTGGCTGAGCCTCTGCTGCTTCAAGATGCAGGAGTTGTACTAACTGGGCCCAGCTGTGGCGGGGAGGAGCGCCCCAGCTCCAAGGACCCTGGCTGTCTTTGCAGCAACCCTTAGGCTGCATCTGAGGACACAGGAGCATCTTGGGCCAGGTCTGTTTATATCACACACTCTCTTCTACATAGCTAAAGAGGGACATGATTGGCACATGACGGGACCCAAGCAGGGTCAACCAGAAATGTTTATCTGTTGCCAAAAGGACAAACACTCATGACAGCTAATTTTTTGTCTTCATTAAAAAAAAAAAAAGTGAAAGCTAGCATCAACTCTAATGAAGTCATTAATGAGAAACAAGATTCCTTCAAATACTTTAACAGATTAAATGAAATATGACCTTGGTAACATTTTTTCATTATACTTACTGGGCCACGAAATCCTGGAGGGCCAATGTCTCCTTTCCATCCCTAATTTTAAAGATAATTATACATTATCAACATGTTAACCAAGAGTATTTATCTTTTTGGCATTATTAAAAAGAAAAACAGAATAAATTAACACTAAAAGCAATGCTATTTAGATGTCCTGTGAAGGTTAAATTAGAGTTAAAGGGACTGATGTATATTATTTTTTTCCAGAGGGCCTATGGATCAGAAACCTTGTCTACAAGGTCATAATGTTTTATTCCACACCAGCACCCTCAGGGGACGGACATGGCTATTGAGCCTTGCAAATTCTCACCGCCTTCTTTCAAGAGAACATTTTAGATTCTTCTGGAAGTGACATTGATTCAGGATCAATACTGCACATGCAAGCTATATGGAAATTGTTCTCCGTTGTCAGAAGCAAATGACAAGGAATGCTTAGGTTTGCTCTCACAGCATCAGGAGTCTCTTACAACCATAGGCTTTTTTCCAGTCCTTTCCTCATGCACAGAAAGGTAAAGCCCACAGAACAAATTTACTACCTCTCTCCGAAGGCCACTTTTCAAACGTTAGGTAAAATTCGCATCCCTCTCTCTTTTCTTATGAAATACACTAATGTATTTAACAATGCCAGTGCTTGAAATTCATTGTTCTGGGTCTGGACTGTAGGGGAAAAGATGGCTACTCAAGGCCTAACCAATAGAAAAGGGCTGAAAGCAGGGTCTAAGGGAGGGAGTTACCTTGATGCCAGCTTCTCCTATTAGCCCAGGGAGGCCCCTGTTGCCCTTGGGTCCCTGAAGAAAAGATAAAGAGGAACAGATAAGATGACTCAGGAAGCAGGGGGCGGTTAGAACTCCTAGGTGTTTTTGGTTGTTGTTTGCTTGCTTTTCTAAAGAATGTGCTCAGCTGATTTGTTCATAGTAAAGGTATAAAATGACAACTCTTCAATTGTAGCTTCAAAAGCCATGAGCTATTTGTCAGTCTGCAAATGCTTAGTATCTCGAGAATCCTCTTCATCTAATAGGATTGCCATTTCCACTGCAGCAATGAGCCGGCTCGTGTCTTTACCTCAGTGCCAGGGAAGCCAGGGGCACCGTCCTTTCCAGGTTTTCCCTAAACAAAACCAGGCAATATAATAAATATGGGTACTTTGAACACACACAGAACATTTAAAAGTATTTATCATCTTGAATTACCTGCGAGCCCGGCTCTCCGGGAGCACCCTTTTCAGATCTGGTGGATTCTCCAGGGGGTCCCTGTAGAAGTTAAGGTTATGTCAGCATTCACAAATTATCGATTTTTCTTGGGTTACATTTTTATTAATGTGTCCCTTCTGATTACTGTGCCTTATTAAAAATTCACAAAGAATGAGTCATCACAAAGGGAAATCTTATTTATGAGTATTAATTAAGAACAGAGGCTACAAAAGCAGAGTGTGAAGATGTCAAATGTCAACGAGAAACGGGCATAGAAACACTCCTCGTCTAGTCGTGAACTCTGCAGCCAAATGTGCTTTGGCTCAGCGTGGTATTTAAAGGCAGAACACTCGGGAACGTAAGTACTCAGGTTCTGCTTCATGCATCCCTGGGACAATGCCACTGCAGATGACCTACCGAGGGTCCCGGAAGTCCAGCTGCGCCCACGGCTCCCTTGTCCCCCTTCTCACCCTTGAGGTCCTGCCACAAACACAATTGAAGGTCATGCAAATGTATCAAGCAGTGTACCACTGGAGAAGTTCTCCATGTGTTCAGCAAAGTGGATTATAAACTGATGTGGCTCATGATAACAAAACTCAATGAAACTTCCTGTTACATTTCCAGTATTATACCTGTGAGCCCACTGAAAATATGCACACATTGTTTCATGATTTGTTGAGTCTTGTAAAAATTTTATTAATACGCAAAGAACAGATGTCATGCATTCCATTATGTACACCTTTTTTAAAAAAAGCATTTTCTGTATCGTGTTTAATTCCTGAATCAGTTCTGAGTACAGATCGTTTTGAATGTGTTTTACTTCATTTTGAATACACTAACGTTATTTTCATTAGGATCAGCACTTTCCTGTGTAACATTTATAATGAGTATCTGATTAGTTAATTAGATTTGTTGGCTCCCTTATTATACTTTAGTGATTAAATTTTCTCCAGTGAGAGTCTTCTATTGTGGCCATCATTTTTTTCAAACTCAAATATTTGCCCTGGGTCATATCTTCCAGATCTAGATTTTTTTCAATAAAACTTTTTTCCTATCATTTTTCTGACTATGAATATTTGGGCTTATCCATTTCATTTTTGTTTCCATTAAGTCAGTTTTCCTGCAACACCAAATGAGTGAGTTCTGTGGCTTGTGTGATAGAATTCAATAGAGCTGTAAACTATACCATAAATCTAGGAACTGTTTATTTTATTTAAATGAATATATTCCATGATACATGAATTATATCTCAATCAAATTATTTCAAGTTGTTAATAAATTTAAAAGAGAAGGATGTTTTCTTATTTCTGAGTTTATCAAGAAGAAAATTGTCATCTACCCCTTATTTCTTCATCCCAGCTCTCCGACATCCGCGATCACTTTAGCACATGGGATTAAATATTATATTGTGGATTCACTTCTTTTACATTATCAACTCAGCTACACGCTAGGGTTTTTATCCAATTCACAGTGAAAGTAAAAAGCACAATATTAGTGTCGCAGGGACATGGTCACAGTGATATCTGTTGAGGAGCAGGGCAACCGTGTCCTTGTGTTACAATGGTAGAAATACCCCCTGTGGTAATGACGTCACTCCAGCCTGTCTCTGTCTCTAGGCCATTGCTACACAGCTGGACAGAGCCACACACCATTCTGTTACATCATTCATTCAAATGAATACCCACTTGTATTAGGGGAGTGTGGAGTAGGCTGCAATGTGAATAAAATCAGACTTGGGGTTCACCTTCAGGAATCTTTAAAGCAATTTGCTTCTTGACCTCTTCCAGGTTTAGGAATCAAGGATACAGAAAGAATAAAACTTAGCTGGTTGGACTTGCTGGTGGAACTGAACTGTGTTGGACATAGATGAGAGAACTTGCACGACAGACAAAAGGCAACAGAAGGACTTCATCCTGGAAGTGGGAAGGCATGTCCCTATCAGAAACTGTGGAGTTACCGTTCTGTTGTCCACGCCCGTCAGTGTCACAATAACTGTTCCTGGTGGTCCAGGGGGTCCTGTTAATCCTTTCACACCCTGAGGACAAACACATCCAGCAATGTGAGAGTGAACAACATCCTCAATATTTCAAGTTCACCATGTTGGAAATGTCTGCTCTCCTTTTCTGGTTCTTACATGGAGCATACAACGAATGAAAACCCATTCATCTCACCTTGGCAGGTGTGGCTGATACAATATGGAAATTTTTAAAACATATGATTTTTTTCTAGGCTAATAGACCATGGTATTTAAATTACCTGATCTCCCTTTTGTCCTATTACATTATCGCCCATGTGACCCTATAAGAAGAAAAAAAGAAATCATTAAAAATATCCTAAACATTAAAATTCCAGCATTTGTAGCTGTCTCCCACTTGGATGGCAGGGGCGTAAGAATTGGGCCATTTTCTGTTGCTTTACCCAAACCATTATCAGGGAGCTAGATAGGAAGTGGAATAGCTGGTACTTCAGCTGGCACCCATACGGCTACACCACAACACTATCCACTACTGACTTTTTTTTTTTCTTTTTAACAGATACAGTTAATACATCCAGTTTAATGAGTGCCCAAGCAGTCCTCTTGGAGGGAGATTGTGCGAAGTAACCTCCTATCAGAAAACTGTTAAGCCTGAAGTACTGGATGACTGGTTAAGACTATTCTTACACTAAAAAGTTTGCTTCCCAACCTCCTCCCCCCTAATTAGAATTTCCCTTTAGTTGAATTAAGTTTTTGTATCAGAGATCAAGTCAATAAACTACAGAACAGGAAGAAGTAAGAGCTGCTGGCCAAACTCCTTCCTGGCTGGAGAGCCTTGCCAAGGACCCCCGTGGAGGATAGGGCCAGGGTCCTTAGGGTGTTCAGATGGATACAGCCACATGTAAACTGGACCCTACCCTACCTTAGGCCCTGCAGGTCCCATGGCACCTGGAAAACCCTGGGGAAAAAAACACACATAAATTAAAATGACCACAGGAAACACACCCAGCAGGAAATAGTTTTTAAAATACTTTTTGTTATAATTAATTAGTTAACAGTCTACAGCCACGGTGACTTCATTTATACTTACCAAGAATCCCGGATGGCCAGGTAGACCAACAGGCCCAGGAAAACCTGCAGGCCCTGGAAAACCCTTAAAATCAAGAGAGAGAGAGTAAAAAAAAGAATCGGCTTAAATTTACTCATCTATGAAGAATGAAATGCTTTAATAAAATCAGAAAGAGATATCACCTCCTTTCCAAGACACTACAATCAATGACAGTGCCGAAACACACACCAGGGAGAGAGAACGGCTGTTGCACACTCAGTGCCCAACGCGCACTGCTGAGCTGCTCGGCTGCCAGAGCCATCCTGATGACGCAGTTACAGGTGTTTTCCTCCAGAAGTTTACCTCTCTGCTGCTTGCCTTCTCTTCCTGTTGTTGCCCTCTACCCCGCTCTGACTTTGGACATGTGTGCTCTCACGTAGGGCCCTCTCCTTGTCCTTTCTATGTTTAGAATCCTCTTCCCCCAAAATACCTACATAACTCACCCCCTCTTTCTTGACTGTCTTTATAAAATTGTCATCCTACCATGGACCTTTGTCTTCTCAGAACTGTAAGCCCCCTGCACACTGCCCGTTCCTGTTCTCTGCATTGTTTTATCTCCTCAGCACTTGTTCCTATGAATATTCCTTCGAGTTACTAATCTGGCATATAATCAATATTCTTTGTATAAATAAGTGTAGGTTATTTTATATTCGGCAGTATCACAATGACTACTACACACAAGACAATAAATAAATAGATCTAAAGATCCCAGGCTACTACTGTCCTCTTACATTCCCTGCCTTTGGTATCTGGATCCTTAGGTGTCTTTCAGGCAGAATATCAAGGGATCCTTCTCTCTGCATCTTTTCTCGGAAGCCTGTGATGTCTCCTACTTGCATGTGTCTGCAGTTTTCAGTCTTACCCAGCTTCATCACTCACCCTGCGTTAACGGGGTTCACAGTGTGCAACTCAGCATCCTCAACTCAAACTCCTGCCCAGTAAATATCCAACTTCTATCTAGGACTCAGCACTCCTGTCTCCAAACTAAGTGCAGGATTTCCTGATTAACGAATCTGAATCCTTGTGGATTCAGAGGATTGTTTTGAATTACAAAATGACGCACACACTTGCCCCAAGGTAGCTGAATTTCTTTGTATTCTTTCTGGGTAAGCCTCGTGAGGTATACATAGAGACCAGCGACGTCAACTATTCAAAAGGAAAAAGTTGTGTTTTAATAAAACGCCTCTCAGTGCTGTCACCCAAACTTTAAAATAAGGCTGTGATTTAACATCACACTTTTCAATGACGTTCAGTGCTTGATACAAACTGATGCTCAATTTTAACAAATTAAAGACTCCCTTTTTAGGCTGAGGACAAAGAAGATCAAAACTTATGAAAATATCAAGATACACAAACAAAATTGCATGATTTATATGCATATCAACATCATGCATTTTTAACCTATTAAACATATAAAAATGAATTTCGTACGTGTCATGTCTATAGTTGTAACAGCATAATGCTACCTCCCACTGTAACCTCCCTTCCTCCCTCCTCCTCTTCTTATTTTTCTTTAAATTTTTTAGAATGATATACTTTCTATTTTTTTCATAATCAAGAGCTTAACCCTCTAGAATTCAACAATTAGTGAGTAAAACCATGGTTCCTAAAGAGTGTAGACAAGGACTGGAAACAAGAATCAAATTTCAAAATGTTAATTTTGCTCCTATGTATCACTTTTTGTACCTTGCAGATGATCACAAACCAGGGAAAACAATATTTGTCTTTCAGGGACTGGCTTGTTTCACAAACATAATGGTGTCTCCACTTGTATCCTTTTTGTTGTGGAAGAAAGGAATATTTTACAATGAAATGAGGCATGTGTGTAGACAGAATAAATATGAATATGTGCTAATTTTTTTCTGAAGGTTGAGGAAGAGATATGGCAGGGAAGGAGATGAGAGAGAAAGAACTTTTTTTGCAGGTACTGTACCTGAAATCCTGGCAACCCTGGCAACCCAGGGTCCCCTTTTCCGTTAAGTTCTATGTCTTCTCCTTCAGCGGGATCACCCTTTAAAGAAGTTTATCAAGCATGTTACAGCATGTTCAAAAACCCTTCAACTACTTGTTGAACGTCATTCTGCCTGAAGGATAAATGTGACTTCTAGGATAAATACCTAGAGGAAGGCTTAGGAGTTTTGCTACTCCAACTTGAGGAATTCAAAGCATTTTTAGATTTCCCAAGCATGAGAAAATTTATTGTAGAGGAAAGAAAGATGCAGGGACAATAAATGATTTCCCCACTGACTAAAACGTGCAGCACTGCTGGACTTAGAGGGTGGATCTTGAGCACAAGATTGGTTTTTTTCCTCCTGAACCCCTTTATCCCTGAAGGATGACATAAAAACCTAGGAGCTGTTCCCACAAAACACTTGCTCTGTACCAGTCATCCCTGTGGTGTGGGATAATAAGACATGGATTATGCGGGCTGATTGATAATGACTAATGTCTCATTATTTGTTAGCAGGTTTTCTTTCTATTTTTGGGAGACACACAATGGGAGAGCACACACATCTGTTTGTTTCCTCCCTGAATGCCCACAGTGTGAGGACTGGGCCAGGTTTGAAGCCAAGGGCTCGATGTGCATTCAAGTCTCCCAATGTGTGTGGCAGGGACTCCAGATATCTGAGCCTAGGGTGTGCCTCAGCAGAGATCTGGACCTGGAAGCTGAGCTGGACTTAAATCAGGCATGCTGACGTGGGATGTTATATTAAGTGCCCACTCTTCATACCTCATTATTAAGAAAAAATTCTTATCATGTGTACAACTTGAGATTTTCAATAAGAATATTCCACAAACTTACCTTTTGTCCTTTCAAACCAGCAGCACCCTAGAGGGAAGAATCCAGCATGTTAGCAACCACAGGCAAATTGAATGCACACACTTTTTACTCCTTCGGTTACTCTGTCTCCACTCCCCACACAGCACTTCCCCCTAGCTTTTCCACAGGCTCAGAATTTTCTACTGAAGCAAGTGATTGTCTGCCCTTCAGCTTTCTGCATCCTTCACCACGCCTATGTAAGCTTCTTACCCTGTTCATCTCCCACTTGCTTTTCAGTTTCCTCCATTCCATGCCTTGCTGAGGTCAGCAATGACTTTGATGTTGCAAAAATCTCAAAATATCAATCTTCGTGTTATCAGACTTCTAGACAGCATTAGGGAGCTGTCTGCCACTCCCTCCTCTGAACTACATCTTTCCTGGGCTTCCAAACTAAAACCCTGCTAGTTTGCTGTGTTTTCCTGGGAAGCTGCTCTTCATTCTTTTTGACCCACATCTCAGATCTCAACTCACTCCTCCTCACATACTCTTTAATCACCCCAAGCCTGGACTTTTCCTCGGAAGGAGTACAGCCACCTGTAAGGCATCTCCATTTAAACATCTTCAGGTCTAAACTTGGACTCATGTGCATTTAATCATGCCCCAACATGCTTATGATCGGCTCCTCAGTCTTCCCCATGGTCATATGGTGTACATGGCATATGGAAAAGACAAGTTTCATTCATGCTTGGTCTTGGAAAAGGAGTTAGAAATGCAAACTTACGGGTGGCCCTGGATAGCCTGGTGTTCCTGGAAATCCTGGGAACCCCTGTTCACCCTGGAATATACCAAGAATTTGTATTTATTCCTAGCTGTTCTAGAAAAGCCATTCAGATGTTTCCCCTATTTTTGTCTTCCAACCTTGCAGTGATAATTCTAGACAAAGTAACCCAAATTCCTTATAGCTACTGGCTCATGAGGCTGAAAGCCAGAAAATGGTGATCTTAATTGAAAACAGGATTAGAATCTACTGTTTCTCAAATTGTGCATAAGTGGCAAAGTCTAATTGTGCCAAGAACTTTTAATTGCTGTTTCCTCAAAGCTTCAGTAATTAGTTCATTCATAGCCACCATTCTAGAGGGAGAAAAGCAGAATTCAGAAACAAAAGGAGGTGAGTGAACCCTGGAAAGCTCAGTATCACTCCCCAGACACTAACTCTGCAGAACCTCCTATGCAAATAACCATTTTTTTTTCCTTGTGGGAGGACAGTGTAGAACTCCCTTGAAAACAATTAGAAGACAAGTAATAGGGAAAAAGAACCTGGGATGATTTCTGGCTCACAGTCACACTATGGTTTGAATGCTTCCAGGAAAGCTGGTATCCATCTCACTGCTGCTTCTTGATGTGCTCATTCAGCAAAGCGGTGGGAGAGTTATCTTCAGGGTGCACAGTGCATACCTTAGAACCATTGCATCCTGGTACACCAGCGAGTCCATAAGGTCCAGCGTTGCCTGGGATGCCCTGAAAACAGAGCAGGTCTCAAAGATGAGGCAAAACCACAAGGCCCTGAATAAGGCAGAAACAACCACCAACATGGGGGAAATGGACCAATTTAGCTATTCATGTACAGTTGGTTGCATAAATAGTTAAGGAGTCCATTTAAATGATGGCTTTAGATGTAATTTAAATAACATAGCAAGCAAAACAGGTTCATTAAGTTAAATTCTTATCAAGTAATATAGTTAAGTTGCAGATAATTTAAATAAAAGACCTTTCTACATGACATGATCTATAGTATGCCACTTAAAGCTAGGAGCAAGGAAGGGAAACAAGAGGAGGAAGTGTGTGCATTCTGTGCTGTCCTGTCCTGCTCCACTCTTTACCCTGTGCTGCCCAGCTCATCCTGCCTTCCCTGACCTCGCCTCGCCAGCCTATGTCTCACTGTAGCCTATTTTGTTTTCTCCTCTCCCACCCTGTCATTCTATGCTCTGTTGCACCACACCTTACCCTATCTTATCTTACCATAACATACTTTATCTACCCTTATCTTTTCTTCCTCCTCTCTACCCAATCTTACCTTACCCTGCCCTCTCTGCCTTATCCTACCCAGTTCTAGTCTACCCCATTCTATCCTAGCCTGCCTCATCCAGCACATCCTAGCCTCTTACTTGCTTGTATGTCAGGAAATGTGACCTAGCTCCCATGTCATACAAATGTAAATGCTAGTATCATACATGATGTTCACTGTGCTCTTGTCTTTATGTAACAAAATATACACTTTCCCTTGTGCTACTATTTTAACATCTTCATTAAGATGAATTTATAATTATTTTTCTCATTACTTACTGGAAGTCCAGGAGAACCTGAAAATCCTGGTAATCCAGTTACTCCCTGAAGATACATAAGAAAAAGAAGGGGGTGGTAAGAAAAACACTTTAAAAAATACTCAGCCTACACATATAAACATATTTATCACTGTAATACGAGCTCCCTGCCATTATAATGAAGAATATTTGCAATTACGGTCAGAAATCTCTTTTTTTTTTTTTTTCAGAAGATTTGACAAGTCTTTGAAATCTCACACTCGTAGAATTACAGAGAGGTTATTAGGGTTGAATTTAGCATTCAGAGATAACACCTTTAAGGCTGAAAAACCACATTTTGTAAGTAACTTAACACATATTTGTGACGTGTATGTTTTTGTAATATTGTTACCACCCAGACATAGCACCTCCTCCACCCCGGAAGGTTGCCCATACACTTCCCATGTCAACCATTACCTGCAGTGTGTTAACCAGTATTTTGACTTCTGCCATTATTTTACCTGTTCTTGAACTTCATCCACAGAACCATACCTAGGGCATGACTTTCTGACATTGTTATAGCTTTTACAGCACAGAATAATCAATGAGTAAATCAAAAGCAGGCTACTCATCGGAGAAGCAGGAGGGGCTGGTGGGGTTACTGACCCTCACACCTTTGGGACCAGTGAGTCCTGGAAGTCCTGGAGCGCCCTGGATCCATGAGAAAACAAAAGACAATAAACACCATGAAACACATGGACCTAAGAAAGCTGTCCATTCAACATTCCAGTCCCCGACCCTGCTGTGCTGGCACTGTCAATAAGGGTTAATTACTTGCTTGCTTCCCTGGGAGTAAAATGTTTACCAGAAAAGGCAAACCAAAAATTCAGACACTTGTTACTCAAAAGGTGGTCTGGGACTGTGTGGCAACCTTTACATCAGCCGAGAGCTTGTTACAGCAGCAGAGTCTCAGGCCACCCCTCCCGAGTCTCCTCCCTAGCCGGCCTTCCTGGGCTGTGCATTCTAATTTGCATTTCAATATGATGCCAGGGGGATCTTCTTCACATTGAAGTCTGCAAATTGCAGCTAGAAAAGCCTCACATCAGCCAGACAGCTGCTAGGGTCTGATAAGGACAAATGATGCAATGACAGTGGCAGACAAGAATCGTAACCGGTATTTGTGCACACTGGAAACACTTTCTGAACACAAAGTGCCTGACACACATAAGTAAATAGAGTAGGACTGTCTGAACCAGAGATAAACTTCCTTTGAACACACGATAAACGGAGCTTTGCGTCCTCTTTCTTAGAGGATAGCCTTAATTGGACATTGGGATGTGAAAATTCCTTTGTCTGCTGTTTTCATCATTCCAGCGAGGTTCAGTGCGTTTTGGAATTTTTTTGTCATTTGAGAAATGGATTGTTAGAGTCTTCTGAGGTTGCACAATCAAGGCCAAGTTAGCCTGTCCTGTCCAGGGTGGGACTGGAGCCGGGTCACATGTAAAGCTGTTCCCTTTCTCTGTGGTATGCCATCTGTGCTCTGCAGAAGGCACAAAAAAAGGCTTGCAGGTTTAACTTCCCATTGTAAACGTTCTCATTGCAGAAACTAGTTTGAATTAAACTAGGAAGATTATAAATCTGAAACACAGTCTTGTTGAGATTTTCATCGTCTCTAATTGTTTGCCTTTGGCCAAATTATCTTTATGGTTGTATCTGTAAATCACGCTTTAAAACATCAACCCTGGACAACACAGCTTGGAGATGTTTCTGATTTCATTGTGTGGAGGGCCTGCATATCGTGTAACCCATTCTAGATAGTGTGCTTACAATGTTCTTTTTATATACTTCTGCAGCTCTAAAGAACAAGCAGAATGGGATGAAGAAAGTCAAATAAAAAGGAAGGCCCTGGCTCAGGTTGGTCTAAGTCTGGGTTACAGCGCCAACCTCATTTCCCAATGAAGTGGAGGAAAATCAGCCCGAGAGAGTCAATGAAGCATTCAGACCCTGCCTAGAATTCCATGACCTTTTTAGAATAAAGAGAAACACAGAAAGAGGATGTGGGAATGCAATGGATACAGAGATGGCAAAATGACTAAGAACAAGTGTTTGCATTTTATTATCATTATTATTATTTTACTATTAGCTGTAGGTGTGGACTTATTTTGTTGTTTGCAGGAGTCTTGTCTTGTATAATAAATGTGACCTAATTAGAAATGCACATTTGATGTCTGCTTTGGCTGCCAGCACAAACTCCTAAAATGCTTCCCATTTTCTGTGTGACAGGTATGCAAGGGTCATCTTTTGTCGTTTAGTCCTTGACTTCAATTCCTGTCACAGAGCTCCTATGCACCTGGTAATCTCGCTGCTGACATCCAAAGAAATGAATTGTTGGGCAGGAGAAGCCCTTCCCCCCGCCACACACACACAATACAAAACCGGTTTTAAATGCTGATTTTGCTTCCTATGAGCTATTTGACCCAGGATAAATTATGTGCACAAAGTGTTCATTTCCTTATCCATAAATAAAGTTAAAAAGTTATTGCATTGTAAGTCAGCTTAGCCATGATTTATGGGGTTCACATGATAACTAAATGAGGAAGGAACAAGTGACCCAGAATAAATAGAGAGTATATCGGCTTTGGTTATTATTTAAATAGTCAAGACATCCCTGTAACCTATAATTTAACGTGCTACAGAATTTTTAAAAGGCACTGTTTAGGTCATTTCTAATTATTTTTCCATTTACCCACTGGCTTGTAGCTTGCTGCAGGTCAGGGGTCAGGGGAGTGAATGCATACGTCAGAGAGCCCAGGGACATGGGTAGGGAATGTCCATAGCAGGAGAGAGCAACCAGAGAGCCTGGTGGTTATGCACCTGTTCAGGAGACGCTCTGAGAGTACTGATTTCAACAAAGCCTTTTGAAGGTACTACAGATTTTAGCATGAAGATGGACTATGAGTGTTAAGGGTAACAGGCTTCGGTAAGAACCCGAGGGGCCTAGATGCTCAAGAGACCAGACAGCAGAGAGGGACTTAGACAGGCAGGTACCACTGAGGAGAGTGCAGGAGAACCAAGGAAGGGAGAATCTCAGGAATGAAGACCCAGGCCGTTCTAACCCACAGCTTTCCAAGCCCAGCAGAGGGACTTCGCTCAGCTTCAGGCCAAGGATGTGCTGGGTATCCGGGCAGGGGAGAGAGGAGCAGAGAGGTAGCAGGCAGTTAGCCTCAGCCAAGGGGAAAATCAGAGGTGAACTTCAGGCAGGCCATGCAGCTTATTATTTTTTTTAAAACAAGTTTGATGAAGAAAGGAAAGATAGAGGATAACAACCCTTTGCTTAGAGAATCTAGAAAAACGTTGAGAAAGTTTCACATTTTGATGAAGTATTAGTTGCACACTGGAAAAGACAACACCAAAAGAAAAGTTGGGATGTATGACCCAGAGAGGAGAGACACCTGGGACAAAGTCTGCCTAGAATCCCGAAGCTCAAGGTACAGGTGGATGGCTGGGTCTTGCATGGAAGGCAGGAAGTATTCATCCCCTCAGGTAGGGGGACAGAAACTGTGGATGGCAGCAGGAAGGGCTTTGAGTAGTGAGCTTAAAGATAATGATCTCTTGCAAAAACCTGGAGCTGCATGCACTTCTGAAAGCCCTGCTCAGGCTGGAGAACAGGTGGCCAGGTTCCCGGCAGCCCATGAGTTGAGCATGCAGAAGCTACATGGACTGTGGATGTCCCTAACATAGGTGACTACATACCTTGGGTCCCGGGGGTCCAGGCAAGCCTTCAGGACCTGGAAATCCTTTCTGGCCAGGAGAACCAGGGGGTCCAGGAAATCCTTTTTCTCCCTATTAAAACCAAAATGAAACAAAAAAACACACAGAAGAGCTGCCACCCAACAAAAAACCCAACCATAGCCAGCCAGCCAGCCGCTGTGTTCTCCTCTTTATGGCTTCACAGAAACAATTGGACCTGTTTTTTCTCTCAGCTAGAAATAATGATTGATACTCAGTAACAAGTACATAGACATCACAAGAACGGCCAGTTGTCCGCATTCTTCTGTGGGCTGGAAAGAGCCGGCCCTCCTTCCTACAGAAACTTTACCCTTCCCCAAATGATGGAGCTACACAAGGCTGAGACAGAACGAATCCGGAACTGGGGAAGAGTCAGCTAGGAGGATCCAGCTGAGCGGCGTGTGCTGGCTGAGGGATGGTAACATGGTGAGGGGGGAAGGCACAGAAATGTGTCCTGGGAGTGTGCAGCATTACCACCTCACTTTAAAAAGTAAAATGCCGCAGTTTAGACTTTTCCTGATGACACAGGAAGTAGCTATGTGATCTGCCACTTATGTAGGGGACCAAGGGGAGATAACAAGGGTGAATGAACCGATACTATGAGTAAATTCCTAGTTACAAGTGGTTGATACAGTTCTACCCACAAGCAGTCTCCCCATGGATGAGCATCCTGCAATTACTCTTTAAGAGCAGTGGCTTCTGGTTGATTCTGGCAGTTGTAATGACACGATTGGCAAACGAAAAAGGAAAAGAAAGTAAGTCAGCTGTTTTTCTGTGTGTGTGTACACACACACACACACTTAATAATAAGAGAAAATTTTTCAAAAAGCCCTCTTCCTACTCAGATACTGGAATGTCCTCTTGCAAATATCTGGGACTCAATAAATGTTTCCTGGTGGCAGATGAGTCCCCAAGCAGGCGTCTCTGATGTGAATCTGAAGGCTCCTCACTCACCACTTCAGGGAAACGCCCAGGTCAGCGTGAACTATGCAATACCTCAAAAGTAATGCATTGATTACAACCGACGTGCAAAGTATGTGGAAATTTAGAGAAAGAGCTTAAGTATTTTCTCTTAAGAATACTTTCACATACTCATCCTTCCATATTGTTAAACAATTAATTAGTGTCTCTGAGGAAAGGGCTTTGTAAACAAAGGAAAAATTTAGTTCTGGCCCTGTCTTAATTATCATAAATTGCAAGTTAATGGAGCGAATTAATGAGATTCATGGCATGCCTTTTGTTTGTCTGCTCTGCAGCTCATTGTGCTCAATTTCTGCCTCAGTGGGAGAAGTGCTGCCTAAGCCCACCGCCAAGGGGCGCTCCGGCACCAATGCTGGAGGACGCAATCGCTCCTCTCGCTGTTTATTTTGTGTCCAAGAGGGTGAGTTAAGTTGTTTCCATTTCTTCCCCGGTGTTTACCAATCTCGTAAATAGTGTATACACAGAGGCTTCCCCTAGACTTTCTTTTTCACTAACTTGTGCTTGTTTCCAGATCGACAGAGCTGTGATGTAGTTGCCAGTATTTACACATGCTACCAGAAACTTCCTAGAAGACATTTTAAAAAGTAGTTGAATGTTTATACATTAGTGACGTTAAGACTAGGTTTGGGGAATGCCTCTTTCTGCTCTTGGATGAAAGGCGAGTGCGACCTCGCGGTTGCGCCCTGCAGTGAGGAGGTGCCTGCGTGGACGGCGCCCTTACCTTGTCCCCTTTGGTTCCACCGCACACACACTGGCTCTGGGAAGAGAAGAGAAAGCGCTTTGTTGGGAAGCAGCTCAGTAAGTCCGTGGTGCCATCCTAACACATCACAAACACACATGTATCTGTTCCCTCTGCTTGGTCATTGTGGGGAGAAACCATCAGAAATGGGGCAGAGACTGGGAGACCTACCTTTCCAGGAGCCGTGTCCCATGTCTCTCACCGTCTTTGTCATGTTGGGAAGTGCCCAGCCACTTATTTTTGGAAAACACAGTCTCTTTTTCATTGTAATACAGGAACAGCAACATATGAAACGCTACTACCGTGGGTAGGCACTGGTTTAATATCAGCAAATTGTTGGGTCCCGCAGGTCAGTCATGTGTGGATCTGTGTGTAGATATGTCCACGCAAGCTCTTCATGTGTGCAGCTCTATTGGACATGTTTCTGTGATATTTTAGAGAGGTGATTCTGAGGCTGATAAACAAGTGACACCCACTCCACAGCTTGCAAGAGACCAGAGTCACTAACAAACTCTCTTCTCTTATTAAAACTTCACCTACGAGCAAGGGGAAGGCCCACACGAGGCTGTGTCACTTTAGCACACCTGGACTCCAGTTCACACGTCTGTCACACACCCACTCTCCTGAATGCCACTTATAAAACTTTCTTCCTCCAACAGAGAAATGAAGGAAGCTACACTTACAAATAGCACATTTACAGCATTTTGAGACACCCGATATTTTCTATGATTACATATTAATCCTTGGCCTTCCTTTCCTTCAGGTAGGTTAATATTAACTGAAAATTAGTTTGTTTCCTTCAGGGAAAAAAAAAATTAATGACTAGCAAATGCAGGGTGAGTCCAGGAGACGGGCTGGCTGGTCTGGAGGGGAAATGACGAGGACGGACTCTGCCATTCTGTGCAACCCGAGAAAGCATACCTGTGTGAACAGACCCCTTCGACTGACTGCATCTCCTTGGCCCTGGGCTGCCGGTCAGTTCTGAGGCCTTGCAGCACCTGCGCAGCTGCTCACTGACGTGAGTGGGGGGTCCCTGACAGAGCAGCAGAGCAGGCCTGCACCCACAGCATTTGGTAATTAAGGAGACTGAAGCGTCCCCGCTCGCCACCCTAGGGTGCCGAGGCCATTCGCTCACAGCAGGCCTCTTTCCCTCTTGTCCTTCTGGACCTTTTTAAACATTACGTTCGTGTCAGTCACAAACTGCAGCAACTACTTAAGGCCAGGGCTCCTGGAGCATGGGTGTTCGTCCCGCAGGGCCTGTGCAGCCCCGGCCAGGTCCCAGTCACAGGCCCCAGAGGGACCCTTACCACCCCCCCAAGCCCAGGACTCTGGCTGCTCTCATTCCCTGTAGGACACATCTTACGGTCCACAGGTTTCTTTTGCTTTCTTCTTTCAAAGACTTTTTTAAAGATTTAATTTATTTTCATTGGAAAACCAGATATACAAAGAGGAGGAGAGACAGAGGAAGATCTTCCGTCCACTGATTCACTCCCCAAGTGGCTGCAACAACTGAAGCTGAACCGAAGCCAGGAGCCTCTTCAGGGTCTCCCACGTGGGTGGAGGGTCCCAAGGCTTTGACCGTCCTTGCTTGCTTTCCCAGGCCACGATGGGAAGTGGGGCTGCTGGGATTAGATCCGCAGCCATATGGGATCCCGGCACATTCAAGGTGAGGGGTTTAGCTGTTAGGGCTCAAGATTTATTTGTTTCATAGGCAGTTACAGAGAGGAGAGAAAGAGACAGAAAATCTCACAGAGATATGTTACCCGCTGGTTCACTCCCCAAATGGCTGCAGTAGTTAAAATTGGGCCAGGCTAAATCTAGGAGCTTCATCCTTGTCTCCCACATGAGTGCAGGTGCCCAAGCTGTGAAGGAATGCTCTCCCAGGCTCATTAGCAAGGAGCTGGATTGGCAGTGGAGCAGCTGGGTCTCAAGCCACCACCACCCATATGAGATGCCAGCAGCACAGGCAGTGGCTTAGCTGGCTACACCACAATGCTGGCTTCTCATTTTCGGAAGATCTCTGAACACTGGTGGTACTGGTGAGCACCCGGCTTGTTTTCCTTCAGGATGTCTCTGTCATTCCCAGAACGTAGCTGGGCGTGTGTGTGCCTTTATTTTGGGGGACGCTTTCATTACTGAGCTCAAACATAAGTCACTGCAAGACAGGGTTCCCGTCGGGTTTCGTATCTGGAGGTGTCAGTCCTAAGGGACCATTTATCTTGGCTATGGAGGGACCAGCAGGCTGCCTTCACACATTTGGAGCAGGTAGCCGGGCACCAGGAATGATGGACCAAGCCCGACACCTGTGGGCTGTGGGCGTCAAACACTGGACAAGATGCTCAGCGTGGCAAGGCTGTTGGGCTCCAATGGATGTGAAGGTAGCTGAGCGCTTGCTCTTCTGCCTCCTAGAAGCCGCACAACTGTGGGTTTCTGCACACACAGAGGGAGGCAGCCTGGAAAACTCTATCCCCTGAGATGTTGAATGGCAGCCACGTGACAGGCTTTACTTATCAGACACTGCTGAAAACATTTTAACCTTAGCTTGAACAGATAAATGTTTGCTTGTCTTCTCCAGACCAGATCAGATTTTCCTTTCCTGTATATATTGAAATCTGGTACAGATATGTAAATGTCATCAGTGGGTAGAGAGCACCCATCTTATGTTTCATTCCCCACATGCCCATGATGTCTGGCAAAGGACTGGGCTAAGGCCAACAGGCATGGACTCAGGCCAGATTTCCCACCCAGGTGACCAGAACCCAGCTTCTTGGGCCATCCTTTGCTGCCCCCCAGGGTACACATTAGCAGGTGTCTGGAGTCAGGAGCCAGAGGTGGGTATCAAGGCAGGATGTTCTGGTGTTAGCTGTAGGTGTCTAAATCAGGATCTTAACTGCACATCTGCCTCACTTGCAGGTGCACATTTCATGCATTTACTACCTAATGTCTATGTGTCCCAAGAGAAAAGGAATTACTCAGTGTCTTTTAACAGAGGCATCTTTGGCAGTATGATGTGTCCTGAACAGAGGTTTGTGGATGGAGTAGATAGAGCAATAAAAGGATGAATAACTTGCCCTTTATTGATGCCCATTCAGACCTGGACTTGGCATTGAGTTATTTTGCTATTGTTGGACTGCATAAGATGTCTGTGTGAATTGACTATGAATTGCAGTTGAAATGGCAAAGGAAAAAGTAGGGGCTTTGACTGCCATGGTACATGTTGGCACTATCCTAAAACTAATGACTCACTTGTTGCTTTGATTTAAAAGTTTGTTAGGAAGTGGGTGCTTAGCTTAGCAGTGAGGATGCCCACATCACAGAGTGGAGGGGCTGAAACCAAGTCCAGTTTCCCACTAGTGCCGATCCAGAAAGGGCACAATGATGGCTCAGTTACCTGGGTCCCTGTTGGCATGAGACACATCGCTGGGGTGTGTGTCCAGCTCCAGCGTAATTCCACCCTGGCCATTACAGGTGCTGGGAGTGAAGCAGGAGATGGGAGCGCTCTGCTTCTCTCCTTCTGTCTCTCAAATATATATATAATATACACACCTCATATATATATGTGTATATATATATATTTAAATTTTAACTTAAATTTTATTTTGAAAAATTTTATTTTGGAAAATTTAAAACCCTCAGAAGAGTTGTAAACAACACTCGAAGGCAGAGTCTAAGCATGGCACTCCACCCCTTACACTTCTCTACACACCTCTCCCTAAATAAGAGTCTACTGTAATTCCACTATATTATTCCCCAAACTAAGAAACCAGCATCCATGCAATGAGTTGAGTTTAACAGTTTGTAAACAAGATCTTCGGTTTTGCAAAGACTATGAATGACCACAGAAAACAAAAAAGCTGCTTGAATTTCAGCAAATCTTTCATTCTGTACCTGACATTTTTAGCTCTATACATGTTTTCAACCTGGAATCTGTGTATGAGGTCTTAGCCCAAAAAGTGGCTCTCCTCCAGTTTGGGTCTTCCACTTTGGGGTCACTGTGTTGAGCTTTTAAAACATTTGGTTTGCCAAACCAATATCTTTTTTTTTTTTTTTTATTGTTGCTTACATTGTATTATGTAGTACAGTTTTATAGGCGCTGGGGATTCCCCCCACCCCTCCCATACCCCTCCCCCCATGGTGGATTCCTCCACCTAAAATTTCTTGGAAAATATCCCACAAGCACTGGAAATAAAAGGAAAAACAAATTGGAAAAAAAAAAAAACATTTGGTTTGATTTTTACACTAAAGTAGAAGTCCTGCTTGTTTGGTAACTGGTGAAGTGAGAAAAATCAGTTGAGGTGAAGAATCAAAAGCAGATAATGAACACAAGACATTTCATTTTAGCCAAAATAGAGGAATGCTTAGTCATTTTCAATCACATGAGTGGACTCCAGGTCTCTTCAAAAATGAGCTCACTGTTGAGTTGTGATGTTATTCATGTTAAGTCACCCCGCAGCAGTGTACCACCACTAGTGTTCAGTTTCAGCTAACTGTTTAAAAGCATGTGACCACTGCGTCCTCCTGGATATGAAGCTGTTTTTCTCTTTGAAAATGTAATCTCAGCTGTAGCTAAGTGAAGAGCAGTTTGTAGTCAGCCTCAACAAATCGTCACACCTTGTTTCCAGAAACAAATGCCCTCTTAACAGACTTAAACAACACGTTATTTAATAATTGACTTTATTGTATTAATAAGCCAAATTGGCAAATGGAATGAAAACCACCTCTTTATCCTTGTGAAAGCTCTGGGTGCAGCTGGCTGGGAGACGCCTGCAGGGCTCAGCAATGATGGAGGGGCGCAGTCATCATGGGGGGCCATCACCCACCTGTGCGTGGGCCACCCTGTGGGCGAGACCCCAGAACCCACTGTCTGGGCTAGCAGCACCGTTCGAAACCTGTCCCAGCTTTAGCTCTCAGATTGGCAAGGCGTGGCCTGCCCAGGCATGCGCACAATCGGCTGACCAGGGCTTCAGGGTAGGCGACAATGTTGCTGGCGTGGAGACACTCCGCTTGATTGAATGAATGTAAACGTTACAGCCTGGGCAGCTCTCCGCCGCTTGTTCATCTGCTGGTGTGGAAGCGAG